CTCATAAACTTTGCTCGCAGCTACCCAAACACTACGCTGAGGCTCTGTCTTGGGGAGGAATCGCCTTGCAAACGTTGACTTTTCCTTGACAGACTTCTCAGCTGTTTTTTTCTTGGGATTCCCCTTGCTTGACTTGGGCACAGGTGCGGCAGGTGCTGTGTCATCCTTTCTCTTCCTCTTAGGCCCAGACTGCTTCCCTGGGTTCTTGGAAGTTGTGGGACTCTTCACATCTTTGCCTGGCTCCTGCTCCTGCTCCTCAGTTCCTGCGCTAGGTGACTTTCGGGGCCTTCCTCTTGCCTTTGCCTTCGGCTGTGCCTTTGCCTTGGCCTTTCGGCCTGGTTTCGCTTTCCCTCGTGCCTTTGCTTTCGCCTTTGCCTTGGCCTTTGCCCTAGGTTTTTTTGGTTTCTCATCCTCATCATTTGCATCATCATCCATCTCTTGCTCCTCCTCCTCCTGGCCTTTAAGTTCATCTCGCAGCTTCTGTTGTTCTTGTCGTGACACAGGTGCAACTGGTTCAATGATTTCGGTGGGCAATGGGCTTCGAGGCTCCACTTTTGCTTCAGCTGCTGCTGCTGTTGTTGCTGCTGCAGGTTTTGTCATGGCTGCTTTTGTAGTGGGTTTCAAATCATAACGTTCACGAATCAAAGCACCAAGGGCATTAGGTAAATGCCCCCGGGCTTTGACCAAAGCCTCCTCAGCATCCTCCTTGGTAAAGCCGGTGCTCATGATCACTCGGACGTCATGCTCCAAGATCACAACTGGGCACTTGAAGTTCTTGTCGAGGCATCCTTCCAGAACGGGCGGTGAAGAGAGAGTATCAGGCTTGGGTGGTTCTTCAACATCCATGGGGACATCCTTGGGATCACTGGCTTGCGAAGTCATGTGCACATCCTCACTGGGCTGCTCGGTGCTGATGCTATGCTGATGCTGCTCTTTTGTGACCACATCAGGAACAACAGCCTCCTTGACACTTCCCCCCACGTTTGGTTGAAGAGGGGATGCAGCTGCATACAAAAGTGTGCAATCATTATCATAGGGCTGGGTCTCCTCAGCACCTCCCCAACACTGCTTGCCTAGCAGAGCCACTCGCCTCTGCTGGATTTCCTGCCTTAGGGCCACTGAAGGAGAATGACAGGTTGGGTTACCTATGGTTATACCTTAAGTTCCCCCACAAAATAAAAACCAGGAATAGAAAGACATGCCTCTACAAGGGTCTAGGTGCTTCAATTGCTCGATCCGTTGTTGTACTTCACCCATGAACTCTTTCGACACATGCCCATTATGAACTGGTGGCAACTCAAGTTTTTTGGGTGGGGTTGCATCCTTGCTGCACCAAGCGCTGCCATATTCTTCCCTGGGACTAGGTGTCTTTCTAAGTTCGCCCCCCAAAGTCCAGCACAGTTTTTCTTGTTCCCTGGCTATCACAGCTGCAGGGTCACCGGTTTCGGGGGGCATGGCATACACATCGTGCAAAGCAATGGGTCCCGCTTCCTCAATTTCACTCCCAGACCCCTGGCTCTCTTGACTCTCACCCCCATCCATGCCCTGACCACCAGTGGCTGCCACAGGAGCTTCTTCTTCCTGGGGCCCTCCAAGACTCTCAGCTGATCTTTGGGCACGAGAAACGTTGGGTCTGGGAGCAAAGTACTGGTCCAGAAAGTCATAGAGGTTGCGCAGTGAAAGTTCCTTGGACATAGAGTTGTTTATGGAGAATGGTGTAGAATGGACATAGAGTTGTTTATGGAGAATGGTGTGGAATGAAGAAACCCACATGACACATGATCAAAAATAGTGTTGTAATTATCTTACAATCGATCTTGACAATTTGAAAACCATGCATGTTTTCTTGAATTTAGTGCCACCGATACACTTGACGTTTGTGACCATCATGTCTTCGAAAGCAGAGGGTAACAAAAGAACGGATGGCCAGCGCATCCAGGTGAAGGATGGACTGGTCAGTCCTCAATTTCAGCTTGTCCCTGAAAACGTAGACCTGGCATTCCACACAAATCCACGAAATCCAAGAGTCACATAAATTTGAAAACTTGGGTTGATAAGAAAACTTGGGAAACATTGGCTAAATGGTTTTTACCTGGCCTCCTGTTCCACCAAGTGCACGTTGACAGTCTTCAGCTTGTCAGTGAGTTGGGGAACCCATTTGCGAACCACATGCATCAATACATCAGCATTGTCCGCCATAGTCTGCATTGAAATCAATCCCGCTTTGTCAGGACATGGCCACTTCAACAGGCCTCTGGTTTCCAAAGCTCTAGCTCTAATACTTTCATCACGCTCTAGATCATGTCCTAAACCTTCTAGAGTCAAAGGCTTGGGAAGAGCAGGTCCAAAAGGTTGGGGCTCCTCAGCCATGATGGCCAAACACCACCACCAAAGGCAACAGCAGGTTTGATCCTCTGAAAATGCAACGAAACATGAAATGTTGAGTAGAAAGGTTTGAGATCAGTTGCCACAGAAAGTTACACAACAGTGAACGCAACGAAACATGAAATGTTGAGTAGAAAGGTTTGAGATCAGTTGCCACAGAAAGTGACACAACAATAATCCAACCATTCCTCATCATCCAAGGACCCTCGCATCCCTGTGGGGCACTTCTCTGACGGTTGGATGGCACTCTTCGGCCTCAGCGGATTGAGAGAATGATGTGGGAAGGGACCAAAGTCAGGCATTAAGCAACTAATATATACTGTTTGATTGTTTTTTCAACATGTCTTAGCCGTCAAGAAGTCCAAAGGGATCACAGTTTCAGCATCCAATTTAATTCGGGTTTCTGCTGAGACCATGGCTTCGATTCGAGCAGCTGCTTCATTTGACTGCAAAAGACCTGACAGGTCAGAAAGAAGAACATAGAGGAACTATCAGCAGTGTTAGTCACCAAGTATATATATATATATAAATAAGCCAGAGATATATATAGATACACATACATTATATATATATATAATCTATATAAAACATTATAGTGTATACTGTATACTTATAATATAATTTACCTAGAAGATCCAGTAGTCACTTTTTTTGCCTTAGGCACCTGTCACGAGCCCACCAGAATATCCCTGACCTCCATAGCAGCAAGCTGCGCTAATGAGCCAGCATGCTGGAGTTCTCACCTGCGTTGGGCTAAGGCTCTGAGCTGTACATTGGTAAATCTTGTGCAACCCCAAGAAAAATCATAACTTACCAAAATTGTTTCCACCATTTCCACCATTTTTCCCCAACATCGCTCAAGGGTTGATCACTGCAAATGGCCATTGATCCACTTGATCAATCGAATGATATCTATTTAGATGGATTGCTGGGTTCACCAACTAACTTCGAAGGCTCAGAGCTCTGGTCCGTCATGTTCTCCTTTTTACCTGAGAATGAGGCAGACTGAGCTGGCAACCACTCAGCTTGACATGAAATCAAAAAGATGAGAGGGTGAAGGGGGGAGTGGATGTATGGACAAGCTACGTTCTTCCTGCCAATCCCACAAAACCTTGGCCAGCACCTTTATGTGACCACCCTTCGTGAAATTCTCGGCCATGACTTTCGCCTTGTCATCGGGAATGGGATCCTTGGCCATGCAATTTCCCACTATCAACATTCTTTTGGTTCTTTTGAATTTGATTTCAATAGTCAATATAGTATGCCACAATGCAGGAAAGGGTCGCAGGGATCATCATTTGGCCACAATGCCAGCTGCGCTTGCTGATACCATTTGGACGGCATTTTATCTAATCCAACTGACTTCAAATGGGTGTCCATAGTTGGGACACCCCTAACCAATTTGTTTTGAGCACACAAAAGCTTCAGCCAGCTATAAAGGGTTCATTGCTGATCACATAAACATATCAGTAGCCAGTGCATTCACTTGCAATGCGTGCAGGGCAAGATGCATGGCAAGGGATGGGCGCACCTCCAACCAAAGGTTGTCCACACCCATGTTGGGGCATGAAATCTATCTTGGGATAAAAATGCCTACACCAAGAAATTTCTGCCTAGGTCCAACATGGAAATGCCTACAATTCAGAGTAGGCGCCTAAGGCAAAAAAAGTGACTACTGGATCTTCTAGGTATATCTATGATGATACTGATGGCACAAGACAATAGTTTACTGTTATCGATTGGCTGTCTGAAGTGGCCACTGTAGCCATTAATCCATTTGATTTTGTATTCATCCATGGAATGTCATACAAGGTGGCGTGCCCCAGTGGTTTTTACAGCCCAGAACCTATCGATCTGCTCGTAACAGAAATCCTAGTTAGTTGACCTTAGCTAAGTACGGAGCACCACCTTGTACTATGGCATGATTATGGGAACATATGCAATTCTGTGGTACACTGCCAACCGTTTTAATTGGGGCGTGGTTGTCATTTTAGTAGTATTTGGCTTTGGGGTGTTACCTCCCTAATCAATTACTCAACCAGGGTTTATTCATGCGGGGTTGACATTGCCTGGCAATAAAATATCCCAATTGAAAAGGTTTATTGAATTGGGCATATCGACATGCCCCTACCACTGGGATTATGTAAGATAATCTGTGTGTGGGTAAAACAATGTCATAAACCATCCCCCAATCACCATAAATAGGTGGTATAAATCATTCCCAAATGGGTGGTTTATGGCATTGTTTTACCCACACTACTGTAGATATCTTTAGATTTTCCTTTTTTTCCATGGCCATGGTTGATTTCCTGAAGCCAAGAACAGCACAGAGCCATGTCTCAGTCACTTGGGAATTTGAAGAATCTGACATCAACAACTGACATTGAATCAACCAAACATCTCAGAGGCATTTGGCCAAACATTTTCCAAACAAAGATCGTAAAACAATCATAAAGCATCCCCAATTGTGGCATAAATGGTATAAACCATTAAATCATGGGTGGTTTAGTAATGATTGCTTTACTAAAGAGCCCAACCCAAAAGGAAAACACAAAATCATTTCACAAAATCTGCAGGGGCGCCTCCCAAATCCCCAAACCACAGCAGTGGTCCAGGTGTCCATTCGCTTCAGGGCTGAAGAAAGATGTAGCTTCCTGCGCGAGGAGCACCATAGATTAGATTTGTGGACGTTCCATGATGTTCCACCCAAACAACTTTATTAGTCTTGATTCATCTTGCTCATGCGCAGTCTTAGGCTGGATATCCACACGCAAGATCACGCAAGTGCATATGTACGTGCATACATTGTACATCATGTCTTTCCTCCAAGAAACATATAGTCTATGTGCGATTTTCTTTGTATACTGTAAATATGTCCGCAGGTGCATCTCGCTACATCTCTTAGATCCCTGGCAGCCCAGAAGACGCGGCAAGTGGAAGATCCCACCAAGCACGTGAGCGAGATTTCCATGGGCGGCGTGTCTTTAGGCCTCACCAGCAAGCCCCTTGGCGGCCTTGCCAATGGCGCTTCCCAACGGTGGAAAACCGCACGGTGAACACGTGTTCATCATGACTGTAGTGGCTGTGGGTGATCAATAAGCCCAAAAAATGGTCAACGTTAAGGGATCGCCACCCTCCAAGGACTGTGACGAAAGTCACCGAGTTCTTCTGGAAGTTTGAGGCGAGATTTTACAGCCGCATACCATGGATTTGCACCACGGGGAATGGCTCGAAATTCAAGAAGCAGGGACGCACCGATGTTCGATGTTTGCAAAGGTTTTGCTATAGCAACCATCCAATTTCCTTGGTATCTAATGACTTAATATGACTTGACCCCTTCCCCAAACTCCAAACATTGTTGTTTTGTTGGTCATCATTCCCTGTTTTGAGCGGCTCAAATTCCAGTTCGTGTTTTTTTTGGGCCAATTTACATTCAATACATCCCAATTGTTGCCAGGAGCCATTTGGAACATATCTTTGACAAATCTTTGTCTGATACCAATACCATCCAATACCAACATGAAAAACAAAAAAATAAGTCGTGTCCCATTATCAACTAAACTAATCTATGTAGCCCAAAACTGGGGCCATGGTTTAAATCCCATGAGGTTTGGACTATAAATCATGCAGCCAGTTGACCCCCCAACCGTCGCCATGGACGCTAGGTGGCTTATCAGCTTGAAGTGTTCCGTGGCGTGGGCTCCGAATCATCTGAAGCTTGGAGAACTGCAACGCGATTCCACCATGAAGAAGTTGGATTTAATACTGTTCTCTATACTGTTCTCTAATGGTTTATACTGGAAAACAATGGGAATAGAGTATTAACTAATATGATATTAATGGGGGTATATAAGATATCATAAGGATTCATAATGGGGAATTACCCTCCGGTGATCAAAGATGGCTGGAAAGTCACACGGTAACACGATTTCACCATGAAAGAGCTGGATTTCACCATAAAAAAAGGTATTTGTGGATTTAAGGGCCAAAATGTTGCATTTCAAGGAACGCACATGTCAGTTGGATTCAAGACAACCATGATAAAAATGGTGCTGTAGCCATCAAATCACCATCGAAAATGAGGAGTGGATCAAACAAATGCATCAAACAGCCAAGAAATTGGACTTGTCCAAGAACAAACCTGAGAATTGCCCAATAAAACTGTAGATTTCGCAATCAAAACTGGAGCTTTCGCTAGAAAACCTTGGGGCTTATCCGATCTATATACACATATATATATATATATTATATATATGGATATATTTGTCACGCTAAGTTGTAGCTGGCTGGGCCTTATCCTGGGCAAGCAACAACGGCATCAATGGGACTTTCCGAGTCCCAGCGCCGCAAATGATGTTCAGTGACTTTGCAAACATTTCGGGTCCTGTATGGTCTTATTTTATTTGTTCCATTTATCCTCCAGTAAATTAACATAGACCCTGGTAGATAGGGGTTGGAAGATTAGTTTCCTCTAAAAAATGGTGATTTTCAGGGTCTATGTTAATTTACCAGAGGGTAATTGCCACTTGTCTTGCCGAAGAATTTCTACCTCCACCGTAAAGATCCCCATCGCGCCCTAAAAATCTGTGTTTTTCATGGTCAGGAGCAACATGTTCAATAGATCAAACTATGGAAACCTGTTCCTGCGCACGATGTTTCTCTTTTTGAGCCTCGTCCGATTCAAGATGGTTTCAAGTTTGGGAAAAGACATGGAATCTTTCACTATAAGTATCCAACATAACAAACAATAAATAAAGATCATAGATGAATCATACCTCTCTTTTTTTGAGCACAGATAGGGGCCCTGCATCCATGGGAATGGCTAAAGAAGACGTGTTGTACAATTTACCACCCAAACATATCCATGTGTTCACCAGCCATCCATTGGTGCTAAAAAAGAGCGCACTGATTGAGGACCGCATGGTGCTACAGAGCAACAACTGCAACACAGAGTTGAAGACAACTAGCACCAGGGCTTTTTCATTGGGGCACCAAAATGAATCGATTCCATGCTGTGAGAAAAATGGTGTGTTAACATGTGTTAATGATGTGGCTTAACCATGTTTAACCGAATGTATATGCATATGAATATATATATATATATATACATATACCTATGCCAACAAACGTGGGGATGTCTCCAGCGCTTAATACCACCGAGTCTTCCCGGGCTGCGATAAAGTTGGTGACCCAACCTGCAACCCATCGGTTTCTGGTAGTGATTTAGCTTGGAGCGGAGCTACCCAACGACTACAAAAAACGAAAGGAGTGAAGCTTCATCTACTCTCTGGTAATTTACATACCATATAGCTATTGAAAATGGCAAGTTATAGTTGATTTACCTATCAAACATGGGGATTTTCCATAGCTACATTAGTTTACCAGAGGGTATACGTTTTTTTGGCTTCTCAAAAAGGATCTTTCAACCCCTCTGTACTCTGTCATGTCCGCGCTGATGCACCTGGGTCTTCCCGCAGGATTTGTTTTGCAACATGTTGAGGGGTTGCTTCCGATTCATTTCTGCTTGCTCAAAAAATCAGATGTTAACAGGCCTCGCTGTTTTCATTTCTTTTTCAAAATGTCATTCTTGCTTTTGCATAATGCAAAGATCATTGCACATATGTTGTTTATTTTGTTTTTTCACTTGCTTCGACTTGTTACTACGTAGCAAACAACCAGTCAGATTTGTTTGATTCAAATGTCAAGTGTTGATATTCACATTCTGTGTTCGAATAATCATTCATTGATTTTCCAATGATCATTTGAATTTCTCATTATTGCTACTAAATTGAATATTACCATTGTTACAGTCTTACTTTTATTTTTACTAGTATTGTTTTGTCATTGTTACTCATAATTTGACTCATAATGTTGTTCTTCTGTCAAGGCCCTGGTTCATCCCAGCGTGGCTTTTTCCCACTTTGTTTCATCCTGGCAGGCAAGGTCACTCCCCAGCCGGAGGTGAAGGTGCCCTCCACCCTGCAGGAGATCCGAAAAGAAACTGGATGATTGGAAAGGGGTACCTGACTTAGAAAAGCTCCATAGAATGTACATAACATAGGTGAATACAATGGTTTATGCTAGATAATTCCATAACTATATCTATACATCTATACTTATGGTATATAGACTATATAGATATTTCATATCTATAACTATATCTATATAAACCGGGTTATCACTGGGGGAGGTACCACCTGGCAGGAAGCAAACATCACCTTCCTCTTGAGACGCTTGGAGATGGGTCAACGGGGTGGGCCTCAGAAATCGATGGCTCGGTGAGGCTCGGTATGGGGATAATACCAGAAAAATGGTTGTTTTCACCCGAAAACTATGGGATAGAATATGGGTATCTCATGGAGATATAACCAAGAACATGTCTGATATGGGTGTGTTTGAACATGAGGTATACCCCCAGAATGGCTATATTCATACAAATTAGATGTTGATAAACTAGTGGAATTAGGTACACAATTTTCAGGCAAAGCGTTATATCCACAGGAAACACCTTTAGACGTACTTAGTACGAAGCAGCTTGACCTTTTCACTATTTTATCATTTATCTCAATATATGTGCATATTTTTACTTATATGTATATACATGTATATCAAACGCCCACCACAAATATCAATTTAAACATCTACAGTGTCAAAACCACAGGGAACTACCCCAAAAGAGACTCTGGCAGTTCAAAATATCAGGTTGCAACATATCATTTGATGATTGGATATCATAAATATGTTGCACAAACATCAATTCGACCTGACGTTCAGCGGTTGAACCGCTCTTCAGCTGTCCCAGGACATACCGACCTTGGCGACCTTTCCACTCCGGTCTTCAAGGTGGACCGTGTGTCCAAGACGACCAAGACGCCACGGCGCAATGCAGAAGTGGATGCGGCCATGGCATATGTGGCTCAGTGTGGCAGCATTTTTGGTGGATTAACCCATGGGACCAATGGGAAAATAAAACATCATCTTCAGCAAATCCCAAGAACATGGAAAACTTTAATAGGATTTTTGATGTTTTTGAAGTCTAGGATGGTCTAAGTCAAATGATTTTTAAGATAATGGAAAATTGCATTGGAAGGATTTCTACATGTGATGTTCACATTGTTTGGTCAAACCCATTGAAGCGTAAAAACCAATATATATATATATATGAGGCAATGTTTTTTTGGCACAAGGGAAGCAACTATGGAACTGTGATGGTTGCGATGGTAACTGTTCATCCGCCTGGCCCATGTGGAACCGAGGTTGGTGGCCTTGGGAGATTTATGAGAAACACAGTCAGACACTTGGCAGAGGGGCCAGACCTTGGGCAAAGGGACAATGACTTTGTTGTCCGTTTTTTGTCGCAGATCATTCCAGATTTGATGATCGGTCAATTTTTTGGAGGGTATATCGGGATGCTTACAAGATTGTGCCCCGCAGCTATGAGCTGGTTTATGAATCTCTTCAACTGTACATAAATATTTGCCGGGGCTATATTCAATACCTGTTAATACTACCTATAAACCAACTTAGCTAATTATGCTGGGTTAGGCAATGCTGAAAACATCCAACTTGATCCCCCTTCGAGTTTAAGCTACAAGATGGAAGGCCTTGTGCCTCTTATAAAGCCCTCCGTTTTAGTCAGGCCAACAGTGACATAGAATCCATGTTCAACAATGTTCAAGATTTTGGTAGATTAAACTTGTGAATCTCATTTTGAAAAGAACGCATGTCAATCATGTTAGGTCATCATAAAAACACAGTGGCATTTTGTAGCACGACATGGATGCAAGTCTTGTCGAAACCAACTTGGCATTTTGTAGCAAGTTGCAAGGTGTTCCTTTGCATGCAATTGTTGAAAACGACATGGGCATTTTGTAGCAAATGGTATGTCCTTGTATGTGCAGTTATTGAAAACGAAGGGGTATTTTGTAGCAAGGGAAAAAATACAAATCCTCCTATGTCAAGGTTGTTGAAATGAATGGGCGTTTTGTAGCTAAGGCAATTTTCGGAAAAAGTGGAGCTCAGCAACCTCATTCTCTATAGCCGGCCGGCCCTGGGCTTGTAAATACTTTTTGTAACCTACAGAATCCTACAGAATCAGGGTCACAACGTCTCCCCTGAAATTCGAAGGGGGATCCAACTTGCACATCGCGGTGAGTCCTGCGTGGCGTTTCAGGATATTTGAACGACCTTGCTGCTCGTGACGGGGAGCCAAGCACTGCCAACCTCTCAACGGAAGCTGTCCTGGTTCCCGCCTTACCTCTCTTCGCCGCTGGCTGAGTTGATGGGGCGGCTTCCGTTGGTCTGACATCCATAGTCTTAACATGTCGGAACATAAATATTTGGTCAGCATCATGCTCCATGATTCAGATCATGAACATTATAATCATTATATGTTGGAATCTGTTGGAATGTGTTTTTCTTGACCAAATGCAGCGATAGTGATATGAGTGATATGGAATTTAGGGATCATCACCACCACCCTTAGAATGTTTCAGATTGGTCCCAAAATGTCCCAAAGAATTGTTGATCTGCCAAGGGCCAGATGGAAGCCACCAGTTTGTTTCTGCAAAAGATAACTTTCTTTGACATATTAGCGCATTCTTGTTAGGAACTGCACATATATCATATATGAATACAAAGAGTGTAAAATGACAATCTGATATAGTATTCACCATGGTTAATGACAATCCGATCTAATATTCATCATGGCAAGTTTTATTTTTTTAATGGAGAAATCCGTATAAAATATTAGCTTGATTGGTGCATGTGTCGGCCATTCCTGGCCATTGATCCCCAGGTCTCCGGAACTTCAACGAGCGCCCCTGCAGTCACTGACGGGACAGCGACCTTGGCGCTCGTGGATGTGGGCCAGGCGAAAAAGGGGTCCTTTTTCGCCATCTAAGCTGTTAAGAAAACATCTTCAATACTTCAATACTGGTGATGGTGGTTTGGAACATGAATTTTATTTATTCATTTGGGAATGTCATCATCCCAACTGACGAACTCAATCATTTTTCAGAGGGGTAGGTATACCACCAACCAGAATATGTTTACCCTGAGAAAATCAAATGTGGCAACGGAAAAACACGATATCTTTTAATAGGTAAAGAAATCGTGTTGATATAAAGGTATAAATCTTACCCTTTTAAAATCTTTAACCTGATATAAATCCTCTATAAATGTGCCATGTTCAATGCCATGCTTGAAAAAACAGAGGGCACTTGATGGTTCACCGCAGTTTGTAAGTGGGTAAGCCCAGCAATTAAGCGCTTCCAATAGTTCAATACTACGATATAGTACCTAAATATCCATTTTGAACTGATATATTGAACCTATAAATCTAAGATATATATTATATTATATTATATTTTATTATATTATATCTTATTATATTATATTATATTATATTATTTTGTTTTATTTTATATTTTATTATATTATATTATATCTTATTATATTATATTATATTATATCTTATTATATTATATTATATTATGTTTTGTTATGTTATATTATATTATATCTTATTATATTATATTATATTATGTTTTGTTATGTTATATTATATATATTATTGTAACGGACAGAATTATGGAAAAACAACACGTTCAACTTAGACAGGCGGCGCCTGCGTCCGATTTTTCCATAATTGGATTTTTCCCCATAAGGGTTCGACATATCCCGGAAGTGATCCGAATCTTTTTTTTTCCATAATTCTTGGAGGTTGCCATTATTTCCATAATTGATTTTTCCTGTGAAATCAGGGGGCTAGGGCAGATTGACCGGTTTTTCCATATTTTTTTTTCCATAATTATTTTTCCATAATTAATGTTTGGGGCTCCACCTGTTGGACATGTCATGGATCCACAATTCAAACCCATTTTTTTATGGAAATATGTATGCAAATGCAAGTATGCAGTATCAACCCAATTGGTGGCTTGGCAAAAGGAAACATCCAGATATTATGTATATCAATGGCAGGCTTTAGGGGCATATACCAGATCTTTAGACACATATTTTCTATAATTCAATATTCCCCCTTAAAATGCATTCAAATTGCGAACATCACATGATATTATGTATATCAATGGAAGGCTTTAGGGGCATATACCAGATCTTTAGACACATATTTTCTATAATTCAATATTCCCCCTTAAAATGCATTCAAATTGCGAATCGATGGACATACAGTCACCGACAGAATTATGGAAAAAAAAAGGTTCGTAACTTTTCTATCATAGACAGGCGGCGCCTGTAAATTGAAACGTTTTTTTTTTCCATAATTCTGTCGGGTGCTGTATATTATATTATATTATATTTTATTATATTATATTATATTATTATTGTATGTGTGTGTGCGCGTTGTTTCGGGCACCTCTGCCTGAATGAACATAAATGGGTAGTAACATCATCCCCAAATGGTGGCTTATCATCGGTGATTTCCCGTTTGGAACCAGCGGCCAGAGAGGTGGGACCAGCAGCCAGCAGCCTCGGGTTTCTTGTAAGATTGGAAATGTCAATGGTCATTCCAGGATCCTAAAATAGAGGTTCGTAAACGTACCATATTGTTGGCCATATTTTGGGGCTATATTCCCTTACAAAGGCCTGAAAAATAGGCCCTATATATATGGTAGGTACCTCCAATAAATCGGTTCCTGGAATGGCCATTGAAAATGTACCATCATGGGGAGGTATATGATGTTTATATATACATAAAGTATGATATTTAAAACTCTCCTATGTTGCTCTATTTATATCTGGTTGGTGGTTTCAAACATTTGTTCCATCATATATGGGATAATCCTTCCCAATTGCGTAATATTTTTCAGAGGGGTTGAAACCACCAACCAGTTAATGTTGGTTACTTATTCACTTGCGTCGGATGCGATGTCGCTGACCAGGAAGAATCCGGCTGCCCAGTGATTTCAGCTGCAACTTGGTCGATGGAATCATGGTATGTACATGTATATACGTAACCAGTCGCCAGCCCTTGTAACTGGAGATACTGATAAATATTGATAAATAATGATAAATATAAATCAGTCTCAGGATAGTGATATAAACATTTTTAAACCATGTTGATGTAATCATCAAACGAAGAGTTGATACAGGTGCGCATACGAGCTACCAATCAGTGACCAAACATTTCTAATCAAAAATCTTGACTTCAGGATCCCATGATCATATCGAAAGCATCAACAACCTCCATGAAGAGAGTTTATCTTCGGGTTCATGTGGGGAACCCTACGCGAAAGCGAAACCTCCACCCGGCAAAGCGTCGCGAAAGCTGTGGCGAAAGCAGACGTGATAGGACGAATAGGACGAGAAGAGCTTGATATGACCGATATGTTTGATGATTTTTGTAGACTAAGACATGTAGACGGCTTTTCCGCGAAAGCCTCCAACATTGTCAGGTCGATAGCAATCGCTTGTTGGCTGAAGAGATGCGCAACCTTCAAGCAACTTGCCGGGCCCAAGATGGTACAGCTGGTAATCCAAATGGGATATCCGTTCAGTTTGTGGATGGTTGATCAGTTGATGTTTAGCAAAAGGGCCCTTTCTAGTGAGTTTGGGGATCCAATACGAAACCAGGCTTTCCAAGTGGGTAGTCGATATTGGAGGGAAGGAATTTAACCAGATATAACGGGGGTGTAGCCAACAAAGTGATGGGTGTTTTAGCTAAATCAATCGTTTAGTGGGTGAGCGAGTTTTTATGGCCGACACATTGCCGTCTCTTCACACAGAGTATTGCTTCAACAGAGGGATTTATCAGAACCAAATTAGCAGTTTAAGAGGCTAAGAAATCCAATGTTTTTAATTCTGCCTTCAAAATATGAATGCGCACACACACATATATATATAACACGCCAAGGTTTGCAAGGCTTTGGTGGCACGATAAACTTACAGCATGACACAAACATATACAAACCTTTAAGGTGCTAGTTTTGGCTCAACGGCCGAGAACTCTTTCAGTTTACCCGTGACAAAACCACTGCACTCGGATCATAGGAGAACTCGTACCTTCTGCTTTTTCGTCCATGAAAATCTATTTGCAGTAAACCCATCTGGTTGGTGGTTTCAAACATTTATTTTCCATTTCATATATGGGATAATCCTTCCCATTGACTAATAGTGACTAATATTTTTCAAGATGGTTAAAGCCACCAACCAGCCATCTATTATATAGATTGTTCAAAAACAATCAGGATTACCTTTGATCCTCCACAAAAATCCATGGCATACATTTTATGAGTTTGATGTACCTTAAAGACAAGGTTTGCCGTCCATTTTATCCTTCAAACCACCGACAGAATTTGATGTTTAAAACCATGGTTTCTTTCCATGAATTTCTGAAAAAGGCACCAAAATGATCCAACATATTTGAAGTTGTATTTGCTTTTATGTATTTTTATACTAAAAAAAATGGTGTCCAATTTCCAAAGGTTTCCAGCCCACAGAACCATCAAACAACGTACCTTGGCCCCAGGCCAAGCAGCAGGACCTCGCACAGGAACTGGGCAGCCGCAGTGGTGTTTTCGCACTGCCCGAAGCGGTTCTGGTGGTGCTGCTTCAGCATGGCAGCTTCGGCAGAGCAGCTGGGGAGATCATGGGTCAAACCTTGGCTCTGAAGATTCTGAAGTAAGATCCTTTGGCAAAGACAAGGAGTTGTAAGTACTAGCAGTGAAGCTGTGGATTTGTTAGTGTGGAGTGTTGGTTCTGGAAGTTGGTCTCCTAGGCACTTGACATGACAAACCTCTGTGCGGTGTAGGTCAGTGTAGGTTCTTTGCTCTTTAGATTTTCTGAACTTCTGACTCTGCAGCTCTGGGGATACCCCGTTTACCTCCCATGTTTACCCAACAACTGTGCTTCTGATATTCGAGGTATTGATGTGACACAGCAGTGGGCCGAAAGCATGACTCTGGGATTCACTGGGATCGAAAGGTCGAAAGGTGCTGTGAATTTTGTCAATGGCCAGCAATGGCCAGCAATGGCGCAACCAATGGCGATTCATTGCATTTTTCCCAAGACCACGTACTACATCATTGCTGGGATCCCGAAATTTGTTTGAATGTTGTTTTCCAGTTATAAATGGAAATATATTACCACACTCTCACAATATGGTGTTCATATGTTTACTCCCTTCCGGCCATAGATGGATCATGATTATATATGCATATGCAGTACACACACATACAGTATACACCATACATCGGTATACTATTCCCTATAGTTTTTGTTTTGCTGATATTATTATATTATGCATACATGTCCGGTCTTGATTGATTTATATTCTTTCTGTAACTTCATGTTTTCTATGATAAGCACACACATGTAACATACTATATATATATAAACATATACATGGAGTATCATTGAGTAATATATACAAGTATATAAATTATCATTAGAATCAATCAACCAACCCCATAAGACTTGTAGGTTCCCAACATACTCAGCCCCAAAGGCGGTCCAGCAACCCCTGATAAGACCTGTAGGTTGCCAACATACAGCCCCAAAGGCGGTCCAGCAACTCCCATAAGACTTGTAGGTTGCCAACATACAGCCCCAAAGGCGCCCCGATACGACCTGTATGTTGACAACATACAGCCCCAAAGGCGGTCCAGCAACGCTCATAAGACCTGTAGGTTGCCAACATACAGCCAAAGGCGGTCCAGCAACGCCCAAAAGACCTGTAGGTTGCCAACATACAGCCAAAGGCGGTCCAGCAACCCCTGATAAGCCTCGTTGCTCGCAACATACAGCCCCAAAGCCAGTCCAGCAACTCCCATAAGACCTGTAGGTTGCCAACATACAGCCCCAAAGGCGCCCCGATACGACCTGTATGTTGACAACATACAGCCCCAAAGGCGGTCCAGCAACGCTCATAAGACCTGCAGTTGCCAACATACAGCCAAAGGCGGTCCAGCAACCCCTGGTAAGCCTCGTGGGTCGCAACATACAGCCCCAAAGCCAGTCCAGCAACTCCCATAAGACCTGTAGGTTGCCAACATACAGCCCCAAAGGCGCCTCGATACGACCTGTATGTTGACAACATACAGCCCCAAAGGCTGTCCAGCAACCCCCTGTAGGTTGCCAACATGAAGCCCAAAGGCGGTCCAGCAGCGCTCATAAGACCTGTAGGTTGCCAACATACACCCCCAAAGGCGGTCCAGCAACCCCCACAAGACGTGTGGGTCGCCAACATACACCCCCAAAGGCGGTCCAAAACTCCCCAACAAGACCTGCAGGTTGCCAACATACAGCCCCAAAGGCGGTCCAGCAACCCCATAGGACCTGTAGGTTGCCAACATACAGCCCTGAAGGCTGTCCAGCAACCCCATTGGACCTGTAGGTTGCCAACATACAGCCCCAAAGGCTGTCCAGCAATCCCCAAAAAGACACGTATGTTGCCAACATACAGCCCCAAAGGCGGTCCAGCAACCCCTGGTAAGACCTGTAGATTGCCAACATACAGCCCCAAAGGCTGTCCAGCAATCCCCAATAAGACACGTAGGTTGCCAACATACAGCCCCAAAGGCGGTCCAGCAACCCCTGGTAAGACCTGTAGGTTGCCAACATACAGCCCCAAAGGCTGTCCAGCAATCCCCAATAAGACACGTAGGTTGCCAACATACAGCCCCAAAGGCGGCCCAGCAACCCCTGATAAGACCTGTAGGTTGCCAACATACGTCCAGCAACCCCTGATAAGACCTGCAGGATGCCAACATACTGGCCCAAAGGCGGCCCAGCAACCCCCATAAGACCTGTAGGGTGCCAACATACGGCACCCAAAAACTGTCCAGCAAACCCCATAAGACTTGTTTGACAACATAGAGCCGGTCCAGCAACCACATAAGACCTATAGGTTGCCAACATACAGCCCCAAAAGCTGGTTCAGCAACCATAAGACCTGCAGGTCGCCAACGTACAGCCCCAAAGGCGGTCCTGCCAACATACAGCCCCAAAGGCGGTCCAGATAAGACCTGTAGGTCGCCAACATACATTCATTGAAACCCGACTTTACCACCTGACCACGGCGCGACATGGCATTCCGGAGCTTGGGACCTCCATCGCCCGTGGCCTGGCTCAGGAACTACGTGGAGGCCATGCTGCGACAGCAGCTGGTGGCAGCCATTGGAAAGGAGGTCACCGTGGCGGACTTCGCGGCCTACATGCGTCACTGGGACGCACATCACTGTGCGATTTGTTTAATGGTTTTATGTGGGATTTAAGATGATAAAACTGTGTCTAATCTAATTCAAGCGCTTGTTTGGGCTATACTCTCTGGATTAGAGATGATATATCTGGATGAATTTGATCATGACTTCATGTCGTGACGTGATTGGGGGAATGAGTGCCATATGGAATATCAACGGGATTGAATTCGGGGGCTTGGCTCCATTGCCTATTTGATTACCATGGATGCAACCTAGTCAGTCAGGTGCAGGGGGCCAACTTTTGTGGGCATTGTTACCAGGGGTAAACGATGGGATATCATGGGATGATTACAAGCAACTTTTTTTTGTTCCCCATATCTCTGATCATTGTAAGAGGTTTGCATCATGCCATATGGCATTCCGTCTTAGGCAGGCTGAGTATATGGAAATATATGGAACTACCATCAGATATTCTGCTCATGTTTGGTGAAGTCCTGCAGGCTTTCACTACCGGAAGGTCTTCCAGGAGAGCGGAAGCGATAGTAGCGGGAAGGGCCCAAGGTCAACCAATTTTGGTCAACCAACAGCATGGGTACATATAGTACACGGGTCTCATATGTGCGCATATATACTTATTTAAAATTTATAATATATATATATATATAATGTCAACATCGTATTAATAACCCCCCCTCCCCCCCAAACATTAAGAGCATCAAAATAAAATTTAGGCCAAATATTCACCTAGGGTTCCTGGAAAATTTTCAGACCTATGTGGCGCCGAACAAATTGCCTAATTGAAAACGAATACAAAAAGTGAATTTTCTTGGAACTTTAGTATTCACAAATGAATTGTGCCTAATTGAAAACGAATACATAAAGTGAACTTTCTTGGAACTTTAGTATTCACAAATGAATTGCCTAATTGAAAACGAATGCATAAAGTGAACTTTCTTGGAACTTTAGTATTCACAAATGAATTGCCTAATTGAAAACGCATACATAAAGTGAACTTTCTTGAAAGGGTTTAGTAAGGAAAGGGTTTAGTAAGGAAATCGACCATTTGAGCCTTGTTGATTTTTTTGCACTCCAGAACTTTTCAGGCAAGATTTGGAGTTTGGAGTTTACTGCTTCCAGCTCAAAGAGTCTTGAGGGCTTCAGAAAGGGTTTGAGAAAGGGTTCAACTAGGAAAGGAATTGAGAAACAAATTTAATTAACCACCAAAATTTTAGAACCCTGAAATCCACATACTTTATTTAGGGGTGTGCAAACATACATTTTTATTTTGATGTCAGGGGACTTCAAGGCTACCCCCTTTGCGCAATTGTTTTTTGGCATTTTTTTGAAAGGGTTTAGCAAGGAAATCGACCATTTGAGCCTTGTTGATTTTTTTGCACTCCAGAACTTTTCAGGCAAGATTTGGAGTTTGGAGTTTACTGCTTCCAGCTCAAAGAGTCTTGAGGGCTTCAGAAAGGGTTTGAGAAAGGGTTCAACTAGGAAAGGAATTGAGAAACAAATTTAATTAACCACCAAAATTTTAGAACCCTGAAATCCAAATACTTTATTTAGGGGTGTGCAAACATACATTATTATTTTGATGTCAGGGGACTTCAAGGCTACCCCCTTTGCGCGATTGTTTTTTGGCATTTTTTGAAAGGGTTTAGTAAGGAAATCGACCATTTGAGCCTTGTTGATTTTTTTTGCACTCCAGAACTTTTCCAAAAAAAACCACCTATGTATTCCCAAATGAATTGCCTAATTGAAAACGAATACATAAGGGAACTTTCCCTCCAAAAAATAAAACCACCTATGTATTCCCAAATGAATTGCCTAATTGAAAACGAATACATAAGGGAACTTTCCCTCCAAAAAAAAAAAACCTATGTATTCCCAAATTAATTGCCTAATTGAAAACGAATACATAAGGGAACTTTCCCTCCAAAAAAAAAACACCTATGTATTCCCAAATGAATTGCCTAATTGAAAACGAATACTAAAGGGAAAAAACGGAAAAAAAAACGGGAAAAAAAAGGTGGCGTACTTTATTACGGGGGGGTTTTATTGTTGTGAACCGGGACTTGGCATACTTTATTGCGGGGGGGTTTATTAACGCCATGTGAACATTATATATGTGTGTGTGCGCTAATGACTCTACTTCGTGTGATCCCCACCATGACATGTCAGGACGTATATTTGGACATATATTTAGTATATTCTGACATCCTATCTGACATATATTCTGGCATATATTCTGGCATTCTATCTGGCATATATCCTGACATTCCACCTGGCATTCTATCTGGCAGTCTATCTGGCATTCTATCTGACATATTTTCTGACATTTCATCTGACATATATTCTGGCATTCTACCTGTCATTTATTCTGACATATATTCTGGCATTCTATCTGACATATATTCTGGCATATATTCTATCTGGCATTATATCTGACATATATTTTGGCATTCTATCTGACATATATTCTGGCATATATGTTGGCATTCTATCTGGCATTATATCTGACATATATTCTGGCATTCTATCTGACATATATTCTGGCATATATTCTGGCATTCTATCTGGCATTATATCTGACATATATTTTGGCATTCTATCTGACATATATTCTGGCATATATGTTGGCATTCTATCTGGCATTATATCTGACATATATTTTGGCATTCTATCTGACATATATTCTGGCATATATGTTGGCATTCTATCTGGCATTATATCTGACATTCTATCTGACATTCTATCTGGCAGTCTATCTGGCATTCTTTCTGGCATTCTTTCTGGCATTCTATCTGGCATTCTATCTGGCATCCTATCTGACATTCTATCTGGCATTCTATCTGGCATTCTTTCTGGCATTCTTTCTGGCATTCTATCTGGCATTCTATCTGGCATCCTATCTGACATTCTATCTGGCATTCTATCTGGCAGTCTATCTGACATTCCTACATGAGGTCCGGCAGGGAACACTTGGCATGGATACTCGCGGTTGAGGTCCGGCAGGGAACACTGGGCGCGGATGGTCGTGGTTGAGGTCCGGCAGGGAACACTGGGCGTGGATGGTCGTGGTTGAGGTCCGGCAGGGAACACTGGGCGTGGATGGTCGTGGTTGAGGTCCGGCAGGGAACACTGGGCGTGGATGGTCGTGGTTGAGGTCCGGCAGGGAACACTGGGCGTGGATGGTCGTGGTTGAGGTCCGACAGCGAACACTGTGGATCGCGAGTCGCAGTTGAGCAGGAGGACGAGGAGGACAACGAGAGGAGGAGGAGGAGAGGAGGACGAGGCAGGAGGAGGCGGAGGAGGAGGAGGAGAAGGAGGAGGAGAAGGAGGAGGCAACTGACATAAAATCTAACAACCCTCACCTGGCAGGTGGGGAAATATAATGCTATAACATGTTTTCTTGGTATAAATGAATGTTTTTGTTTTTTTATTGACCAGCTAGAAACAATATGCATGGCATCTAAGAGTAGCTGTGTAACCACGGGCATCATTGTCATAACGAAGAAAAGACTCATTACACTGATCTTAACAGGATCACAATGTCTGGGTTTGCGCAGAAGTGCCTTGAAATTGCTATTTTGGGGGTTTCCTAATATGGGTGTACCCCAAAACCATGGGTTTCAATATGTTTCAAACTGTTCACCTGTCTAATTTTTGATGATTGGAGGTACCCCTGTGACTTTGGAAACCACCAAAACCACCATGTTTGTATAGAAAAAGTGTTGGCAAACCTTCGTCACCTGTTCCGTCCAGGACGCCTATCTGCCAGCGCCCTTCAGTTTCGCAGTGCGACGCTCGGAACTCCATTCGCCGGTGCCTTGGCCGAGCTGAGTTGGGAGAAACGAGTCAGCAGTGGAATAGCCTGGCAAAACCTGGTAAAACAACTTACCACTCTAACTTATATAGTTTCCTTGGGGTCTGTCAATGTCTGTCATGACTTGCCGCAGTGGAACATGGTATTCCAATATTCTTCCAATTTCCCGGTATATAAATTGTATCACTTCCAGTCATACGAATGTGATACATAGGCCTCCCCAAAAACATCATCAAAGATTGATCAACCACTGATCGGCGAGTCATTTACTGTCACAATTTCAGGCACCTCACATTTACTAACCACTTGTTGTTTCAAAACCTTCCCCCAGCGCCATCCCCTTCCGCATGTGGTCAGGAAGGCACCCTGAGCATCGAAGAAGAGGCGACAGGTGGCTCCACACCCAGCCAACCCGTCTGCAGCATGTCCTCCGTTGGACACGCGCAGAGCGCCTTGGGCTCGGAGTTTGGTGGGGCATGCTGACAGAGGAATTGACATCTGGGATGATCACCAACAAAACCAACAAAACTTGTGATTTCATGGGATGTAAATGCTGATATTTCCTGGGATATCACCAACATAGTGAATTTTATATTAATATCTGGATGAATTTGATCATGACTCATGTGTGACATCAATGGAAAGATGGCGAGTGTCTAGGGGAATCATCCCTAAATGGGGGTATGAAAGCAGCTAAGAACGCATGTTTACTTAGGATTGGCCATGTCTTTGAGGGGTCATTTTGCTGGGAAGATGGATGAAGATGAGGGTGGATACAAACGATAAGATTTGCACACGGTAGTATCCAATAGTAGTGATCAGTTGGTGATGGGTGTTTGAATGAAGAAGTGTGATGGTCATGATTGATGCTGATGAAGTGGTGAGTCAAGGGTCAGACATTGCAAGATATGACACATAAAATGAGGCTTGGAATTGACATCTGAAAGAGATCATGTGCAGGGAATGGTTGTGCGTGCAAGCCACCAATGGAAAATCTGGTGGCAGTCCCGTTTTCATGGCTTCCCTAGGGCTTCCCCAGCATTTGCAGGTGTGACTTTCGACCTCAATGCCTCCACCACGGTGTCCTTTAGTGGCGATGTTCATCTCCATGCTTGGCTAGCGCATCAGTTCTCAGGCGTGGCGCCGTGGTGCGGGAGGTTGAACGGGTTGAACAGGGGGGGGCCCACTGTTGGTTGATAGATATACCATCATGAATAGAGGTGTTAATCGTCAAGGGATGGAGATATATGATATAGTTGGGATACATTTGACTAAGAATAATTAGTTGATGATTAGTGCGGGGACTATAACATCAAACATTTGCATTATGTCGCAAGATGAAGAAAATCTCATCCTAAGTCACATGCCTATAATATATGTTTTTTCCGTCAGAACCTCCATTTATAGAGAATTGACCTCAAGAAGTTATCCAAAGATCCCAGTTTTTATATCTGGTTGGTGGTTTCAAACATTGATTTTATTTTCCATTTCATATATGGGATAATCCTTCCCATTGACGAACTCCATCATTTTTCAAGATGGTTAAACCAATTTCTGGTTGGTGGTTTGGAACATATTTCCATATATTGGGAATGTCATCATCCCAACTGACGAAGTCATATTTTTCAAGATGGTGAAATTGCACCAGCAATCAGATTATAAACCCCATTATAGTTATATCTACCAGGTACCATAAACCATAGTTAAGTCACTTAACAATCAGCCAACCAGCCAAGACATTCCAGCCATCCGTAAGTCCCGTCCAGGTCAAAGCGGATCCAGTCTGGCTTTGGTGTCACGCGCGCGGCAATTTAGCAGCTACATCGTCATGGTGGGTCGCATCGTTTCAGCGACACAGTTCGATCCCACCTATGCCATCCTGGTGCAGAACAAGGATGAGCCGCTTGAATCCGCTTGAACCAGCCGGGGGATGGCCTCATGGCTCTGGTGGCCCCAAGTTAATGGAGATTCTTGCCGCTATTGCCATAGTTATAGTTACCCATAATTAATACGCCAAACTGCATCCCAAGTAGCGTAGTTGAACGACAAGATTGGGGTCATAGATGCAAACATTATTGGATTCATAAGCACCACATAACAACATACGCTAAAGTAATGGTTGTAGTTCAACGAAAAATCTGCAGAATTGGATGCCATAACATGAATAAGGACCAGCCAACGCCTCAAACTCACCTGTTGGAAGACGCTGTTTGATGAGGAGAGCCGATTGAAGGGGAGTGCTTTATAGCGATAAGTCCCACAACTATACGTGAGTTCCAAAAAGGTTCCATGGCTGCATTGCTTAGAAAAAAACCATTGCCTTCCTTCACAATGAGATCACGTAGATTCATCTAGCGAATGCAAAGGTGTCATGTTCATTCACCCCAATCAATCGCATAACGATGCCAATCAAAATAAAAACTCAATTCTGATGCCAGGCTGGAGCATGGAAGGCCAATGTCATCAACTAATGTCAGCCTTGGATCAAAAGTAGATCTTTAAAACCCGGTCCCAGCTCTTGTGAATTTTGGGGTCCCGAGGTTAAATCGTGTTACTTTGCCCTGCATAAATATGGGATGATCCCCAAAGAGATTTGTATGTTTCAGCTGGGGGTTGAAACCACCAGCTGAGTGTTTATGAAGCAACATCAAGATGTACCATCTGGTTATTTAACATAGCCATGGAAAATCCCTAATAAATGGAGGTTTTTATGGGAAAATCATCTATAAATGGGCCATTTCCCATGGCTATGTTAAATAACCAGAGGGTACCCCAATCACCGGCCATTCGGCTACAGTCCTGAGGCTTGGGATTCCTTTGGACTTGTCCACCATCCCTACATCCAAAGAGTGTCGAGTCTCAACGGTTTCAGCCTGGTTTGCACAAACGAATGATGATCAAACTTACCTTGCCGGCTTACCCACTGAATGGAGCAGAAAGCCCGATGAGACAAGCTTATATAAATGAATGCAAGTGGGGATTTTGCCGTTAGATACAAGGTTGAATGTAACGAGTTCTGTATGTTCATGCCGAATTCACTTGCATATGTTTTTAGCATTTTTTCCAGGTTACTCAGCTTGTCACCTGTATACTCACTGATTGTTGTGGCTGCAATGTTATCCATCCTGCCTGCGACGGAAGGGACCCCAAAATGAATGTATTCCATGCATCCCAGAGGGGTTTTGCCTGTTTTTTTTGTTAGAACCTATCTGTCTCATTCGGGCGCAGGGTCGTAGTACTTGAAGGGGCAGTTCCATTTCATAAGTAGATAATCGAATATGTGGCGATGACAGTTTACCCACAGGCTTGGTTTATGGTGAAATCACCTTGGTAAACCGTAAATCACATTATTTACCCACATAAATATGTGTCACCACATAATATAACCACCAAATCCCATTTATGGTGGTGAAATCGCCTTGGTTCAGGTTTAAAGACGCCATCGAGTCCCTCTCCCCAGAGCAGCAGGCCTTTGCCAAGGCAGTCTTGAAGCCGTGTGTCACCGTTGGGGTCATAGGAACCAGAAAACATGGGGATAGTGATAGCACCAGCAGAAAAGGGTTTTATCTATTATAATAAAATATAAAAAATTACTTCACTTCGAATGATCCCCACCATGACATTTATACATTTTCTTACTGGCAAATCTATCCGGCATATCTCTTCTGACATTCTATCTGACATATCTTCTGACATTCTTTCTGGCATATCTTCTGGCATATCTTCTGGCATTCTATCTGGCAAATCTTCTGGCATTCTATCTGGCATATCTTCTGGCATTCTATCTGACATTTTATTTGGCATATCTTCTGACATTTTTTCTGGCATTCTATCCGGCATATCTCTTCTGACATTCTATCTGACATATCTTCTGACATTCTTTCTGGCATATCTTCTGACATTCTGTCTGGCATATCTTCTGACATTCTTTCTGACACTCTTTCTGGCATTCTATCTGGCATATCTTCTGACATTCTATCTGGCATCTTTTCTTCCCGTTGAGGTCCGGCAGTGCCCACTGCGATCTGGAAGTCGTGGTTGAGGTCCGGCAGTGCCCACTGGGATCTGGAGCTCGCGGTTGAGGTCCGGCAGTGCCCACTGGGATCTGGAGCTCGCGGTTGAGGTCCGGCAGTGCCCACTGCGACCTGGAAGTCACGGTTGAGGTCCGGCAGTGCCCACTGCAACCTGGAAGTCGCAGTTGAGGTCCGGCAGTGCCCACTGGGATCTTGAGCTCGCGGTGGAGGTCCGGCAGTGCCCACTGCAATCTGGCGCTCGCGGTGGAGGTCCCGCTGTGCCCACTGGGATCTGGACTGCGAGGAGGACGAGGCGGAGGAGATGGAGGAGGAGGATGCGGAGGCGGAGGAGGAGAACAGCTCTGATAAAATCTAACAACCCTCACCTGGCAGGTGGGGAAAAATGTAAAAATGTGGAAGTTTTTCATCATTCAAAAAGAGGATGATTCTGGATTACAAGGACCTCCCTGCGACGTCACGACGTAGACGATCATTGGTAGGAGGTAGTATCCTGAAATGGCCATTGGCTTCGTCCAAAAAGCGGAATGTACCCGCTGCGTAGCCTCTTGTAAAGATAGTGACCATGGTGAGAAAGTAATGGTTTGATAAGCTCATAAACTATGTGGTTTTATGGTTCACATGTTATTACCACCAATATTGTGCACATGGCCAAGGGGTGATGATATAAACCGTTGGTCGATATTTCTTTGGCTCTTCCTACCTTCAAAGTTCACGTTTGCTGAAGCAGGATCATGTTCTTCATATCTTTTCTTCAGCCACTCCATGTTCAATTTCAGATGCTGGGTGCCATTTCAGTATATCATAATATGTCAATGGCCATTCCAGGAACCTAAATTGGAGGTACCTACCATATATAAGGCCTATTTTTCAGGCCTATGTAAGGGGATATCCCCCCAAAATATGGCCTTATATGGTACAGTACCTCCATTTTAGGATCTTGAAATTCCCATTGAATATATCTAATTTCTAATATTGTTATACGCTAAGGGGTTACACAAATCAGACACTTTGAAGTGCACTTTTTCATCTACACTGGGTGTATGCAGCCGTGTCATTTCAGCCGCCCTTCAGGCCTTCCGGGCCATGCAGCTGGAAAGCACGCTCTTCGGTGCCTTCGAAATCGAAGTTGAACGCATTCCCAAGCCAGGTTGGCTAACCCAAAGGCAAACCAAGTACTGTAATAAGTCAACTTAGAAATTATAAAGGTTAAGCCAGGTGAGCTAACCAAGTAAGATGCATACTATCATGGAAGTCAACTTGGCTGAAGACTTTGCCGTCGTTTTTTCGGGGGCCTCACCTTGGTGTTGGTGATGATGATCACAGCTGAACCAGCTTTCTTCGGCTTCTACGAAGGTCCTGATATTCTTGTCCTTGTACCCTGTGGTTATTTAACATAGCCATGGAACATGACCCATTTATAGATGATTTTCCCATTAAAACATCCATTTATAAGGGATTTTCCATGGCTATGTTAAATAACCAGAGGGTATGTCCTTGTTCATTCTAGTCCTTCTTTGATCCATAGATGATATAGATGAGCCAAAAACTCATGGATGAGACACTTACTGGTCACATTTTTTTAAATAATTGCTGGTCACAGCAAGTCTTCTACGAGCTTTTACTTAGTGTTCGGCCAAAATGCTTGAGAGAGAGATCTGGATCCTTGTGATTTTTCTATGCTTCCCAGTTCGCTGGGGCCCGGTCAGTGGGGCTGAATCTTGATTTGACCACTGGCGATGCCAAACAGCAACCTACATTTCAGCTATTTCCAGCTACTGCAAACCTCTGAACTGTTCAATTTCCAGCATTCATAAAGCATGAAGCCCAATGAAGCTCTGGTTTTTTCTGGCTTCCAGACTTCCAGCCTGCCCAATAAAAGGGCCCCCTTCCGCTGCGGTGCCCCTCAGGTGTCGTGGTGGTGCAGGTGAAACCTCAACTGGAAGAGTTGCTGAAGCTGCCGGTGGCCTTGCCATGTCTTTGGGCCTTGGGTCCCGTGGGTTTTTATATCAGAGAAGCATCAGAAAGAATGGACGAATGGCTTGTTTCTTAATCAAAAAGCACCATTATGGACCATTATCTATATAGTTATTCTTGGATTATTTGATTTGGTTCAGAATTGGATAAACTGGAATTGAATGGAATGGATCTAAAATCGTGGGTCATCCCATTTAGTGGTTAATAACCCTGGTTCATAAGTCCTGTAGGTGGGTTATCCAATTTATAAATGGGCTATAACCCCAGTGACGAACCGGGATCCACCCCCGGCCTAGCCTGGATCGTGGCAGGAAGATAGCCTGACCAAGGAGATCAAGCTGACGCAGGACTCATGGTATATATATATATATATATATGCAGTATTTGTTTTTTAACGATGTTCAGACCCAAGTTTTGAAAAGGGAGTTTGCATGACTGAATCAGCAGCAATGGTAACTTAATTAACCATCAACATTGGAAATGGATATTTTGAGCTAACACAAGCGGGTATGAGGATCTAAATCCCATTACTGAACTAAGTCGTTGAGATGTTCGGAACCATCTCATTTTTGTGGGGGTTTCCATAAATGGGGGTATCGAAAATGGTTGGTTGATAATGGATAAAATACCATAAAAATGATAAAATGGATGATTTGGGGGTGGACCATCTCTCATCAGGAAACCTAACCATCTCTCATCATATCTTGGGTGCTCCAAGTTTTGCGGCTCCAGGACTTGATGCAGTTGTTCATCAAATACCAGCACTTTGGCAGGTGACCTAAGGAGCTGACCTAGTTGTGATTTCAGGGTGGAAAAACCAGGGTTTTTTTGACCTACAAAGGTAGCCTCTGGTAAACATACAAAAAGCTATGGAAAACTATTTATAGCTGATTTACCTATTAAAAATGGTGATTTTCCATAGTTATGTTAGTTTACCAGAGGGTATCTCTTGAACCAGTACATCTTAGCCCTTTAAATCCCTCCCAGAAAGTCCCTTCTTTTGGGAAACAGCCCACCAGAAAGTTTATCCCAGATGTGGTTTGGCTCCAGCTCCAGTTTTCCATATGATATTTGATATATGCCACACACATATATATATATATATATATATCAGCTCTAGTTTTCCATATGATATCTGATATATGACATATATATATATATACATATATATATATATGTACACTGCATCTATCTATTTGTCTATCTATCTATATCTATCTAATCTATCTATCTACACTATTCTTTACTCATTTTGGATCTTTTTGCTTCCTTAATTTGGCCTAAAACATTGGCGCCCAACTGCACCCAACCGCTCCACCCCCCAAGGATTCCCAGCGATCTGCTGTCCTTCTCGGAGGATCTGCTGCAACCCGGCGAGGCAGCGACGGCGGCGAAGAAGTTGGAGATCGTCAAGGGACAAGTGGCGCAGATGAATGGCATCTTGGGTGTGTTTAAGGGTTTTTTTTCCCAATTATTTCCCAGTGGGAAATCCACTATATACTAAGGGAATCTATAGGGAATATGTTGTATATTTTTGGGGGCTCCCTAAGCAAATGCAAGGAATGATCGCACGTGAAAAGCGCCTTGGACCACCGGGTTGGATGGGGTTAGAGTCCTGGAAGGTGCAGGTCAGGATTGAAGGGCTGGACAAGTGGTAATAAGGCAACGCATATTGAAGGGCGGGGATGTGGCCACATCAATTTCACCATGAACGGGCCGGGTTCTAAGTCATACTTGGTGGCCTCATGTTTCTATGTTTTTTTCTACCCCTGTCCTTATTACTTCCCTAAGTTTTACGATGGACCCTCCCCAAAAAAAGCGACATTCCAAGTCATCCAAGTCTGGAAATCATTTTTCCATAGCCTCCATCCTGCATCCCGGAATCCCCAAATCCCTGTGGCCAAAATGGCAGGGTATCCACAATCCTTTGGACAACGTGTGTAACCCAAAGGATCTTGAAAGTCTTACCCTCTGGTAATGACTGACATAACTATGGAAGCCACCATAGAAATAGTGGATTTTCCCAGCTAGAAAATTGTGATTTTACATATATAGTTATGTTAGTTTACCAGAGGGTATATTCCCTTAATGAATATCCATTATCTATCCCGACTATGGTTGGTTTTTGTGCACCCCAACACAAATGGTCATGATTTTACCATGATATGTTTGTACACATCAAAAACGTGCATGATTTCATGTGTGAAATCCCTGTTTTGGCTGTTTGAATCTCTATCACCTTGGTGTTACAGACTGCAGGCAAGAGGAACTGGAAGAGCGGCGGAAAGAAGAAGAGTTCAAGCGCATCTAAGCGTGCAATTTGATGGTGATTTTAGGGGTGAAAGTCTATGCCAAATTGTGCCAAGCTATTTGTTCATCTGGTTTTTACCAGTACATAATATATTGGGGATGTACTGTTTCTTTGGGTTGATTTGAAGGATGATCTGCAGTAAAGTGTTTATATATGTGCACTTTTTTTTCCACCCTTAATGGGTTGATTTTGGGCCTTAAATGGTGCACCACGGAACACATAATAGTAAAGCCATGGGCACCCCACTCTCCCCACCTAGAAACCAATGGCTAGGGTACACCTAAATTGTTGGACATGCCCATGTCTTCCTACGAGATTCATTGTGGGCTAGCTGGAGAACCCACCACGGATGTTTGGCAATACAAGAAACAATATATAGTATATAGGATTTACCACCCAGCCAGGTTGAATTGCAAGAGGCTGACCGCCTGAACATGAGGAACATCATATCCCCAGTGGAAAGGTGAAAGCAACCTATCCGTTTCGTGAGCTGGGTTCATGCGAATTCTCCGGGTAAGCCGGGTGATGAACCATTTTTTTTCTGGGGGGGTGCTTTGTGGTATCTGTGAATGTTTGTGGTATTTGTGTGTTTGTGGCATGGGTTAGGAGGCCCCCTCCCAGGGTACCCCAGCCCCGAGATGGCTGAAATCTATTGGGCCTCATTGATATCCCACCGAAAGTTTACTTGATCAGGAGGTGGCCGTAGGAATTTGTAGGAATGATTTACCCAGAGAACACATCAAAGTTAACTTTTGGCGGGATAGTTATCTAATGTTATCTGTCCTTGGCGTATGCATGCATACGTAGAATAATCATATTCACACTATATAAATGCAGATATTATAGGCATGTATGTGTGGACATTTTGTTTAATGATGTTTGTTGTATACATTGTAGACTTACACAATCTTACATACATATGTGCATAATATACAGTATATATATATGTATCTAGATATATATATATAATACATATACATATGTTATATATATATATACATATAAAAATGAAGGTTGCTTCAGATTCGCAACCCGTGAGGGCATTTTTGTGAGGCATGGAGCAGATCCGTCGTATGGAAGAAGAACGCTGCAGAAAGGCGCGCTGGTTGGTGGTGGGACAATATTATAATATTAATAATTATTAGGGAGTTCATTGGACATACACAAAAAGTGGGATTTCATATTAATTTGATCAAGAAATAATGGAAATTGATAGTAGCTTTATGATGGCTGATAGGGTAAGTTGGTTTGCAACTAGACTGATGAAGTTAGATGACTGTGGTGGATGTAACGTTGTGATTGGATGGGCTTGGTGTTATTTTATTACCAATAACGGGGGCCCGGGGGGCCTTCCAGTGAGTGTTGTGCCATTCCGAAAGAAACACGTCGGGTGAACATGGTGAATCCATCCATCCACCCATCGATAGATTTCATCTACCCTCTGGTTATGACTAACATAGCTATGGAAAATCATCATTTTTAATAGGTAAACCATCTATAAATAGCCTATAATAGGTTATTTTCCATGGCGAACTGTTAAATAACCAGAGGGTATCTTTCTATCCATCCACGATTCGGTATCAATCGATCAATCTATCAGTCTATCAACCTATCATTGTTTTTTTTTTCTCTCTCTCTCTCTCTTTCAATCCGTCTATTCATCTATCCATCTATCCATGTATCCATATCCATAGATCCATCGATTCTTCCATCCATACATCCACCCATCCACCCATCCATCTATGTGAACTGGTCTTTCTATCTATTTATAGTTCTATGAGTTTGTCTATCTTTGTATATATCTTATGTAATCCAATCAAATCTAATCTAAGCTAATCTAGTCTTTGTAATAGATCAAATCTATCTGATCTGAGCTAATCTAATCTAATCGATCTAATATATATTGTTTGTTTGTTCTAATTTATCCATTATGTCTAATCTAATCGATCTAATCTAACCTACCTAATCTATCTATCTAATCTAATCGATCCGTTCCATCTGATCTATCTGTATAATCTATCTTATATGTCTAATCGAATCCATCTAATCTAATATATGTAGCAATCTGTCTAATCTATCTTTGAAATCTAATCTATCAAGTTTATTTAATCTATCTATATAATTATTTTATATGTTTATACAATCTAATCCATCTAATCTAATCCATCTATATACTTTATCTATAATCTATGTATCTTATCTTTTCCTATTATATGTGTGCTTGTTTGTTCTTTAGTTGGTGTTGTATTTCATTATTTTTGCCTTGAATTATTTATTGTTTTCCTTGTCTATCCCATCTTATTTGTCCAATCCTATCCTATTCGATCCTATCCCATCCTGTCCTATTCTATCTCTCCTATCTATCTTATCTTTCCTATCTGTCCTATCTATCCTATCTACCTACTTATAGTCGGCAAGACTGGTCTTTTCTTAAATGTCATTCAGATTCAGACCATCTATGGTCAGCCATAAGCGGCCTTCCGTTCTAATTGTCACGTTACCGAACTGGTTGGTTGATTACCGAATGGGTCATGATAATCCCCAAGATATTGGCTAGTGTAGTCCCCGAAGGAATCCTCAACCAACCATTGTTCTACTTATATGCCCATGTAAATGATGTTGGTTAATCCACTTATGTCCACTTATATAACTTATAATCCACTTATTGTTGGTGGTTAAATCCATATTAAATGACCATTGGGTCAACCAACAGGAGTAGATCGCAACCACACCGCCAGGAAGCGGAAGAGGTGAAGATTATGCAGCTGGAAGAGAGGCTGGGACGGGCATGACGCGAGATGGTGCGTCAAGGCCCTGCCCTGCTTCCTTGACCCAATATGAAAGAATGGATGAAACGCCTTTTGGTCACGATACATGGCAATGAGAAAACCCCTTTATCATCTGTACAGACGTGGGGATTTCCCAGTGAAATGTTTGATTACCGGAGGTATTGCACCCCGTTTTGGTTGATGTTTGTCTTGCACAAGTTTATGCCAACCAATGGTCAATGGTTTGGATTCGCCAACGAAAGCACCACTTAAGCATTGACTGAACGCATATGTTTTCCTACACTGGTTTCGCAGTTGCCTTCTACCACTGATTCTGTACTTTGGCTGTCAACGCACTAACCACCACCACCACCAGCAGCAGCAACAGCAACAACAACAACGACAACGACAACGACCACGTTAACGACCACCACCGCCAACAACATTACAACCACAACCACGGCCACAACAACAAAGACATGAACTTCTATTTAGGGATTGTTTATGGCATTGGGATTACCTCAGTAATCATGTTTTACCTCACTTATAAACCAATTTTTTCTCCCTTAACTATAGGTAGTATAAACCCTGTGATAGCCCAGTTACAGGCATTATTTGCTTACGTTTTCTTAGCGTATTTCAATAGGTAGAGATACAACCCCAGCAGTACTGGTGACCACCAAAAGCTCCAGGTGCATGATGCTGTCCGATCAGGCGGTGTGCCTCCAAAGCGCACCCAAGAGGCGGCTACATGGGACACCAAGGATGAATTATACTTATATCATATCCCACGACATATTAACATCCCACTATATACAATGTATACATATAACAACATATTTTTGAAAATATATAAGCATATATGAATTATGATATGTATATAATATTGTATATATATATATATAGATATTCATGCACACACATATACATAGGTGTATATTATGTTCATAGTACATACAATATGTGTTCATTCATAACGATGTTCCATTTAATTTTTGTACATATAGATATATCGTTCACACATATCCAAGAAGCAATAGCTCACCAGGTCCGGTGGCATGATGGGTGGCATGATGCGTGGCATGGCCAGCGCCTTCGGCGGTGCTTCCGCGGAGCGCTGCGCAGCATCGCCGGCGCCGGGAGGGGCGATGCCGCGCAGCGCGCCAATGCCCAGTGTGGCGGCGTCTCATGGCTGTGGTTTATAAATCATAAAACATATACCCTCTGATAAACTAACTCCGCTGTGGAAAATCACGGTTTTTCTATGGATAAATCAACTAGAAATGGCCATTTTCAATAGCTCTGTTAAATTACCCAGAGGGTAACTGGCGGGTGAGTGGAGAAAACCATGGTTTTGAGTTTTGGCATGTTTTTACCATGAAATTGCTCGTGGTAAAAAAAAACTTGTCAACGTTCTCTTGAATTATATATGTTGAGGCAGATGACGAAGTTAAGCGTGCAAAGGGTGGAACATGTTTTTTTTTGATGTAACCACTTAGCGATGAATTGAAGGGAATTTACCGATAGTCAGTAATTTCTCCAGAAGTAGCAGATGAACCACCATGTGATGGGCAAAATTAATGAGGGAAATCATGATGAATGATGGAATTTGGGGGTGCACTATTTTCAGACAAATCAATTTTGGAGAAACTCACATCCTATATAGTTTGGTGATGATTGGAACTCAAAATAGTAAGACTTAAGAATGAAAACGGTTGGTTTATTGGACGTGTGAATGCTCATTGAGAAATCTGATTAATATGAGAAACTGAGAAACCCATGTCATTTTCGCACAGGCAGGAACGGTAGTGCCGTTCATTTTGAAACAACTGGGACCTGGGGTGCATATCCATGCGCTGGGTTGATTCATTTTAGATCAATGATCTCACTGACTTGCCCACGCTTGGGTTACAGTGATGTAAGTCAAACAGGTACTCCATTGATTCACCATTTGTTGACTTCTGAGCACCTTCGTTTGAATGGTTACCACGGTGTGACGTTTCAGCCAACTTGCCATCAAAAAAACAGGAGTCCCTGTCCCAGAACTCAGCCTTTTTCTCCGCTGTAAGGACCGCGGCACCTCCCGTGGCTACCACCCCAACCATTGGAAAGGGCCGCGGCAAGGGTGGCGCCCCCAACGCCTGTCCGAAGCCGACCGTCCCGTCCAGCGCCACAGCGCCAGCAGCCATGGCACCGGTGGCACCGGTTGGGCGTGGCATGGAAGATACGGAGGAAATGTCCACTGCCAGGGACTATACTCAGGTGCCCAAGTGCCTGGGCATGGTGAAGGTTTGAGTCTGGTTTTGGGTGGAGGTAGCCCAAAAGTCCTGAAAAGCGCTTTGGATTCGGAACTATAGATTATAGATGATTGTATATAGATTTAGATGATTATAGCAATTGTAGAAGGCCCATGGGGTCTTGATAATTTTAACATATTTTAACTGTTGATGTCGCAGTGAATATTGGAATTCAAACTCTATTACGATCTGCATTTCGCATTTGGCCGGTGGTTGGCTAAGAAAAAGATCGAAAAAGTGTCAGGGATCCCAAGATGTCGCCATCCCAGGCAGATGGATGAGCAGTTCGAAAAACTGGATCCCACCAGTTCTTTGAGGAGCGGGGCGCCAGTTGCGGGGTGAAATCAGTTATCATCAGTTTATCAAATCGCCATGTTTAAAAGAAGATTCATCACTTCATGAACACACACGCTCTACAGTAACTGCAAATTATTCCCAAAACATCCACCAAAGATAGAGCTTCATTTACATAGCATGCAGCATATGTTATCCCCCAAAAAGATCCAAAAAGGTGTATATAGACCATATATAGACCAAATAGCTCAACAAAAATCTACATGGCGCTGGCGCTTCCTTTCTTGTAGGCCCACCATCATCAGCTGTGGCAAGTCATGGGCGAAGCGATCCCAGCCGTCATTGCTCAGCGCCAAGAAGACGGAGAAATTGGAGACGGATCAGCAGAAGAAGGCCCTGAAAACGGAGCGCAATTTGCGCGCGATGAGGGTAGGAAAAAGGTAGGCCAATTTGCAGTCGAACTTATAGTTTTGGGTATGGCTTGTCCAAAGTTATTTGTTGGGTCCTGTTTGGAATTCTAATTATAACATACCTAGATCCACTTGGAGGATGAAAAAAGTGCCGCAATCCATTGTGGCGTTTATTTTTACCGCAATGCAAGAAAAAAGCCGCAGCAAAGAGAAAACGCGACAGCAACAAAAAAATGCCGCAAATCAGAACCATGGTTGTTGGTAACTTCTTGGTTAAGTGCCCAGCAACTACACATTCTGCTACGTTCAGCCCCTCCTAATCTCTTGTCTATGTCATGCGACACATCAGACTTTGTTTAGTTAGCTGCAAAGTACAGAGATGCAAATACAACAAGTTTGGGCAATTGGCAAGAAGAACGCTGCGGCCACATGATCCCTGAAATTGACAAAAACCATCCCCAACAAACACAATGGAGTCATTGAGCCATGTTGCAACAACTTTGAGGCAGTTATGACAAATTACGCCGCAATTACGCAAAATTACGCCGCAATTACGCCAAATTGCGCCGCCATTGCTGCGCCAAAATACGCCGCAATTACGCAACAAGTCATTATTTGATTGACCTGACCGGGGAATTTTGAAAAAAATGTGGCTGTCCAAACTTGCGCGTTAATCATTAATCCCAGAACAACAACAAGAGCTACAACTTTCGGTCGGACTGGTCCGAAATATTACCAGCTTGTTTCAGTTTGCATTGAGATAAGTGAGTCCAAGTTCCTGACCAGGATGTAGTGAAGCCCTGAAAAATGCTGAAACCACGTGCTCCAGCTTCTTGCACGGTTTTTGTTTAGAAGCAAAAAACGCCGCAGCAGAAATCCAAAAATGCCCCAGGTTTGAAATTACGCCGCAGCATGGGTAGAGGATACTTTTAGCAACAAGTGCTTCAAACGAGTATCTAGGTATTATGATATCTATTTGACTCGCTGGTAGTGGCATTCGGACCTTCAGTTGTTATGGGCCCATCATTGCTTTCGAATGCTTTCGATCATTTCCAGCTATTTGATGGCCAATTACGCCCAAGAAATGACGGTTAACATTGGGAAGTCCATTGATTTCTGGTTATTTTAGTGCAACCATTTTTTGGGTGCAGAATGTGCTTGGGATTTGCCCTTGGTACCCGCGAGGCTGCGCTCACTGTGAACACGTGGATAGGATCAACATGTAGGTCATCGTCATCATCATCATCATCATCACCCTCATCCACGGAACACATTCCCCCAAGCGGCCTCTGGGAGGAGAAAGATGCCGCCTTCGATCTCTTAGATGCTATCACCAAGTGCCCCGTTTGTGGCATCGTTTTGTCCTGAAATGGGATGGGGGCATACCACACACATACAAATGGCATAGGCTTGCAAACCATAGGTGAATCAATAGCCACTTTTCGGTGGAACAGTCGGAAGGACATGGAAGGACTGGGTTCAACGGAAAATCAATAGCAAACACAACACATTTGGATGGTGACAAAGATGTAACGGTACTATCTTCTAGCACATGTTCATGAACAACTCACTAGAATTTCATCTTGGACATGTCATAAGCCCAATCTTTTGCATACTATCCCTTGTTTTCAGGTCGGGCGCGTTGCCTTTGAGCCACGCCACGCTGCACATCGTGGTGGCGGCCACGCATTGCTTCGACAAGACGGTGACGGAAACCGTGATCCAGGAGAATCTGAATCCGATTGAAACTGGGATGACCTGATAGACCTGGGGAAACCCGGTAGTGACGTCACTATGATCATCGATATGATCTAATAGGATCCCATCCTTGTTGAAACAGGGAGAATCCAATTGAAACTGGGAAGCAGGCTTGGTAGACTTGGTTGAAGGATGATTATTACAGTTTTTAAAAAACTGTCAAACAGTGGGAATTTTGCAACGATGGGGATTGAAACTGGGACCAGAATGCTAAATGGGATGATTGATCATTGATCTTGATGGCAAACACTGTTGAAACAGGACATCTGAAACAGAAAATTAAGCTATATGAAGCTGGGATCCAGACTTGCCAGTCTTAGCTGAAGGTGGTTCAAGACGGATGATGTCTCTTCTCTTTATCTTAAAAAACTATCAACCAACGGGGATTTCGCAACTATGGGATTGACAATTGGGATCCACTGGGCTAAATGGTGATTCAATATGATCCAATCATCAACCAACGGATTTGAAACACCATTTAGCACATGTTGATGTAAAAATATAGTAATGTGTTTAAACATATTTAAATATATAAATATCCAATCATATATGATGATGATATAGGATCCAATCATCAACGTTGAAACGGGGAATCTGAATGCGATTGAAACTGGCACCAGACTTGGTAGAGAGCCTGGTATAGGAAACCTCCCCAGGCTGGCCCGGAAATCTCGAACAAAAGGTTTGTTTTAATGGGAAAATCATCGTATCTACAAACGTGAAGTATATATAGAAACACAAATGCATTTGCTCATGTGTGTGATTTCCCTCAGATTTTTCCTGAACCCAATGTATTGAAACTGGGACCAACGGAAGCTCAATGTTGGTGGTCAGATGTGGTAAGGAGTTTTAAACACTTAAGTTTTGACGTGAAAATCTGAAGCCAGTTGACACTTGGAGCACTACTCTGATGCTTGGGAAGTGCAGACAATCTAACGGGACTCATGGTTTAGAGCTCCAGGATGGTAGGTGTTATGGAGGCATATCAAATCTGGCAACCAATGTTTTTAGGGATGTGAGTGCCGAATTGATTGAATTTGGGAGCACATAAATATGGTTGGTGGTAAGAGGACACCTCGCATTTGGATGGTAACATCTTTGAACATTTGATGCTCCAACCTTGAGATTTTCGATGGTAAAAAACACACGCTGCTACGCTGACACCCAGGAACGAGTGGAGTGTTCCAGTCTCATCATGGCTTCCACGGTCCACCAGCAGCCTGTGGCAGCAATGATCAAGGACTCCTGTGGCTCAGGAGTTGGTTTCAGCAATTTTTCTGTGAGATGCATTGTGTGTTTGTGAGGAGGTGCTTGGAATGGTCCAGCTTGTGTCTTAATGGCCACATAAATATACAGTGCATATATATATATATATTATATATATGTTATGTGTGTGTGACTGTGTGTGTGTGGAATGTCACCAATTTTGCCAATTTTGTAATGTATGTATATAAATACATGCACACATAGATATATGGGTTTTATGGGAGGCGAGAAGAAGAACAAAACACAAAGCAAAACACCCACAGAAGGCCACGTTGAGTTCTTGTTGATCCCACCTACCACGCATTGCCATCCTGAGGTCGAGCTCGCATTAAGTTGGCTTCCCCGCAACTGATGGATGATGTTTTGAAGGTGCAGGATGAACAGTGACCATCAGTCAGGCAAGCCTGTGTGCATGCTGGCGGTGTTGCATCAAAGAATCCCATGTGGGTATACAGTATGCAGATTTCTCCTTTATATATTCTGGTTTTGCTATGTTTTGTTGGTGTGTTTGTTTGTTTGCTTGTGTTGTTGAAGTTATTCTTCTTTTTGCACTTGCGTTCTTCTTGCACTTGTTTTCTTCTTTTTCTTCTTCTTCTTCTACTAGTCCCCCTGCTTACTCCCATTGTATCCTTTATTGTTCTGGGCCAGACATGATTTCAGCATAGTTCAGCCATTCCCAGGCTGCGGCTTGATCGACCAGTTCCCCCCCTGCAGTGGGGAGCCGATCGCTGCGAGTGACAGATCTCTCCACCCGTTGAGGGTCGCTTCCCTCAGCGCAGCCATGGTGACAGATCCCCAAAAAAGGACATCAAGTGACCACAATCACCCCAAGTTTGGTGATTTTTGTTCCCTTTATAGATTTTATAGGCTTCTCCCAGGCTCCCAGGTAAGTGCTTTTTCGAAACGTTTTGTCATAAGGCTGTGCTGCGGATTTGGAAGCCCCTTTCATGTTTCATTCCTTGAGCTATGAGCCATTGTACAGTCGTGCTCAGCGTCCTCCAGCGCCCTTGAGGGCTTTGAGATGTGATGAAAAAATGAAAAGTCCTGCTGGGTCTGGTGTCCTTTTGGGATTAGGTACGCACAGAGAGATAGAGAGAGATAGAGAGAGAGAGAGAAAAAAAAAAACTATATATATATATAAAGTAGCACCCGAAAAGATATAAAAGTGATTCATCACCATTTAGCGGGAGTTGTTTTTTTTTTGGTGCGAGGGATGACTACATAAACATACGTATATACATATATGCCAAGAACATCTATAGGTTGGGGTCATCAGGGCATCTGTGGTGCTTAATCGTGGTTGAAGTTTTTTCATGTCATCAATGGTCGAACAAGTGACAAGTGGTGAAGCTAGTACTGTGCGGGTCGATTGGATGCCCAGTGAAAAACGGAATGGAATAGATTTAGTGGGTACTCTTTGGTAATTTAACATAGCTATGGAAAACGGGCCAATTTATAGATTCTTTACCTGTCAAACATGGCGATTCTCCATAGCTATCTTGAATTATCAGAGGGCAAGGTGGTAAACCCGATGCCAATATTGCCTACCCACCAGTAAACTAGAATGAAAAACCCACCATGAATTTAGATCATTTACAAATGGGAAAACCCTGGATGTCCATAGTTTTTTGATGTTTCTTGGATGTTTACTGGATGGTGTGCTATATCACGATGCCTAAATTCGTACAGATCCCCAGGAGCCAGGCTCGAGAACTGAGTTCACGAACTTCAAGGGCCTTTTTTAGCCACAGCAGGTATGACCTACATGTAAAACTGCACCATTTTTTCGATCATACCCTGGGGTTTCCCCATGAATTGTCATAAATTTTGCTGGTAGATATCGCTATTCTCAGCGAACTTTCAAACTGGCCAGCTATACCAGTTTGCTTTTTTAGCAAGCTGTTAGTCATAGAGGATTGTTAGCTCAGTTAGTCATAGAGGCTAAAAATTGCTAAAAACCACTGTTTTTTTCCATGATTCATCCATGATTGTCGGTTGTTTTTCATAGGAAAATCATGTTTTGACACGCCGAAAACTTGCCAGTTCTCCTCGGCAGTTCCCCTTGCCCCAAGTGCCAGCCCACCAGGTGCTGGAATGCCCACATTTCACATCCGGCCGCGCGCAGGGCTGGAAGGGCATTTGGCTGGAATCAACCGATCTAATCTGTATATCAACAGCCGAATAGATCGAAACGTACTACTACTAGTTTGACAGTTTGACCATGATTTATAGTGATCCAGTGATCCATATGTTTTTTAATGATGACAATGCATCCTAATGAAATGCTTGGTGTTTTCTTTTTAACATATTGCACGAACGTGGTGTCTAAGGACGTCTAGCCGGCATCTAGCCGGCATCGAGCCCGAGTGAGCCCTTCGTCGGAGGTATTGGATCCACCAAAAAATGATTGGTCGAAACTCATGGGTTCCGACATTTTCTCCTTTAACCAAGCCGTTTAAGCCAACCATCAATCAATATTCACTAGATAAAAAGTTGGATGATTCTGCGGTTAATAATTGTGTTTTTCCCAATGGCCATTCTTGATGACCAGAAGTTAATCCCAAGACAACCACCAACAACGAAATTAAACCACACAATTTTCTCCCAAAAATGGTCTGAAATGAATGACTAACATTGATTAACTGCAATGTGGTGACCCCCACTTGTAGGTTGGTTTATACCACCCCTTTCAGTATAGACTATGTCTACCATAAGCCCTAGCTATATTAGTTGTAAATCAACTTAGCAGTCTATGGATAACAATGGTTTATGGTATAGTCTGGTCTTTACTTAATGGGGATTACACCAACTTGCAAGAGGGGGGGCACCACGTATCAATACCTAAATAAACACCAATAAATAAACCAACGTAAGTAAGCAGACAAAATCCAGCTAGAAATATTGGAAGATCATGAAATCACCAATTTGGCTGGTAAACCAAGGTGCTTTTCCCTTGAAATTCTGCTGCGAATCAGCCTTTGGAAGCCCCAAAAAGATAGATAAGGTCAGATTTTTCGAAAATAGTGGTACGTTTTAGCTTTTCTATCTTGTGGAACTGCAGCATCTGTACTTGAAATTCATGGAAACTGAACATTTAAATTTAGATCCAACTTGTTGGGTTGAACATGGACCGAGTGAAACCACGCCAAGGCTGGCTTGGTGGGAATGGCGCGGATGCGGTGTTGGACGAAAAAGTGGGCCGCCATTTAGGTTCCATGGTTGGAGACCAAGGTAGTGCGAAACTCATGGAAAAGATCACGGAGGATATTGGTGAAACTAGATTGTGAGTTTCTTTTCGGTGAAACTACGCATCACATATCGTCACATGATATCACATCAAAATGAGTAGAGCTGAGGCAGGTAGCGGGGGTCCAGGTGCCACAGGTTACCCAACCCCCGGTGATTTCGCTGATGCGTTCAAGTGAGCAATGGCTGCTAAACCCCTGTTGGCTGGTGATGATATGGGGTTTAATTCGTTCTTTTTTTCTATCCAAGACATGTTTGGACTATCATGACCTATTGGAATCCCCTATCAAACGACCAGTAATTACAATTGGTGATGATTCGATTCGATGTGTCAAAAAAATGGTTTTCGAATCAGGATGATCTCCAGTCTTCGAAAATCCCATCGCAGACCAGCAGCTCGTAGATACTCATCAAGAAAATCTGCTTGGCGATGTTTTATTTATGGGAAACATTTGCCTATCAACCTATATAGCTTGGACACATGTCATATTTATCTTAGTGTATTGTCCTATGGCCAAGAAATCGTCAACGAAGCTACCCAGCTCCCGTCCGCTGGGCCCAACTCCAATATGAACAGACCGGTTCCAACATGTGGATCTACCAACTGTCGTTTTTGGAAAATAAACATAGACCTGACTTTCTCGTTTCTCAGTTTCAAGGTCTATGATTGTGTAGATGAGTATACTGTTGGATTTAAATGGATTTATTGTAGGATATGATGGTATATCAACAGTATTCATGGGGTACACCTGCCACCTGCCCGTGCACCTTGCTCCAGGCACAGGCCGAGCAAAAGGCTGCAGAGAAAGCGACCAAACCTCGCCTCTTGGCACAGCTGGATTTTTCTGGATGTAGTGGTACCATTCACTATATTTAACAGGACGTATTCCCACTGAACAGGTGGATTTTCCTAGATATAATGGTGATAATATAGTGATTCACTATATTCAATAGGAAATATTAATAGGATATTAATGGGATATATGCTAATGTATATGGATTTTCCCGGATTTTGCTGAAGATATGTTTTTTCCTACATGGGAAATCTATAAGGAATATCATATATTTGTAGGGAATTTCCGGGAATCTATTGATGTGAGAACTCCAGAGAAAACCTCAGTTTTTACCGCAACACCTTGAGATGTCCTGTAAATGTACCCCTGATACAGGAATTTCCATGAGATGTTGCGATCGATAGATCCGATAGAGGCCAACATGCTGCCAGGGCATCGTGATCTGACATGAAGCTGGTATGTTTCAGAGCATCCTACGTTAGATCCATTCAGATTCCTACACTATCCCATGGCCATCAACACTTGGCAGCTCCCGAGGCACCAACGAGGCGCGGCGTTGCCGGGAGACATGGGGGTTTCCATCTTAAGGATACCCAATAGCTGGATGGTTTCATGGGAAAATCCCATCGAAATAGCTGGATGATTCCAGGAGGCCATCGAATGATTGGGATATATTTAACTGCGTTTCGGGAATAAAACAATCCAAAAAAGACTAGTTACAGGAATACCAGGAATGGTGCTTAGAAACTATACCAGCAAGTCAGCAACAAGATGCAACAAGTCAAACAAAAATGCAGCATTGTTGAATGTTTACTACTCGCCCATGGAAATTCATTCGTAGGGTCACTGTGCCTCTGGGATCACTGGCTTTGGAGCTGCTGGAGCCTGGATGGAACTGGATGGTCATGTGGTTTACCCTCAACTAACAGTTTGCCATTGAACATGGCCCATTTATAGATTCGATTTACCATTTTTATAAATATTTACCTTTGAAAATGATTTAAAATGGTAATTTTCCATGATTTTCAATAATGATGTTTGTTTACCAGAGGGTAGACATTGGATATGTGTTCCTTTCATCCCTGCCTGGACCCAGTACTGGAGCAGGCGCTGTTGAAGATCCCGTCGAATTCGAGACAATTGCTGCGTATTCATGGCCTATGTAGCATTCAGATTATAAATAAATAAATAAATATATATATATAGCATTATAGTAATTATTGGCCACTTCAAAACCAACATCATTCACACTTGGCGATCGCATGTGATCGCAAAAAGTTGTTCGAAAGATAAACGGTCAGTAATTGACACGCGACAGGCATCGAGACCTTTTCTGGCCCCGACAATATGTGATTGGATCGTAAGTCGCGTAAGGAGAACCAGCCGATTTGCAGAATGCCTCAGGCATCAGATTGGGTAGAAGAGACCAATGCATCCTGGCGGCAACCGATGGGTCAGAAGATGATTTGGTGGAAACCAATGGCAGGTGCAGCATCGTTTCACCAGGAATTGTTGGGAAAAAACTGGTAGTGTTGAACATTGTTGAGCCATGAGGTCGAACTAACTGGAATGATTAACAACAAAAAATGACATTGAATGCCATCCATACTCCAGCGGCCCAAAAAACGATCTAGAACAGTTTCAGTTTTCCTTGCGGGTTTGATGGCGGTTTACCGCAGATCCTTTTGTTTTCAACTGAGGATTCGTTGAGCATGTTTTTCGTTTAGGGGGTTCTCTACACAGATTTCATGGTTCCAACAGCTTGTGTTCGAAACGTCATTCCGGCTTCGCGTTGTGAGCTGAGGAAGAAGGTGAAACCATCTTCCGAAATCAAAGTGTGGAGTCCCAGGGGTCGCAGGATGGGGCAGGTGAAGGTGCTGCTGACAACAAGGATGATGATGATGATGATGATGGTGATGATTGATTGATTGATTGATTGATTGATTGATTGATTGCTTGCTTGCTTGATTGATTGATTGATTGATTTGATTGATTGATTGATTGATTGATGATTGATTGTTGATGATTGATGATTGATTGTTGATGATTGATGATTGATGATTGACGATGATGATGATGATATTGATTGATTGATTGACTGATTGATTGATTGATTGATTGATTGATGATTGCTTGATTGATTGATTGCTTGATTGATTGATTGATTGATTGGTTGATTGATTGATTGATTGATGAATGATGATTGATGATTGATTGTTGATGATTGATGATTGATGATGGTGATGATGATGATGATGATGATGATGATATTGATAGAGGGCGGCACCCCGTGGGGGAGTGATTTTTCATTAAACATGATGATAAAACACTGTAAATACCGATGTTTTATGCATTTGGAGGGTCTAAAACCGTAGTAAAACACACTTTTTTCCATCATGATCTTGACATGAGATATACAAAAACATTGACAGGCACCAAACAAACCAAAAAAACCAAACCACTAGATGCACCAAACATCGACAGGCACCAAAAAAATCAAAAAAAAACAAAAATTCCAGCAACTACCCAGAAGTGGACCCATAGTTCCTGGAAATTTTAGTTTTTTTGTTTTTTTTGGTGCCTGTGCAGGTTTGGTGCATCTAGTGGTTTGTTTTTTTTGTTTTTTTTGGTGCCTGTGCAGGTTTGGTGACTCTGACTTCACAAAACATTGACAGGCACCAAAAAAAACAAAAAAACCAAACCACTAGATGCACCAAACATCGACAGGCACCAAAAAAACAAAAAAAACAAACAACCCAGCAACTACTCAGAAGTGGACCCATAGTTCCTGGAAATTTTAGTTTTTTTGTTTTTTTTGGTGCCTGTGCAGGTTTGGTGCATCTAGTGGTTTGTTTTTTTTGTTTTTTTTGGTGCCTGTGCAGGTTTGGTGTCTCTTAGGCTTTCTCTCTGTCTCTCTGTCTAACTATTGAAATGAGACTGCTGACAAGACTCTGCAAGATAACAATGATAAACGAGATATGTACCTACTTCTTGCATTGTAACATTCCCACCATCCTTCTTATCCAGAGTGTTAGATGTGCTTGTGTTATATCCACCTATATAATGTATGCCCTTCCCACCATACTTCTTATGTAGCGCAAATGCTTCTATATACAATATATATATATATGTTAAGATGATATCAATCTAACAAGTTCATGAAGAAAACCTATATCATATCAATTGCTTTTAGCAATAGAATTTCTCCATCACCTCCATCACACTAGTCACCTATTGCTACTGTATATTCTGTTCCAAGATGTGCAGCTACCCATTCTTATGGCATGTTGTGCAGCAGATGTTTTCTGTTATGTGCTGATTGTTTGTAGTTCTTTGCAAGCCTCACAGGAAGAATTGAATCCTGCCACCAAGAGTCTGTAAATGCCAGTGATTTATGACAGCATATGAGAGCCTTTGGAGGTGAACTCTATTTTTTGCTCTAAAATAACGGTTTTAAGCCCACTTTGGTCACAAAACACTGTAAATACCAGTATTTTTGACCATTTTTAGAGCAAAAATCACTCCCCCATGAGGGGCCGTTCTGTATTGATATTGATTGATTGATTGGTTGGTTGGTTGATTGATTGATTGATTGATTTGATTGATTGATTGATTGATTGATTGGTTGATTGATTGATTGATTGATGATTGATGATTGATGATTGATTGTTGATGATTGATGATTGATGATGATGATGATGATGATAATTGTGATGGCAATGATGATGATGATGATGATGGTGATGATGATGATGATGTTGATGGTGACGATGACGATGACGATGACATGATGATGATGATGATGATGATGATGATAATTGTGATGGCAATGATGATGATGATGGTGATGATGATGATGATGGTGATGATGATGATGTTGATGGTGACGATGACGATGACGATGACATGATGATGATGATGATGATAATTGTGATGGCAATGATGATGATGATGGTGATGATGATGATGATGACGATGATGATGACCATGGCAATGATGATGGTGATGATGATGATGATGGTGGTGGTGATGGTGGTGATGATGATGATGATGACCATGGCGATGATGATGGTGATGATGATAATGGGATGATGGTGATGATGATGATGATGGTGATGATGGTTATGATGATGATGATGATGATGGCGATGATGGCGATGATGGCGGTGATGATGATGATGGCGATGATGGCGATGATGGCAACGATGGCAATGATGGCAATGATGGCAATGATGGCAATGACACAGTGCTTAAATACAATTCTTGTGCCAGGATCGCTGAGGGCCACAGTTTTTCTTGACACATAGCGGCACCCAATGAAAAAAGTGACAAGTCTTCTATGTTTTCCATGGGGCATTCTCCAATCTACGTGCAGTTTTGGAATGTCAATCCCCTCTCCCCCGTACCCATCTGCCATGCCAGAAACCGGCGAAACAGCCACAGAGCTGCCAGAAAGCGCCAAAGAGGCATGGCAGGAGACCATACCATGCCGTGAACGAACCATCCCTTGATCTAACGCAGCAATGGACAATCTGACAATCCCCTACTAGCCAATTGCAAAAGACAAATGAGGTGGCTCGGCAATGAGAAGAGAACCTGACAATTTCAATTTGGTGTTAGAGGCAAAATCTGAAGTTTTAACCTGTTTAAACTTTATATTTTGAAGATTTTCCAGGTCCAGACTGCAGGTTACAGGGATCAAACGTTGCCTGTGGGTCTGCAGGTAAAGCATTATACAGCCTGAGGCATCAATTGTCCTTCCGCCTAATAATCACCAATCTTGTAGGTCCAGGGCACCCCCATGTTCCAGCCATCCCCATTTTTTAGCAGAGTTTTGTTTCACCTTCCCTTTGTAGATGGGAACCCTGGGAGACAAGAATCGAACCTTTGCCCGTTGCAGGCGGCAGCACCCATGGGTCATGTGTGGAACTGAGAGCGGATCTAGGACTTACACAGGCTGAATGCCTGGGCTGATTTGTTCATTTGTTTTCGCCAAAAAACTATAGATAAACACGGTATAATGATCCCACTTGACAGCACCAACCAGTTGTGGAAGCGCAGAAGATTGGATATTTTTTTGGGGGGTAGAATCCAACGAGTAGCAATGGAATCTGCCTTAACATCATTCACACATGGTAGGCCTGACATTTTAGCAGCTATAAAAGCTGCATCTCCATCATCGTGGTCGTGTTTGTTTCAGTAGTTAGCTGATTTGGTTTCTGAGTAGAATAATTAGGATGTAGAAGGTATATACAGTATCTAGATTTAGATTCAGATGATGTGTGTATATATATATATATATGAGGAAGATATCTAGATTCAGATGGTTTGCAGAACACCAAAAATAACTGGGGCCACTTTGCAGTATACATCCCCTACTTGATCGGCCGCACCGTTCCTAGGCTGCCTCCCCCACCGTGCCAGCTGGTGCAATCCCGCCCTGGGCCAAGGTAGGACGCGGTGTTTTCCGGATTTTCTATGGGATTTTCCAGATCTACGTGAGTTTAGCCCAGGGTAAACTCATCATTTCAGTTGAATGTTCGTGAACTTGTCATTTTGATTCATTTTCTGTGAGGTGTAGTATATATATATAATTATATATATATGTAATGTGGGGATATTTGGAGATATAGTAGACATGGAATCTTGATGAGTTTTATACAGCCAACAACATTGCATTTGTGCGTGTGTGAAAATGTGGTGCCTAGAGTTGATGGCAATGATCATGAGGAAAATGATTGTTTAAAGCATAAAAAATATGGCGGTAGTTTATCTTCAAACCAGCCCATGTGCTAAGTTGCTACATATTGGCGGTTTCTTCCAGTGGCAAGTGCTAATATGGCATTTCAGTTGCAGAACGGGGTACATCAAGGCCCATTTAATAGGGGTTATGCTTGAAAGATGGTGACCTTCAAATCACAGAGACAAGTTATTTATCATTATCTTAGTGGGATATTACTGTCCTATCTACTTGGGGGTATGCGGCTTAAAATTTACCGCATTTTTCTCAGAGTCACCATTTTTTGTGATGCTGGTATGCTTGTGCAGGGGCTTTGAGTCACTTGAAATCAAATGAGGACGCTGGAGCAAGCCTCTCGCACCTCCAAAACGTCCTTTCCTGCTGGGAAGTAAAAATCATAACTATTAGACCAATCAAAATGGACTGATAATGGTATATGTCCCATTTTGATCCATTTTGTCCCAACATTTTGGCTCAGCCGCGCGATTCCATCGCTGCGTCGCTTGCTGTCCCTTCGGAAAAGTCTCTGAAGGGTAAAACTTCCCCCGGTAGTGGACATCCATATATTGCAATGAAAGGCAGGATGGCACAGGGTAGCTGTGGATGCGGGACTTTCCAGGAAGATCTTTGATTATTTTGATTGTTGCGGGATGAACAAGTGTTTCGAAGCACTAATCAGAGTATGCAATGTCCGAAAGTGGCATTTTTGTTACCCTCTCGTGATTTATAGCTGATTTACCTCTGAGTTTCCATAGCTATGTTAGTTTACCAGAGGGTCACCTTACAGAATTGAAAGACGCCGGGCCACTTGGAGCTGACCCACTGCTGTGTGTCGGCAATTGCCGGAGGTGGTACTCAGAAAATCGTGACAAATTACTGTGAAAATGTAGTGGTAAACTTGTAGTGTACTACCCTTTGGTATTGGGAATTTAACATAGCTATTGAAAATTACAATTTATATATACCTATTAAACATGAAACAAAATCATAGCTATATTAGTTTACCAAAGGGTAATCCTGGGATAACATGTCCTATACAATGCCCCCTAGCCAGTGAAATCTGACCTCCCCAGGTGTTGCAGCTCACGGATGATCGGCGAATGTAAGCCATGAATAGCCATTGTTTTTTTGGATAGAAGCTACCTATGTCATTTATGGGTATTCATGGATTCATGGGAATATAACATATATATATATATATACCAATATTATCCCATGATTTTCCATCATACATGGATGGAATATGATGGAATTACTACTGTTTTTCAGGATATTCCAGTAAGTTTCAACTACAGCCACTTCACTGCTTCCATGATGCCATGGTCCGGCTATAGCCCTATGATGTGCGCAGGGCCGAAGCCATCGGCTCCCCCAGCAGATTACGGAGCTGTGGAATTGGGAGCGAAGGATGAAGGCAGAGGGGATTTGGGCTGGGGAAGCACCCCCCGAGATGGGTACCCTCTGGTAAACTAACATAACTATGGAAAATCACCATTTTTCATGGGAAATGTCACTATTAATGGTGATTTTCCATAGTTATGTTAAATTACCAGAGGGTATTAAGATGGTATAAGTATCAATGGGTTGGTTTGTTTGGGAAAATCTACACCGGAAACCAGAGTTATTTTCCCATGAAATATGGGGTTTTCCTGTAAAATTTCCTTTAAACCAATCCATTGAAAGTATGTCTAAGTTGATGAATGTCAGGAAAACTTAAGGACTTATGGTGAACATGTCTATAGTTAACGGGCATCTCACCAACAAATTGCCATATTTTTTACGTCTCCCCATGACCGGTTGCCAGGGTGAAGTGGAGACGTAGATCATCCACTGAGAAACCAGCTATTGGACATACAATATGTGATAATACATGCAAACACGTTGCACACATATGTATATTTGTAACATATAACATTTTATAACCAATGTTTACATAGTGTTACTGGGTATTGTAGTATTGTATAACCACTTCACTTAATTGAGATGCCCAAAAAGTAAGCGCAGGACAGCATGAGGAGCAGGCCCCATGGATCTAAAGGGGTCAAATCAAGTCAAATCTCCATGGGTCCTGGTATTTTTTAGCAGGTTTCGCAGCAGGTTTGTTGCTGAAAGCACCATGTTTTCACGGTAAAATCTGCATGGTTTGATGGCGAAACACATTTTTTCTCTCCTGCGGCAAGGCTCTAACGGCATTGCGACAGAGGAAGACCGCGCGAAGCAGAGAGGAAAGCCGAAGCTCGGCGGCAGCTGGAAAATCACTGTCAAAAATATGGAAAACTCACGCGGAAACATGGGAAAATCTACTGTAAATGCAGGTGTGTAGCTTCGAACATAATCTGTAAATGGTGTTATTTTTCCATTGTGACGTTTTGAACAAAGTTGCCATGTTGGATCGGGTAATAGTGATTAAAATGCCAATGGGATTTGAGAGATTTCACCATCATGGTGACTTACCTAATGAAAATCATTGATTGTTATTATTGCTACTATTATTTTAACTATGTATATATTTACACATATACACACACACATATATATATATATATGGGATATATATGGGATATAATATATATATGGGATATTGGAGGACTTGACCAACATAAATAGTTGTAGAATTGGCATAATGGAACATACTGGGATATGTACACAATCAACATCAACCATCAACATGATATTGGGTTTGCCATTTGGGAAATACCAGATGTTTTTTTTTGAAACGTTGGTTTCCAACCGAACTGGTTTAGGAGGGTTTGTCAGCGCCCATAAAAAGGAATATGTATGAATATGTTCCAACCAGCCAACATCAAATGGGATGGGATAGGGGCACTGTCTGGTAATTTAAAATAGGTATGGAAAATCACCATTTTTCATGGGAAAATCAACTATAAATTGCAATTTTCAATAGCTATGTTAGTTTACCGGAGGGCCCATCTTCTTGTCTCATTTCATTCGACGGAAGTCTTGGAGCTTCAAACATTGGGATCTGCAAATGTTAAATCAGACAGGATGATGCGGTTTTGCCTAGAAACAATGTTTTTTTTACCTACCAAAAGGATGGTCTGCAATTTTGTTTGCCGCTTGGAGTCAGTCGAGCAGATGAGGCTGCAGCCATCAGGATCCAGCACTTTATTCACTACGTTTGAAGCTTCCAAAGCCCATTGGCTTTGGGTTCATAACATAGATTACATAGATTCACAACATGTTTAGAATTTAGAATCAATGCTTTTTCCAAGCATGGGGTTTTCCCCATGGATGATCTTTTTTATCATGAATGAATGTGGTTTACCAACTGATTTTTTGACCGTGTTGCGGGCTCTTGAGGTCGTGGAAAGATCTTCCGCCCTTGATGTTTCCATGGTTCCTCTTTGGAGCCGTGGCTGTTTTAGTCATTTTTCCGGCAGGGTGGCATGGTCCACATTGTGTACGCATCAGCTCAGAAATGTCGCCCAAATTACACCCCCAACCACTATTCCATCCAGATAAATGTGAAATTCTGGCAATTAACCCATACCATGATCACCAAGCAGTTTCCTTTATAAACTTTCCCTTTATCCCTTCACCATTTCAAGTTCGGATTCTTTCAATCAACTTGAAAGTTGGCCTAAAACCCATCCCATCCATCCCCATCCCTTGGTCAACCTTGGTCAGATACTTTCTGACTTGAACCTTTTGCTATCAATGATGGAATTAGTCCTAACCAGCTAAAGGTTGGATTTTATGGCAGGTATCTAAGATACACCATGATCCCCATGCTCCATCCCCATCCCATCCCCATCCCAGGCATGGTGCTGATCTCCACCTCCCTAGTGCAAGGCCAGGCGCTGTGCTTTCTCTCCGTCAGCGCCTCGTTGCTGCTGTCCTGTGGCTTCCTCTTGCGCCTCGGACGACATCGTTCCGTCACGTTCCGGAAGACGGGAGGAGGGACCCCTGGGTACCCGCAACGGTGTCATCAAACTTGGCTGACTGGGGAAGTCCCAAATTAATGGATGTTTGATGATATTTGTAGCTGGGAAAAATCAGTAATTGATGAATTTGCCATTGCCATGTTTGATATCGAAGGGTACTGTGATCCCACTTTATATATGGCCACACATTTTCGGGTTTAGCTATCCTTTTTCCTGAACTTTTTGGAGGTTATGAGGATTTTTGGAACAAGTCATCCAGAAATATCATGGATTTAGCAGCTATGGTGCGAGCTGTACCTACCACATATCATGCAATACGTGGTGAATTATGAAGATTTATTGTGATTTATTGGTGATATCGAATGTATCTTTGATGGGGGTGTAGCCAACAATTTTTGGGTTTTACGTAGTCATGAACGTTGGGCAAAGCTTCGTGCAGGATAATTTTAAGGATTTGCGCAGAAATAGGGCAGCCCAGTGGTTTATCATCATATCCACCACTTAACTTGCTGTTGGAGTCTCAGAGATGCCAATTTGTTGACAAACCCATGATTACATTCAATTCATTGGTTTTCATTCATCTATCGTAAATGATTCTGGTCTTGGCTTGGTTGCATGATATGTTCCCCCAGTGTGTCCCAGATGTTCATAAATTCCAGGTATTGCCATCAATTCACTTGAGACAGATCTCAAATGATGTCACACGATATGGTATATCATTTGCAGGCATTGACCTTTCGGCAGGGTCAACAACATCACTAGGTTTCAATAGGCATATCCACTCTGCGACTTGATCTTTTCGACCAGGAAAGATGCTATTTTCTTCCCAATATTTCCCAATCATGATTGTTTTCTGTGCCCTTTAAGGGCCTTTTTTTGGACTCTGTTTGTAGATGTTAGCCCCCCCATTTCAGGTATTCTCGGGCTCCACCGTGGAAAGTCTTGGCCTTCGTTTGCCTTGGAATTACCTTAGTTGGTTGGGCCATGGGGCAGCTTGGATGGACATGGTGAACCTCATGCTTCGTGCTTCATCATGGTTCATCATTTGTGTATATTTGTCTTGTTAAGTTGGAAGTGAACTGGTGGAGTTGTTCGATCTGTTTGCCATTGTTCGAGAAGTTTCCTTTGTAATTAATCGATTGCTACTAGTTGTGGGCAGGAGTTCCAGCCAATCGGATTTGATTGTTGGTTTCACAGTCTGACTGACACCTCTATCAGACTCTATCATCCTCTATCTATTATCTTTTATGTTTTTTGTTACGTGTTTCTTTGTCACAAAGCTGTACAGGAGTTACACTTCAGGCGTTAAGTTGACTTCAAGTATCCTGCAATCCTGGAATTTTGCGTGATTTGAGGCTCTACGATGAGGCCAAGTACCTCTACCCCTTCCATTTCTACGATCGCAGCCCAAGTTATTTGAGCGTCGATCCCAACTCCAAACCGGGCTCGGTGGCAGATGCAGGTGCGGTGGAGTCAGAGGTGGGAGTGATTAATTGGTAGTCTTGGTTGGAAAATGTTGGAAAGGAAAACATGGAAGCTGGTCAAAATGATCCAAAAGAGTGGTTCTAAGATGTTCTAGGGGAATATTCCACGTGAAGTATGTCATCTGTCTGACAATAGGGCACCCGCCCAAACCCAGTGGTTTATCATGTTTTTCCCCAAACAGTGTGTCCACACTGAGGGGTTCTTACGGTAACAGTTAAGGCCCGGTGTTCAATTGAGGTGGTATCGGAAGCGTTTGGCCGCGCGGGAGAAGCGTCCGCCATTTTCCCTGTAAACTTCCGCACAGAATGCCTCTTGTGACATGTCCATGTGCCTTTCGACTGCGCGAAATGAGTGTCGCGGGATTGGCGTCCGGCACTTTTCCCTTAATTAAATGTCCATACAAAATGGCTACGGTGCAATGTCCATGTGCATTTCGATTGCGCAGGCTCGCACAAAGTGTGCTTCCCGGTCTTGGGTTCGGCCTTCCTCCTCAACATCATCCTCCTCAACGTCAGCATCTTCCTCCTCCTCCTCCTCAACATCATCATCATCATCATCATCAACATCATCATCATCACCATCATCAACATCATCCTCATCATCATCTCCATCATCACCTTCTTCTTTTTTCCTTATTCTTCTTCATCAGCATCGCCATCGCCAGCATCATTATTATCATCATCATCACCATCACCAACATCATCACCATCATCATCATCATCATCATCATCATCACCATCATCATCATCATCATCACCTCCATCATCATCAACACCCTCATCACCACCACCACCACCATCATCATCATCATCATCATCATCATTACCATCATCATCACCATCATCATCATCAACAACAGCAAACAACAACACCATCCTCATCAACATTAACATCATCATCAGCATTATAATACATTTTCCTTTTACTCTCCCCGCACTGTTTGGGGTCTCTTGCCGGGATAATTTGATATTTTTGGCGCGCATACACAACTTTCAAACACACGCGTGTACTACTGAAACTGACTCATCTCTGCATCTCTAACAAGCTGCCCCGGCTAGGCTCCATGCAGTGTTTTGAGGAGTAAGTTGCCCAAGTGCTATACCTGGATGCGCGTCGCAGCTGGTAAATGGTTCATAGATGTTCATAGCCCATATATAGTTGGGCATATTCAACGTATAACTGTATAACTAGGTTAGCGTATGATAGTTTTGTTACTGGCATGCGCATTCAAAGTGGAATGCTGTATAGGTTTCCCAGCTAGCATGCTGTTTTCCCTACGAAATCTCCTGTCATGTTGTAACGCAGCGTAAATTCCTCGCCTCATCTCCCGCGGTGCGACGTGCAAGGTTTCCTGCAGTTTCAGGATGGCACACATGTGGACAGCACCAGAGGAGTTGGCTTTGTCTCTGGCTCTTTGTGGTGTGCTGCACCCGTGGCCACTGGGCCATGGCCACGGGCAGTTGAATGGGAAACCCATCTATAATATCTAATCATCCATATATATATATATATAAAGCAGGGATTTTCCAGCAAACCATGTTTCAGGTGGCTATCAACACTTACCTATGTGTGGTTTACTTGTCATCCCGGCAGGTTTTGATTGAGAACTTTTGCATCATGTGATCACTTTGATTTTGTCAGGGGTATTTCTATGTGTTTCCCAACTAGGAGCTGCGTGAAATGCACACTGGAGCCGTTTCAGCATCCACCCTGCAGCTGTCACAGTGGATCAGTGCGATCCATCCTCCAGAGGAACCCACATATTTGGATAATGAAACCACAGTTTCCTGCAGATTTGAATCCAAGCACCAAGCCTCCCAGAATGTCCCAGAACTGGGTAATGGTTGTGGGAAACTTTGGTATTTCATGAAATTTCAAGGTAAAGACAATGGTTTCCTGTACATTTCTTTTTGAATCACCCCATGAAAACTCAGGTGATGAATGAGACTGTGACTTCAGCTGCTTACTGGGCCGTGGGCAAGGACTGCTGCCGAGAACGGGCTTGGTTCAACTGCGGCAATGCCATGCAGCCTGGCAGTGGAGGCCGAAGGTCTGCTTTCTTGGTGTGATTTTTTTTGGCTGCCGAAAGTTGACGTGGAAACTAGTTTAATTAATCATCAAAAATTGTGATTTCATGTGGTTTTTGAACCATCCTGAAATGAGGATATGCATGCAGCCAATGATATTATATAATTAAAAACAACCTGAGAAACTGTTGGTTTAGTATTGGATCTATTCATGACTAGCGGGTCTAGATGTTTTGTTTTTTATTAATATTGAATAGGGGAGGATCATATGATATAGCGTTAAAAAGGAAAATCATTCCCAACATGGCTCACTTCAGCTTAGTATATGGAAGCAAAACTGCGGAAACCGACTCCGGATGGATGTACCATGTCAAGTGGCAGGGCTGGTTGTATCGCCTCCCCAGTTTGCAGTCCATGATCAATAAACCCTTGGTTTTCGCGTAGAGGGTACCATTTTCGGAGCATTAATCCCTTCACCCGAGTATTGAATAATTATATATTATCCGTAAGAATCCCCGGAATGTATTGGATATTGATTCGTTCCGTCCACATGTTTCTGGGATGATAGATTCAAGTCGCGTCCAACGACTGGCCATGTTTATTACCCAGTTTGTTTACTTAGATTATTTTTGAGCTATAAACCCAAGAAAGAAAAGTAATTCGTGTCCATTTTAAATAAGTTTACTTTTTGGGGGTTGCTATACCCAATCAGCCATGGTCAAAACCATTGCTGATTTTCCCATCAAGGGGGATGGTCATGCCATGATTTTTAGGGGCTTAATTAATATTGTTTGTAAGGAATAGTGATTGTGGGACGCAAAAAGGGTGCCCATAAATCCCATGTAACTTGGCCCTGTAGTCCAAATCCAGGTCTTTATGGCAGTAAATTTGGGAGAATCGTTGCTATCAACTGAGTTTGATTGACCTTATTAACACCAAGGCCATGATCCGACTGATTATATATATATACATTATATACAAACAGTATCACCATTCTTGAAAATTAGATCATGCATGATCATGGAACTACATGGATAGTTTTCGGTGGCAAACTGTGAAATTACCGAAGGGTACTGATGGCACCATGTATAGTTTCAGCACCTCTCTCAGGAATCATAGTGTGCGCAGTGGGGTCGTGATTCGCGATGCAAGTCCCATGTTGAAAGGCCGGCAGTGCTGGGAAGTGAGGACTGCGGCGACAAGCATATGAAATAAGGGAGATATATAAATATAAGGAATATCACCAATTATATGTGGGTTATGGGTTGCTAATCCCTTACTACCTGGGATGCACATTCGAGTGCTCTCCTCAGAAACCCATGCTTAGTACTAGATTTGTTTATTTTGGTGGCTGAGTCAGACAGACAGAGACTGTTTAGTGTGAGGGGAGTGGGCTCATCCAGCACTCTCTGGACATCCCCAACCTGCAAAACATGACAGGTTTCCAATTTCGGGCCCGCAGCTGGATAGCCCTTGACACAGGCAAACTGGTTCCCAACGGTGGGCAATCAACTCCTGTACGCTGGAATTTTCTAGGTTACATCCAGCTACTGAGCATAAGCACAAGCACGGCATGTCTGAGAAATTCAATTTCTGCCCTAGCAGCCCTATGGCTCTTGAGGGGCCCTCACAGCTACTCGTAGCATCACTCGCAAATGCCGCCCAAAGAGGCCGCGAGTGGCTACGTGGAACCACCAGTTGGCTCCGAAATGATTGACCTTCATATAGTTTGCCTGAATGGTGAAGGTTGCAAGCTGTCCCTGCATCCTTCCACCCTCGGCCAGGAGGTGTGCCAGCTGGTTTCGAAGCACCTTCCAACAAAGAAAGGGACCAGACTTGCACTCCACCACCTTGCTTCACCGCTGGTGCTCGGCCAAAGTTTGCAAGATCAGGGCATTGCAGGGGCTGCGACCCTTTCTTCTACCTATGTTCCAACAGATTTTTATGCTGCATGGTGTTACGCCCAGGGATATCCGGTACTGGAGGGAGAGCTCGCATTGGAGGGTCTGACACAAATGGAAGGGACAACACTCGGCGAGTACGTGCACCACCTCCCGCAAAGTCTGAACCACTTGACCTTTGGAAGGAGGTTCAATGAGAGCCTGGAAGGAGTCACTTTGCCCAACAATTTGCAGAGCTTAACCTTCGGACATGATTTTAATCAGAGCCTGAAAGGAGTCCCCTTTCCGAGCAGTCTGCAAAGGTTGATTTTTGGCCATGGTTTCAACCAGAGCCTGGCAGGAGTCACCTTGCCAATCAGTCTTCAAAGCTTGACCTTCGGATGTGATTTTAATCAGAGCCTGGAAGGAGTGATTTTTCCAAGAGGACTGACTCACTTGACTTTTGGAAGGGGATTTAAACAGAGCCTGGAGGGAGTGACCTTTCCCAGCAGTTTGCAAGGCTTGATCGTTCGACATGATGTTTATAATGATATCCTGGACGGAGTGACTTTGCCAAGCAATCTGCACAGCTTGACATTCGGACATGATGTGCGGAATCTTGACGACTTTACGTGCCTTGTTTTTATCTGTGACATGCTGACACGCATGACCTTTCCAAGCAGTTTGCAAAATTTGACCTTTGGTGACTTTGGTGATGGTTCTTTTTTCAGCTACGTCCTGAAAGGACCTTTGCCAAGCAGTCTTCAAAGCTTGACCCTTGGTGGTGGGTTCAGCGATGGCCTGGAAGGAATCACCTTGCCAAGCAGTTTGAAAAGCTTGACCTTTGGACTTCATTTTGATCAAAACCTGGAAGGAGTGACATTTCCGAGCAGTCTTCGCAGCTTGACCTTCGGAGGCGCATTTAATCATAGCCTGAAAGGAGTCACTTTACCAAGCTGTTTGCAAAGCTTGACCTTCGGACGTAATTTCAATCAGAGCCTGGAAGGAGTCACCTTGCCAAGCAGTCTTCAAAGCTTGACTTTCGGATGTGATTTCAATCAGAGCCTGGAAGGAGTCACGTTGCCAAGCAGTCTTCAAAGCTTGATCTTTGGCGATCATTTCAACCAGAGTCTGGGCACCTTGCCAAGCAGTCTGCACAGGCTGGTGTTGGGCGATTTGTTCGTTCAGAGCTTGGCAGAAGTCACCTTCCCGAGCAGTCTGCAAAGCTTGACGTTCGGACATGGTTTCAATCAGATCCTGGATGGAATGACCTTGCCAGAAAGTGTGCAAAGCTTGACCTTGAGTGGTTTCTTTAACCAGAGCCTGGAAGGAGTGATATTGCCAAGGAGCCTGCAAGGCTTAATCTTTGGCGACAGGTTCAACCAGAGCCTCGGAGGAGTCACCCTGCCAAACACTTTGCAAAGCTTAACCTTCGGACATGATTTTAATCAGAGCCTGAAAGGAGTCACTTTGCCAAGCAGTTTGCACAGCTTGACCTTTGGACATGATTTCGATCAAAGTCTGGAAGGAGTGACCTTGCCAGGCAGTCTGCAAAGCTTGATCTTTGGCCATAGTTTCAACCAGAGCCTGGCAGGAGTGCCCTTTCCGAGCAGTCTGCAAAGCTTGACCTTAGGGCATGGTTTCATTCAGGGCATGGAAGGGGTCACTTTGCCAAGCAGTTTGCAGAGCTTTTCATGTGGCCCAGTATTGGTGAGTTGCGTATGATGCTGACTGAGATCAGAATTGAAAATATATGCAAATAGTGCTGACGCTGTTGAGTGCATTGCATGTGGCTGCACATCTTCAGTACAGTGGGTTATTGGCATTGGATATTTTGTAGTATGATATACATGATTCCGTCGTCCGTCCTCATCAGCCTCCCTGATTGTTATTTAATACGATGAGTACTCCGGGTGTGGGAAAAGCAAGTTGAGCATAGCGTGGTGCAAGAGCTTTGTTTTTTGCAAGGCACCAAAGACGTGAGCTGGGCACAACATGTCCATCGTATTTCTCATGCAAGTTATTTCCCGAGAATGCATGTTCGACACCGTTTTAACAAAGAATGAGATCTGGAAACATTGAATACCTTCAGGGTACTGGGTACCTATCATGAAATCGCAAGATTAGCCATATAGTCTATATAGTTACTATAGTTGGCTTGCTAATCACCACAGGTGTTATGTTAGATCCATTTGGGGAGACGATACAGGAACCTCCGGGAAACACATGGTTCCTGTAGATCTTCCCGAACCGAAGAATCCCATGGATATCTGGGATTTCACCATCCCAAGAGCCTAGGGAATCATCCCCAAAATGGCCGTGTGCGTGTGCATTTCTGATTATAAAAAGCAACAAATTGCTGTAACGAATGATTACATAAACAGCTTCTCAGACTTACAACATTTCTGGTATGTTCACCTACACCACCAGCTTACTGGGGGGCGGTGCAGTTCCAGTTCTAAGTGGATATGTGACCATAGTCATACCCCACATCCCAACACGAGGTGGCAAGAACAGTGCGAAATCCACGGATTTTTTATCCCGATCACCCAGAAGTAGATCGCATATCCCAATGAAATCCGAATGAAGTCCTGATGAAATCCCATAAGCTCACCATTTCTGGAGGTCTTTGACCCATCCCCCTTGGTAGGTGAGCTGCCTCAGTACGAGCAGGCGGCCCGGATGGCCGCGGAGACCTATGGCATCAACGTCCCGGAAAATCCGGTGGTTTGGCTGTTGGAAGGGCGAAACCATGGCGAAACCATGGGACTTTGTTTGAGAACATCATCGGAAACCCATGAGCAACATTTATTTTTATGTTGTGAATTTCATTGTTTTTGTTTTTTGGTGATCATCGCTATTTGAATGTCTCCTTTTTGAAGCGTGGGATTCCTCAGGAATTGGGCTCCAGAAAAGTGTTTGGAAAACGTACCAAGGGCTCCACAGGTGATGTCTGGCAAACCAACATGAACCAGCCATATGGGACATGTTGAGTTTGGTTTATTGGGATGATCACAACTTATAAAATTGGTTATGACATGTTGATAATGCATCAGCAAACCATCATTTTTGGATAAGTTGTGATGAGCAATGCTTAAAACGCAAGAAGATGGGGAGGAAAATGGAGGAAACCAGCAAGGAGCACTGAAAAACCTCGAATACCAGCCGGAAACCACGTCACGTGGATTCAGCCATCCCCAAAGCCGTTTTGCTCCACTGTTCCTGTCGTTTGTTGTTCTTCCCCAGATTTTTCTGAATATATGTCACTGCATGCAATGACATGTTTGTTTTTATGATGTAGTTAAAACAATGCCATGTTTACCATTCCCCAGCCATCGCCATGTTTATATTATAGGCGGTATAAACTATGCCCAAATGGGTGGTTTAGTATTGTTTTATATAAGCAAATTATTATTTTGTTTATTAACCACTATTAACCACTATTAACCACTATTAACTACTATTAACCACTATTAACCACTATAAACCACTATTAACCACTATTGATTCATTCGTTCTTAAATGAATTCATTTCTTTTCTGCACTTGCTGGTCGCGGGTGAGATCGCTCCAGGTCTTCATCCGTTGGAACGACACGCCGGAGGCGAATCGGATGTGGTATTGGCACCTTGGACCAAAAAAGGCTGCACCAAATGTGGCTCCTCCCTGTTCCAAACATTAGAAAAAAACCTGGTTAATAATGGTTAAATTGGTTAGTAGTGGTGTAATAATAGCAGTTCATATAATGTTTAATGCGATGTATTGATCATAAACCATTGGGAATTTGAGGTACCTTATTTTCAGACAAACCCTAGAGTCTGTAGATACAATGTGAATAATTAAACCCTATGATGGAACCAATGGTGTATTATGTAAATATGTTTTATGCAATATTAGACACCTGGGGTGAACATACAGAACCCATGGTTCCCAAAAAATCCATTGGGAAAATGATCGAAAATCAGTCGAAGGATTTGAACATCAAAATGGGGATGTAACTAACAGCATTTACCAGAAATGGAGGTTTTTCACATTGTGATGGGCAAACTGATCACCGGTGAAACTGAAGAAACTTAGAACTCGAAGACTCCTCAAACAGAAAGGATGTTGATGACTCCTATTCTCAAAATATGAAATACTTCAATCATCACCTTGGTTTAGTATTGAAACTATATATTCGATTTAGGGCCCTTATTGGGGATATTTTGTATGAGGGGGATGGCATGATTGTGTACAGACCACTCAATTTGTGTCCATGTTTAGGGCGCAACAAAAGTCCGATGCCAAATGACTTCCAATGGGTTGGATGTTTGAGACCCGTCAGGAACAATGCGGTGAGTTTCGTGGTGTATTCGCTGCTGGTCTTTTCGCTGCTTGGTACAACTTTGTTTGGCGTAGAATGCAGCTTGGTCGTGTCCCATGCTGATGTTTCTTGTGCATCCTTGATTGGCTATGCTGTTTTTTGTTGGATGATTTTTGAACACCGAAACCAGGTGAGTTCGGCTCTGTATGGATGTGTTCAAAGGTTCTGTGTCAGTGTCATTCCAGGTGTCATCCACATGTTGAGTTTTAGATCACCTCGGAGGGAGATTTTTTGGGCCAATGATAGGATCCCTGACCATGGGTGCCGTGGGTGGTAAGTACATACATGTTTGTTTTTTTTTTGTGTGTGTGTGTTTTTTTTCCATTGCTTTCATGATTCATAGTTAAATAAATGGCCACAACAACCTCACGCACGTTTTGTGTATTCTTCACAAACCAGCTATGCCGAACAAGCCCTGGCCCCCATGGTATGTTGAGGTTGTTGGCGCCCATCTTTCTCAGCTTGCTGATTTGCACCGGTGCCTCGCTCTTCGGCATGGAGGCGACGAATAGCTTCACCCTCTGGTGCTGATCACCAAAACCAACCAACCAACCAACCAGTTAGTATCTTCAGCTACAATTCAATCATCCCAAGAACAGCCATAAAACATCTCTGTTACACTCCAGTAAACCAAGATAGACATGGACAATACCGCCATGTGTAGATCAATTCTCAGAATTCTCAAAGAAAAAACCTATGGATTTCTGTACTGTAGCAGTTTTTTCTATATATATGTTCACTGGGTATCATGAGGGGCACCTTGTGCTCCAACATTCGCCAACAACGCCCCCCTGCGGCCAGGCGAGCGCTCAGTTTCATCCAGAGAAGCTGGATCTCATCAGCTGCTGGGCGGAACCCTAAACCCATGGGAAATCCTTGAGGGCCTTGAGGGTAAAAGTTGTGTGTTGCCCAGGATTTTCCATGATTTTCCCCCCCAAAAAAAACGCAAAAAATACATGTTGATTGAATCCGGGTCAACCTTGGTTCGATTATCCGAGGGTTAGAGATGCTTCATAGATAATTATCAAGTTCAAGGGATGAGAAATGGGGATTGAGTTCAAAAATTGACAAACAGATCATAATTTGTTATAAGTTGTTTCATTTAATTATTAATTATAGCTGTTTTCCAATCAATCATAGCGTCCGAGAAAACTATATATAACAACTTCACCGTGTAGATGATGGATAAATCATTTGGGCAAACCAAATGACCAAGCAAGCTTCAGGTGGGTGGGGCATAAAACAATTCAGCCAGAGGTGCTTCACGGGTGTTTCATTGGGTATCAGAGAATCATTGTAATAGGCATAATCACCGGGGATAATATCCATGAATGAATAAAATACACCCTGATAGGCTGTTTTCGAGGTTTCAATTTTGTTGAACACATTTTTTGACCCCCACCTGCGATATTTGGGGTCCAACTAAAAAGACTATCTTTTGGGTATAATAAGATATAATAAGCACTAATCTAACTTTTACTTGTGGCGGAGTGCCTCCAAGAGTGAGCAAGATAGTGAACTCTACAAACTCCAGAAGCGTCCTCCGGTTGGCAAACATGGCTCTGGGGAATCCCTTCCAGGGGAAAACCATGCAGAAATCTTTGCCCTCGGCCAATCAAACATGGGGACTCCCCGAAATGCAGGGTTTCCATGGGAAAACCAATTCGAAATGGAGGTTGACATGAGAAAATCATGGATCAAAGGGGAGATTTTCCACGTTTGACGATTGGGCCGCGCGCCTATATACGGCCTGGATGTATCAAGGTTTCAGCTTCGATTGGACGCCCCGGGCGTACCCTGGATACTTGCGGCAGGACAGGGGATAGACAGTGGATACCCAATCTGCCGTGACCGAATCAATAGTCTCCCAAGCCAATCGATAGGGGAACGCCGCTGAAATGCTTTGGTTAATCATCCTTAAGCCCGATACGCCGATACGGAGGCCATATTCTACGTTTGAAAAGTGGCGGAAACGGGAGGCCACTGTTTTTGGTCAGGACCTGCTGAACAGCCGAAGCTTCTGGACCGGAGAAGTCATCAAAGACTACATCTTTCATGTTGCTTGGTGTGACAGTTGATGTTAAAAGCGCCTGGTTCTCAAACACAAAGTCACTAACATGTTTGATTTTCAGTCCTTCCTTCGGATCATTGGATATTCTCTTTCATGGATGATTGAGATTGATTAAGTATCCCCTTCATTTCGATGACCATCCTAGTGACAAACACTCATGCGTGCCTTGCGTTGGGGCTCCTGACTTTGCGGGAAGTGTCAGAAGATGTCAGAAGTGCAGGAAGATATCAGGAACCAGATGAGATGCTTCAGCAAGACCAAGCAGCTCTTCAAACACCAATCAGAGAGGTTTCATTCGAAGATAAATGATCGTCTTGTGTCTTGATTTCATCACTTCTTATAGTCTTGTAATGAATGATCCTCAAATTATATACGTGTAGTTTCGTTTTTCCTGCAGGTTTGTTTTTTCTTGGCATGAAAGTGGCAAACATAGCTCCAAGCTCACCTTCCATACAGCCGAACCACTGCGAATAAGCGCCTGGCGCCGCCGAACCATGCGCTCCGCTGCGGATGTTCCCCTTCTGCCGCTGTGAAGATGGAGCCCCTGAGAGTGTCGCGCCATTGGAGGTCCGGTGTTGCGGTGCTCGGGGTCGAGTTGTGAAGCAGGCAAAAGTACCTTGAGTAACTCGGGAAGTGGTTATATATTTGCACATTTACCATCATTTACCTATACCCCAAATATAAAAAGTATTTTTGATACACACCAGATTTAATACCCCTCCTTAGCCAGGTGTATGGCCGACCGACCCTGGAAGATTTTTCGGATGATGGACATCCGGGCAGATGCTCGGTGGAATGGGATGTGGAAGATTTTTTGGGGATTTCTATTAATTAGTAACTTTGTATAGGTATACTAGGTATACTAATATATGTATATATATATATGTGTTATGCACATATAACGCCCAAACAAATATAGAGAAGTAGTTTACCACCACTTCAGTGGAATTTCGTTTTTTCTATTTTTTGGGTGCTGCTATGTAAATCTAGATGCACATGAATACCTGGAGCTCCCAACTTCAAACGGTCACTGGAGATGTTCACCTTATGATGGACGTTGTTCAAATCTAACGCTTCACTACTGGGATGTGCCCATCAGTCGGATCCCTCCTGGCAATCTTATCTGTGAAGTTAGTTGTTTGCTTTGCTTGGTGAATGGGTTTGAAAACACCGAACTGGAACTGGTGATACAAGCAACCAAACACTTGCAACCCATGTCGTTCGCCATAAAAGGAATATATAATCATGACCAAATTAGCTCAATGAAATATACTAAATGATACTGAACTGTGCATGCCGCAACACATGCCTGGTTGCCAACATTTTTTATTGTAAGCCTAACCTCGGGGGGACATATTACTCACTAAACCCTGGCAAGTACATGTTTTAGACACCAACCTTTGATAAGATATTGGTTTTCTTCAAAGATATACAATATATTAATATATTCATATATTGGTTAAATTAGGAACGCAGTGTTTTTTTTTGTTCAAGTATTTCGTGTGGTTTCCTGCACGTTGACCTGTAAACAAAATTCTCCGGACAATCGCCGTAACGATCGAACGGCTACTTGGAGGACATGGCAACCAGCCAAGTATGTTTGTTTTTCTCCCCCCAGAGGGAATATGATTTTCAAATACTGTAATCCATATACTCATATTCTCCATGGTGCTGGTATGTTTACCTACTCCATACATGGAGCACAATGAGCAGAGATTTTTCCGCACTATGTCCCCATTGTGGTTGGTTTATATTGGTCTACACCTCCATTTTTGTGTCAAGCCTGGATTAATAAACCCCCGGGCCCGGGCTGTTTAGTATTAGATTATCCTTATTTATAGGGAGAACCCCCGTAATTAATACACCACGGTTTGTTAATTCAGGGTATGATATGATCAACTAGAATACATACTTAGCAGCAATACTATATACATTGAATTACCACTATTTCTTATTTGCTATACATACATTACATTACGATTACAATGTTCATGTTGATTCACTTTTAAATTTACATTGCATGACATTACATTTTGCTGGTGGGTTTTTGCAAAGTGCAATACTTTTTCAAATTGCGCTCGGGTTGCGTTATGTTCAAACCTGTCCGTTTGTGTTTGGTGCCTCCAAAAAGTTTTACGTAAAAAAACAAAAAATGATACACATATTATATACACCATATTATTTATACACACACCATATTATATATATAACATATATATATGTGTGTGTGTTTTTTTTTATATCTATATAAATAATATATGTATATATATATATAATTATATATATGTGTGTGTGTGCGCATGGGTCGTGAAGGTATCATCATGTAGATTCCGAGGCCACGAAAACTTCGTGCAGCTTCCGGCCTCCTTCGAGGTGGATGACACGGCAGCGCTGCACGAGCCGCCGGTGATCAGCGCGCCGCTCTGGTTCTTGCCGCGTGGCGAATGACTTGAGTCCAGACCTTTAAGGAAACCATAGGAAACTTAAAAACAATACATGTTTCTATAAAATTTCTATAGTCTATACTGTAGGTGTTTCTAGATTGTTTGTACATTGTATGTTATTGTTTGATATTCTATAGTTTACAGTTTGATGTAGTTTGATATTGAATCTCTGGCAAGGATTCCGTTGCGAGCAGATGTTTTTTTTCCGTCAGCTCGGCGTCAGGCAATGCCCCGAGGAGCGGACCTTGCAGCGTGTATCAAAGGTCATGCTGTCGATCTACGTCAACGGCATGCGCATTCGTTGCTGGGCCGAGACCTGAGGGATTTCACCCTGGTAGAGGTCGGGATACGACTGGGATAGAAACTGGAATCTCGAATGGATAATGGGATATAGTTATGGTTATATATGGGTATGGATCAATACCTATAGATACATTTTTAGAGGGATGAACATCCATTTACCAGCTATTTTGATGTTCACCAGGGGTACAAGGTTTTGACACACTGCCATATAGGATAATGGGATAATTATCTTCTATATCCCATTATCATAATAGGCCCGATAATGGGATATAGCCATATATAGCTGACTACAGTAACTAGGATTTCTTATGATCTCGGGCCTCTGAAAATAGGAGATTTACTGCAATTCATGGCCACGGCCGGGGCAAATGATCATCCGATGATGTAGTTGTGGACCTTGAGCCGGCGGCCATTGTCATTTTTTCAACAAACCACGGAACTTTCTTGGCGGCGAATTATCCAAGCCCACCCAGAGATCGCACTTTCCAAGCTGCTCCAGTTTTATAAAACTTGCATCCAAGAAATATATACTTTGACCATCTTTGATGTTGCGAAGTCTACTGGAAATACAGCAATTATCGTAAATCAATGGCCATAAATCATCATAAATCATAAATACCTCCATTTTAGGATCCTGAATTCCCATTGAAGAAATCAAGTCCTGATCCCAATGAATCCCCAAGGCTACCTGCAGGACGACCGCCCCGAACGGTCCCTGGCCTGGTCACCCTTCGCGGTGGTACAGGTGCCGACGGTCTCCTTGATGTGGACCCTCCAGTGGTGTCAATCAGGGCAGGAAATCAAATCGAAATGAATGGGGAAATCATCTATGAAATCTGATGTAAACCTGCTATCTATTCAAATATCAAATCATTTCAGGATGAAAATGGTGATTCAATGGGATGTAAAGGTGATATTTCCTGCGGTGTAAGCAACAAACATAGTGAATGAATGTAAATGTAACCAAAAAACATGGGAATTCGAATGTCATGATATAGGGAATAAGTAGTGAATAACCATCCATATTTGGAGAAAACCCCACTTTTTGAACGAATCGGTTTACCTTGCGGCAATCAAACATGGCACTTGGAAATCACACATAGATCTGAATGGAGGTTTGAATGGGAAAAATCACCTTCAAATTTTAGAGTGTGCAATTCATTTGGATAAATCATGAATGTTAGTAAGAGACTCATCCCCAACTGGCCGTATGCTAGCACCTATGTTCAGGTTATTGTTATGAGTTATGATTCAGCCAGAATCTCAGAATCATATATATATATAATTATATATAAACTATGTTTAGGTTCAACCAATGATATGTTTTTTTGATGGACATATGTTTAATTCTCTCTCATCAATTGTTATGACGATCTCTATGTTCAATCCAACCAGGAAGTGAATCAAAGCATATTGGTTCGGTTTTTACGGCATGTTCTGATTCCATAACTTGGTTTTCCCCTTTGCATCCCAAATCTTCCCTTGAAGACGCTGGGTTCTACCTGGGGGTGCAATTCCACTTAAGACGTGAGTCTGTGGCCATAATTCTAGGGGTATCCAAACTTATGGAGGTTGTTACCATGGTTAAATATTCAACAGCTCCTGCATGGTTCAAAGAAATGTTCAACCCCTGTGCTAAGCCATGGTTTAATGATGTTTCATGCTACAGGGCGGGGGATGTTTCTCCCTTCCCAGCTGCGTCCCAGGCGTGTCGCTTTTTTCGGACCGAGACGGACGATGACTTGTCGCAGCTGCGGCTGTTCAAAGTGGCAGATTTCCACCACGGCGTTTCGTGCCTCTTTGCGGCCCCTGGGCAGCTAGGGCCTGGCAGGTTCGACTGGTTGAGGTTGGAACTTTTCGATGAAGGGCGCCTTGAGTTATGACTGCCAAAGAGAGAAGAAAAGACATGGAAAGGTGATTTCACGTGCTGTAAGACAGCCCCCACGTCTCCAACATTATCCAAGCCACTATTATGAATTTCAAAAATCTATGACCCTAAACATGTGTGTATATTGTGTGTGTGTGCCACCCTTTCGAAAATCCATTTAGACAATGGGCATCATGATATTCCTATAGAAACATCTTCTGAGCCCAATGTAATAAGACAGTTTGAAACTATCAGTATTTTCCATTATCATTATGAATTTATCACCTTCCTTATCTATTGGTGTTTCCTACAACGGTGTTACCCCCAAATCATCAAGTTTCATAAGATTTTCCATTATAAACTATAAACCATCCATTCTTGGGTACTCCCATTGATGGAAACCCCCATATATATAGAGCTAAGTCTTACTAATATTACGAACAGACCCCTTGAAAACCATGGTTTAGTAGGGAATTTCCATAGAATTGGGACCATACAAAGGGTGTTTAATATTAAGATGGGATTCTCCAACTATCATGATGTGATGTGATATAAACATATGTAAAGCATATAAGATTTTTTGTTTTGCTTTATTTTGGAGGAGCCCCCATTGAAGCCCGGGAGCATTGTGGGATGGGAAAGGGATGGGAAACCCCGACATGGAGCTAAGTCCGTTTGAAAGTCGTGATTTTATAGTTGATTTACTTCTTCAAATGCTGATGTTCCATAGTTTTGTTATACCTAAGGCTAAGTCTTACTTTCTAAACGCTCAACGCTATCCCCACGTGTGTCCGCCAAGGTGTCCTCCTCCAATAAGGAGGAGGCCTTGAGGCAACGTGCCAAGTGGGTGGCGGCAACGGCCTGCGCCATACGCTTGTTGACCTTGTCCATTTTTCCGGTGCCCTGGCGGTTTCGCCATGGACAATCCCTTCCTGAATCGAGAAAATCCACGAAAAAAATGGTGAACAAATCATGAGAATAAATGGGAGATAACCTGTGTTGAACAGAGACCCACCAAAAGGGTGGGCAAGAACCTAGGATTTTCCATGGTCTTTTCTGGAGCAAAACGCAAGTTGATCGGCTATTTTGATGGATTTTGGCAGGCTGAGTCCAGTGTTTGAGAGGGGAGTTCAATGACAGATTCCCAAGGTTCATGGAGGATGCAATGGAAGAATAGGAGACCGTCATGGAATCCATGGCCTGGCTTGGGTATTTTATCACACATATAGCTATGGAACATGTCCTATTTATGATTCTGATTCGATTTACTTTTGTGGACGTAAAATTGATGATTTCCCGTAGCTGTATTAAATTCCAGAATGTTTTTTCCATATCCCATAGGATCCTTGTATGCTATATATGGTAACATTTACCATTAATATACCCCAAATGTTAGCATATATACCATACATGGATCCTATGGGTATAGGTATTTATCTTGATTGTCCGCCATCATGATTCTTGACCTCTGAAAGCCCTGACCCCCAAAGAATAGAATGCTTTATCAAGACCTATTAACCACCAACAACCACAATTTATGGGCTTGTGAACGAACGACACATATATATATATATATATATATGTATGATTGCGGGCAGTCACCCAAATGGGTGGCTTTGGTTGAATTCCCGTGCGATTCATGACAGAGTGTAGCTGAACATGATGAATTTTCATGAATTTTACCCTCTGGTATACTAACACAGCTATTGAAAATGGTCATTTATAGTGGATTTCCCCATTAAAAATTGTGATTTTCCATAGTTATGTTAACGTTTACCAGAGGGTAATGAATTTTACCAGGCTAAAAATGGTGCAACGAATTTTGACCAAGGCCTTCAAAATCGTCACCCGCCCCACGGTCAATGCACCGGATTGGACTTCGACGCGGCTGCTGGCTGGTCACTTGTTACTCTTTGACAAGAAAGGCAGGCCCCGGTGGATTGATCGACCGGCTCAACCACTACCCTTGGCTTATTTAACATATGGAAAATGGTCCATTTACAGATGATTTTCCCAGCTAGAAACCCTCCATTTACAATGGGATTTTCCATAGCTATGTTAAATAACCAGAGGCTTATCATAAATATTGTTTTTTTTGGGGGGTTCGTGAAACATGATTCTTATTCAAAATCAGATCGTGGTATGTATAATATGTATAAATTCACATCTCTGAACTTCATTAAATGAATCTTCATGACATGTTTTTTTTGCAGCATTCTTATCAATAAGACAAAATGTAGTGTAACATGATGTTTACTCAAACTACATGGGCACAATTTTTATCCAAGGTCAAACTTAAAAGGCTTTAGCCGCCATTCTTTACATTCCATAGTTGCCTCCATATGCCTGGGCCAGGTGTCACGCCCTGCTTCGCCGAGCTACATGCGCCGCTGGCGGAGAAGACGGTGCTTCAGTGCTATGAAGACGAGAGCTGCAAGGCGCTGCTGATGCGGCTACGCATCGATGCGGTGACCACCGTCACGGTACCATGGCGGAGATGTCTTGATTGGGACAGGCAGGATCTGGGAAGACGGAGGTTAACGACCTATGTTTACTTGCAACTTGGAAAGGCATGGAAAAACTATTTTGGAGGTAAATCCCCTCAATTGCTGTGATGGTGAGGGCTATTTAATGTTGGGTTGACAAAGTGCAGTTTTCAAGGTAGCCTTGATTAAAGCCCGTGGACTGTTGATCATCGGGGCAGTACCAGTGAAGCATATGATCACTATGTGGGGACCCCCCAATTTATATATGAACCCGACATTATATGTGCAACCTTCAATAATTAAAAAGATGGAGGTTGAATCAGCAACAAACATGTGAGTTAGCCAGTTAAGGATTGAAATCACCCTATTTGGCTGATATCTTAGCTGTGATGTGTGACGTGGAGCAGCACTTGGGGGTGCAGTTGTGTTGTTCCCCACCTGCCAGGTGAGGGTTGTTAGATTTTATGTCAGTTGCCTCCTCCTCCTCCTGCCTCGTCCTCCTCTCGTCCTCCTCTCCTCCTCCTCCTCTCCTCCTCGTCCTCCTCGTCCTCCTTGTCATCCTTGTCGTCCTCTCGTTGTCCTCCTCGTCTCGTTGTCCTCCTCGTCCTCCTGCTCAACTGCGACTCGCGATCCACAGTGTTCGCTGCCGGACCTCAACCACGACCACCCACGCCCAGTGTTCCCTGCCGGACCTCAACCACGACCATCCACGCCCAGTGTTCCCTGCCGGACCTCAACCACGATCATCCCCGCCCAGTGTTCCTGCCGGACCTCAACCACGACCATCCACGCCCAGTGTTCCCTGCCGGACCTCAACCGCGAGTATCCACGCCAAGTGTTCCCTGCCGGACCTCATGTAGGAAGATATGGGACAAAGAATGTGCAGAAGAAAGTTAGAAAGAATGCCAGATAGAATGTCAGCTAGAATGCCAGAAGATATGCCAGATAAAGTGCCAGAATGTTTGCCAGATAGAATGCCAGCAGATTTGCCAGATAATATGCCAGAAGATATGCTAGATAGAATGCCAGATGGAATGCCAGAAGATTTGCCAGATAATATGCCAGAAGATATGCCAGATAGAATGCCAGATGGAATGCCAGAAGATATGCCAGAACATATGCCAGAAGATATGCCAGAAGATATGCCAGAGCATCTGCCAGAAGATATGCCAGAACATCTGCCAGAAGATATGCCAGGTAGAATGCCAGAAGATATGCCAGATAGAATGCCAGATCGAATGCCAGAAAATATGCCAGATAGAATGCCAGAAGATTTGCCAGTAACAACATGTATAAATGTCATGGTGGGGATCACACGAAGTAAAGTAATTTCTTTTTTTTCGCGTGTGTGTGTGCGTTTTATGGGGTATAGAGCATGAAAACATATTCCGCACAGAAGTTGGGTATAATTTATCTAATTTCAAGAGGACTGAAAAGCATGTTTTCTGATGATTCAGCACGGGTAGGTACATATGACACTTTCTATGGGTACGGTACGGGGGGTACGGTGGGTACGGTACGGGGGGTACGGTGGGTACGGTACGGGGGGTACGGTGGGTACGGTACGGGGGGTACGGTGGGTGCGTATACCTGCACCCACCGTACCGTACCCACCGTACCCACCGTACTGTACCACCGTACCCACCGTACCGTACCCACTGTACCCACTGTACCGTACCCAGCGTACCCACTGTACCGTACCCACCGTACCCACTGTACCGTACCCACCGTACCCACCGTACCGTACCCACTGTACCCACCGTACCGTACCACCGTACCCAACGTACCGCACCCTTCACCGTACCATCATTTTTGAAGACCGTACCCCCCCACAGAGCATTACTCTTGAAATCTGATAAGGTATAATCATATCACCATTGGAACTGCACCCACTAATTCAGTGGTAGCTGGAGATGTTTGGCTGTTATTTCCAGAAATGGCTGAAGGAATGCGCTGAGGGACACTTAACAACCTGGATTTTGGGTAAGAACATTTTTGGGGGGGCAGATGTTCCCTTAAACCATTCCCTGAAAACCTTAAAGAGTTCCTCAAAATGGAACCACACATTCATATTCTTTGCAGGATTATCTCTAGTTTAAGTGTGACAACGTGTGATATCATAATGTTTACGTGTACGCATGTTACAGGTGCCAGGGTTGCTTTTGCAATGATGAGTCCCTTTCGTAAAAGTCCACCTTAAGTGTGGCTGGAACATACGCAGACCTTGACAAACGACTCTCGGTGCCCCAAGGAACGCATGGGTGTGGACTGCAGTTGCTTCACTCTCAACGACCATCACTTCGCGGCCCGAAGTGTGGCAGAGATGCTTGCGATGATGGGGAGGTGATGAGGTGGTAGGTTTGTTCGAAACATGGGGACTTTGCAACAGTTGGTTATGGGGGATAAAAACCAACGTAAGCGAACCGTAGATTATCCTAGATTAATAAGGGACTATAGTGGGATATAATCGGGAAAGCATGGAAACCAAGCATCTTTTGATGTTTTTATTGGAATAGCTACTTGTTACTTATAATTATCTTGGGAAAATGGAAGCCCTGGAGATAGAGAGAGACCTTCTGGATTACTGGCAGGCAGTAAGCTGGAATCAGGTGGATATAGAAATCGAACAGACCCATTGTATGTGTATTTCTTTGTTCTCTTGTGGTTCCCTTCCTACGATTCACAAAGACTTGAGGCTTCGTCGTTTGAATGTGGATTTCCTATTGCTACCTGTATAAATCTGTATGGTTTCCATTAGTCTTGCTTTGAAAACTCGCCTCCATACACAAAGAAAACATGGTTGGGTTGGTGGTTTCAAATAAGTAATTATGTGTTTCATAATTGTTTCATCGGACCCTGCACTCTGGGTCACCCGAAAGCAACGCGCCTTCCGAAATCAACTGAACCAACGGAACCGAGGAAAGTGCTTTGGCTGCGTGCCATCAGCAATGTCAAGGTGAAGTTGCGACATGCGATGATGCCAACCAGTGAGCTGGAACCTTGGGGCCATGAATACGCTCTGGTTCTGGTAAACGAACGTAGCTATGGAAGCCATGGCCCATTTACAGATGATCTACCGTTGTATCTAATTACCAAAAAAAACAAATGATTTTCGATAGCTTAGTTTTACCAGAGTGTAAACGTCCAGTTTATTGATCCTGTAGGAGGGGGTATCAATTTAAAGACACCATCGATAAATCGCACGAGTTCATGGACTTAAGACAACAGGATTTGCCCCAAGACCTGGTATGGTAAAGGAGTTTGAAGATTGTTGGCAATAAACCACCGTTGTTTATGGACTGTTATGGACTGTTTTTCCTCAAAAAGGTGTGTCTTTCCTCCCTAATTACCTAGACTCTAGACCCTTCAAGTACCATGATTTCGGGGTCGTCCCAGCCAGCCGTTTAACTTCGTCGGCCCACGAAGGGGTTTCGATTTGGGCTCCCCATGGCTCCCCACATGAACACAGGCTAGAAACGCCTTGTTGGTTGATTATCAGGTTTATTATTTATATATAGAGAGAGAGAGAGAATAATAACTTAGTATAGTAACTTAGTATAGTAACCTGATTATCAGGTTTGTTGATTATAGTAACTTAGTATATGGAGAATGCCAGGACTGGTACGGCTCACCATGGCTGTAGCACCTTGTAGCACCTGCACCCCGCTGTTCGCCACAAGGAACTGAGATACTACCGCGGCTTGTTAGCAGCTTCCAGGTCTTGGGCGATATAACGACCTCACTGCGACCTCATTGGAATCATGCTTAATAAGAGGGATCATTCCCAAATTGCCTTAATTCAGGTTTGGGACGTATCACAATTTGCCCAGAGATAAGCTGCAGTTTTGAGATGTTCATAATGTTCATGTTGCACCGAGAAGCACCTCCCATTTTGTGCTCCCCATAGCCACCTTGCCCGAGGCATTGCCGTGGATGAGCAGATCTCCAAGTTGCCACAGACGAAGCTGCCCCTGGTGCTGCTGAAAGGCATGCCGTTCCTTAAACGTCGCGCCCAAAGTTTTTGGCCGGTGGCCCGGCAGTTTTTGGTCGAAGGTTTGGGCTGATCTCGCGGTGTCTTTTTTCAATCTGACTATGAAAGAAAAACAACATGTTCTACATTCTGTCCTCGTGAATGACATTCCTTACTGAAAAGATGCAAGAAAAGCATTTCTAGTTGCATTTCAACGTGGCCAGATCTGGGTGCGTGGATTCGAGGATGTTTGTTCAACCACTTTATTGTGCTTTGCTGCTTGGGGAATGGTACTGCTTCTGCTATTTCACCAGGGAAGGCCGAAGCTCACGGGGACAGGTGAAATGTGCTGTGCCCGAACCTATATGTGAGACGAGGTCATGGGATTTTCAGCAGGTTGCAGGAAACATTGAAGATCGACATCCCATTTTTGATGGTCGTCCTTTTAATCAAATTTGAAACCCATTGTTCATCGGCTTTCGGGAATCCTTTTTTGTGTTCCAGACCTTTTCTCCAGACCCTCTTAACTTGGATAGTAAGGGTCTACAGACCAATGGGTTTCCAGCAAATATTCCTTGAACTCACCAGCCAGCCCATTTTTAAGACCTTCTAAGCTCACGTTCCAATGCAAAAAAAACTCAGACCTTTGATCAATCTATATACATCTATATACAGTATATAGTATATAGATTCATCTAGATTCCCTTCTTCCCCACCATTTTTCCACCGAAGCCCAGGTCTCTGACCCCGCCCTGCCGCTGTCCCCGGACTCGGGTGCCCCTTCCACCGGCCATGGCGAAGTCGACGCTGATGTGGCGATCCCAACGGCCGAAATCTCGAAGCGAAACGTCTTCGTGTGACAACGGTGAATCAACAATGGTGAGTTGGAAGGGAGTTACTCTTGCAAGAAAATGAGCAAACTTCCCATAACTTCCTATTTTCTTTGGTGTCGTTTCTTGAAACGTCTTCCGAATTTAGTTGTTTGAGATGACATGAGATGATGATTTGAGTCATTTGGGGTTGCTGTTCCAAACGTGTTTGAAGAGCCTACGTATCACTGATGCGGCGCCCAAACTTGGCTGCTGTGCGGGAAAAATCTGCGGTGCAGTTGTGGGGGCTCCACCTTGTAGGATCTAGGAGTTATGGATAGGTAAATGGGGTTACTCAACTTACACCTGGGGTCTTGCCTGGGTTTCTCATTGTTTTCCAAAACGGCCCAGAGGCGGGCGATTCGTTGACTCTGCGGAGTGAGGAGCCATCTTCCTATAGTGAATATGAATAATGTGTCGTGTCTTAACGCAAATTTTAAGATACCAAAACATGCCGGAGCTGGACGCTGTCAATGTATGAATGCAGTGGGAGGGTGCAGGGATTGCTTGTGCACAGTTGCCGGCGATGAACGAGGATTGAACAGCTCTGATCATATACTGAGCATCTGAGCATGCACTCGTTGGAACCGGGCGAACGCGGTTAACATGCACAGAACAACAGTTCCTGGCCACAGTTTGGGGACAATGGTTGGCTAGTGGGAGATGTCTCAGAGATCCCCCAGAGTATCCATCCGATATCCGATTCACCTGGATGACTGCCAACGGGGCGACTGAGTCCCAGCCGAGGCTGCAAACCGCCATGTGTATTTGAGCTGCCTCTTGTCTCACCCATCGCATCCGTATCAGAACCTCGGATGATGATGCTTCCCACCAAAATTGGAACCACAACTTGCACATATTTTCATGGAAGGTGGGAAAGCAACATGTACATGTCCAACATCGGCAGAACGCATTTGACAAATTCGCCAATGGGGTAGAACAATAAGTTGTGAATGAAAATTGGTTGCCACACCCGATATTCCCAGAAATGGGCTGTATCATGTCGTATCGATTGTATAAACCATCCCCAGTTTTTTAGGATGTTTTAGTTTTACTTAAAAAGAGGTTTGTCGGTCTACGATGTTTACGCGAAATAGACCATCTTCACTAGCCATGGTATAGAAGTCTTGAAAAAAGAACAATTAACTATGACTATAATTATCTATATAAATCATATTAAGTGCATCAAACATTGAGTCAAACCAAAAATTTAGTAGTATGATGTATTATGCTTGACGCAAACAATCAAATGCATAGTTCTGGATATTTTTCATTTTCACTGCATCGCCAACTGAACGATGCAATGCCCGAATATCCGAAAAAAATCAGTTTCAGTTTAGCGAATGAATTGTTTTTTTTTCCAGATACCCTCAAGTCTTGAAACGTGGCAATCCCATGTGCTCCATGTATGGAATATTTACCAACATTGCCCTAAAATCACCCAAATGTAGGTATACAGATACCATACATGGAGCATATGGGAATGGAACATCCCAAAGCTAAGTTCTTCGTCTCAGCTGCACGATCCTGATCGTGATCAGGAAATGGCATCGTATCGTTGTCGCGGCAGTAGCCACCTGTGACTTTCCAGCGTTGAGCGGTGCTGGGGGAACTTTACTGGGGAAGGGATATACCACTAGACCCAACTGGAGGCGCACCATGTCATTACACGCGGCACAGACGTGGCTATTCAGAAGTGTGTGGCGTGTTATATCACACAGATGAAAAGCCTGGCTCAAAACGGCTTTTGGCATGTTTTTGTTGAAGGGTTTTCTGATATGTATATAATTAAATACATATATGTAGACAACTAGGTAGAGAGAGATAGATAGACACATAGATAGGCACATAGATATACACACATATATATATATATATAATAAATGTGTGTGTACTGGATCATTTCAGACCATTTTAGACATACACCTAAGTTCATTTAAGTCAAACATCACCTGAACCAATCCTTTCCTGATTTTTTGCACCCTGCTCCTGTTGAAAGTCATCATCCACAAACAATGTGTACGTTGATTTAAAACTATAAACTGCTCTAAATGTTGCACCTGATAAGAAAAACCTAGGGATTTATATGGTAGATATCATCTATGCCCTCATGGCTTCCAGTCACCAACGTTTCTACGGACAGAAGCTTGGGACAGACGAGGTGTCAGCTGGGCATTGATCGCAGCCGTCTCTGTGTATACCATCTCTTGGCTCGCCCGACTCACGACTGGCTCATCGGGCTCATCGGGCTCATCGGGCTCATGGCAAGGGGAAAGCCATGTAGCCATTGAAATTGGCATTGGGAAAATATCGCCTATGAGTTACAAATGGTGGATTTTGCGCGGCCATGTTCGATTACCGGGTTACTGTAAGCATCAAAAATGGAGTAAGGTTAAGTTCAAGCTATACAATTAAGGCAAGAATTTTGGTGAACTGAACAGTAGATGGTGTCAGACTGTCTGGTGATTTGTTGTTTCATCTCTTTGAGGAGCGAGGAGTAGCAACGTTCCAGTAGCTCACCAGGTCTGTGATGTTGATACAACTGGATATTTGGGTGTCCAGCCCCAAAGATGTGTGTTGCTTTTTCTCGGCATGAACCTCACCAATATTCACCAATTCATCTCGGATTCGTGCACAGTTTTAAGTTGAAGTTCTCGAGTCATCTCGAGTCAGCTCGCTCCACAAGGAACGCTCGCGATGATCTTTTTCTGCCTCATCTTTAGTGGCTTGACCAACAGTGTTGTCAGAGAGGAAAGGGGTACAATAACGGAAGTTTGACTTGAACCTAATATAGAAATTTGAGAAATTGTTGATGGCTTCAGATGTTTATCATGTCATTTCCATTCATTTCCTCCATTTGGTGGGGCTGTCACATTGTTTTGGATCAACACCTTGAACAGAGCCATCCCATGCCTTCACTGTTGACCCATGCCTTCACTGTTGACTTCCCGTGTCGGCGCTAACCCTGGGTTGTTTTCCTCGTTAGGAAATTCCCTGAAACTGATCTTCTTGTCCTACGGCATTCAGACAGAGCCAGATCTGGCGGTACATCATGCAGCCACGGCGGTTGGGAGCTGAGATCAGACATGAAAAACATGGCATTTTTCGAGGCTTAGAAAAATGATGATTTGTTTAAACATGATGTAATCACAGGAGTTCAAGCACTAATTACAAATTATACCCTTTGGTAATCAAACATGATGGCAATTGGAAATCCCCTATAAATGGGGGTTTCAAGGGGAAAAATTCTTCAAGATCATCGATAAATGGCAGATTTTCCATTGCAATGTTTATAAGTGTGAAAGGCGTTAACAGAATCCAGCCTGAACCCTGGAGGCTTAGTCCTCCATGGAAGCTGCAGGGAGATGTCACACTAGTTAGCTTTGTATCCGCAAACATTCAAAGGATTACATGGCCGTAAACATATGAAGTTTTTTCCCCCAAATGGACTATATAAAGTGGTATGATGATATGTTTTTTCCACGAACATCTTAGTAACACGTTTAAGAAATCCGAATGGATCAGATATGATATGATATGATCAGATATGAGCAGATCACGCCACCACATATATCCATATACCACCTGTAAATACCTATAACCCTTTGATACAGTATCCATGTTTTTTGTATAGTAGTCATGTGGTGTGTTTCCTCCAAGGGCTCCGAGTTCAGCGTGAACCAGTTGGGCGTGGTCTTGCGCCTCGTCCCTTTATTAAACTCGTGGAAAATCACCTATTTTTCGAAGGTAATTCGTCCAATTTATGGGCCATTTAAGCCACATATAGATGTTGATTATTTGATTTATATTAAGTGACCTCAAATTGCTGGGTCACTTTGAAGAACCAGGAGGTTTCGTGTGTTTTTAGTTGCGGCCTTCCGCCTTCATGATCACTTGCCATATTTTTAGAATGCTCACTTCGCAGTATGAAATGCAGCATCACCAGCGGCACAAATTGTCACGAGGTTGTCACCATAGATCATACTGACTCCGGAAATACAAAACCCCCAATTGGTTTCATTCCGAGGTACCCTCTGGTAAACTAACATAACTGTGGAAAATCACCATTTTCAAGGGGTAAATCCACTATAAATCACCATTTTCAATAGCTATTTTGACATAACCAGAGGGTATCGTGTTCAACTCCGGAAATAGTCACTCTCTGGAGGTGCACCCCACAATCAGCCCCACAATGAATCTATTCACTCACGGGTGGATGTTCTATGCAGGTATCACCCAAACTGAATTGAAGAAGAATTTGCATAATTGCATTGATTCTGTTTTTTTTTTGTACGGCTTGCTTCCCCGAATTGACCCAAAAAATTGACAGGGTGTAGCGTAAGTTTGGGTAGTAAAAACCAGCTGAATCCACACTTTTAAGACACACCTGTTGCATATTTCTGCGCGTTTATAAGTCCCATAATTAAATAGGGTTGTCTGAAAATAGTGCGCCCCAAAATTCATTGGTGGATCACAATTTCCCTGTAACTTGATTGCAATTTGAATAGGGGGTCTACAACCAACGTCAGATACACGCCAATACCATGATTGCTGGTCACCTATCCCATTTGTATCCACTTTACCACTCTTGTCGTTGGTTATATCCTCCAAATCCCATTAGTTGGTGAGTTATATCCCATAACGCCAACATGATCTTCATTATGTCCCCATTAAATGATTAAAGTCTTATATTCTATTCTTTATATGTGCAGATGAGTTACAATGAGCTCAAACTGCCTTATTTCAGCTAGTTTCAGGTTATATATATATAGTGAATTATCTAGGTTTAAGCCAGAAACACATATGGATGTTTCCTACCTACACCATCCATTTTAATAGGATGTTCCATTATAAACCATCCAGCTATTGGGGTATCCCGGAAAACCCCATGGATCCATATGGTGGATTGTCTCTTATCTGATCCATCTGGTTTTTCGACAGGGCGCCTGGCTCAGGATGTTGGTCTTGTTGGGGGTCAGTGTCATGGCCACTTGCTCTGCCCTCGTCAATGCTTCCAGTGCTTCCAGTGATACCACCTTTGGTGCGCACTGGGGACATTTGGGCCGGAACTGGCTGATTGTGTTTTTTCGTATTTTGGAGGGGGTAAGCAGTTTAACATGCTGTTATTTGGCATTGAACATGGGGCAAAGCAATAGCAACCCTCCAAGAAAGATGGAAAAATAAACAACTACCCAACTAGTGGTTAATTTCTCTTCTATTTTGTTGGAGATTAATTTGTCCCTAATTGGAACTCGTTTCCTGGATTGAAGTTGCCATTTTGGGGGTATCCTTGTTTTTGTTAGGGCATGTTTCCTTTAAAGCCGATTCCAAACACATGATTCACTAGAAGTTATTAAATCATCGACGCTACTTTCGGACAAAGAGCGGGGGGCCCATCATTGCCGAATATGTTTTCATTCTCTCTCTCTCTCTCTACATATATATATATATACATACATATACCGCAATCATGTATACCTTGATTCTGATTGTGCATGCAAGGTTTATAGTTGGCATTTTGATATTCACTGTAGCATCCCCATGTTGTCGTTTCGACTTGGAGGAAGGGCTTAGTGTGGCAGCCTCAACATGGTGTAGCAACTCCTGGGGGATGGTGAGGTTATCCCCGATACATCACACGGTAGCCCGGTAGCTGTTTGTCTATGCAATGTGGTGCCCCATGGTTTGCTGAGTTGGTCATATACACTTACACACATATATATATATATATGATATATTTATATACGTACACACACACATATATATATACACAGTACCTAGTTTAACTAAGGTTTGGTTTAATTTTGGTGAAATCTATAGTTAGATGTTGTTAGATGGGTACTAGCCCACCAAACATCATCCATGCTTCATCATTGTTCTATGTGGTTTGGTATTGTATGATATCTCCATCTCATGTCTGTAAATTCCATATGGGATGAACCCTTATATAACTTAACGTGTTTTGTCCCCCCACTTTTCCCACGCCATTTGGGCACCCAGATCTGCCTAGCTTCCGCAGGTGAAGCCCTGTCCGCAAGCAGTGACGTCTTCATGTACATGCCGCATGGCCAATGGGGATGCCATGTGTTGGACAAATGCCTCCTGGGTGCAATCTTGCTATATCTTGCTATATAATATGCAGAGGCCACTGGTAATACTGCAATAATTTGTGTAGGAACCCAAGTTGGTGATGGTAATCGTTCGGATCATTTGTATTGCCACAAGGCCAAGGGTGTAGCCATTTGTGGTAATCTTGGGGTTACAACATCGCTATTGCAGTTTGTCTCTACTATATAGTCCCTGCACCATAGTGATGTTAAAATCCACCCGTTTCCCCTCAACCGCGAGACCCAGGTATCCCTGCGGGTATTGAATTTTAGGCTGGGTGATAGGAAGTGTTACTGTATAGACTTTTGTTTTGTGGGCATATGCCAGCAACATCTTTGTGTATTCCATTGTTTGTTGATTTTCTCTTCTTCAACCGGGAAATCATGTGAACATCAACTAGCACAATTGATTGTCCCAACAAACTTTGTACTAAAAATCTCCATTCATAGCTTGATGAGCCTCCCGCGGGAGCCCACCAGGTATGTCTTGGATTTCCTGGTGGATCTCTGTACCCCCTACCTGGGAAAGGATACCTTGAGGGGCACTTGGGCCATTGGTTTCTTTGGCAGGCGCGGTTGTGAAATCAGTTGAAGTCATGATTTCGGAGAGGAAAATCAATGAACATCATCTACCTTCTTGTTATTTAACTATAGCTATGGAAAGTGGTCTGTGTATGGATGATTTCTCTATATTTACCCAGGAAAAATGTGATTTTCTATAGCTAGGTTAAATAACTGCAGGGGTTTTCAATCGGGTTGGATTAGCGATGGAACCCCTCTGACCTTCCGGGGACGGTCTTGGATGATTCCATGATTTCCAACAGTTAAGGGTTGGAAGACTATTTTCCATTAAACATTAGTGATTTTCAGGGTCTATGTCAATTTACCAGGAGGGAACTTCCATGTGTTGTTCCCATGTCCAGATGATAAAACATGTTCCATATGGTCCATATGTTCTTTCCATGGGACAAACACATGGGGTTCCTTGGGCGATTGTGCTTTCCGAAATGTCCAGGTGGGTGAACGAGCGGAACGAGTTCGAATCGGCCAAGTCGCAGAATCAGAAGCTGCCGGAGACTGACTTAGTCATTTTTCATTACTTAATGCGAAGCAATGTCATAAGCCAGCAATGGAATGATGGTTTATACTTTATACGGTCTATACCAAAAAAATGGTAAAATTGGTAAAATTGAGAGTTGCTTACTATTGCTTTAAACACATTGTAGTCCGTTATTGGATATACTGTCGGGATGTCAGCTAACCTAGTTTCAAACTGCAGGATTATACAAATCCATTTCGAACATTTGCTAGGGGCCAGTGCGGGAAGACCATCCTCAAAGATCTTCAAAGTATGGACGGTTGGACAAGACGCAGCAGTTTATGTAGCAGTGTGTACCCCGTGATGACATCAAACATGACATTGGGAAATCCCCCAGACATGGATGTTTTCATGGAAACATTGGGAATCTTGCACTACCATGTTTGATTACCAGAGGGCATTTAGTTGTTCATCATATACCCATCTATCTTCCAATAAGTCTATCGTGCTACTTGTTTGTTTATTCTAGTTGTTTGCAATCTATCTCTATTTTGCTCCCAGTCGTACTTGGAATTTATCGGCCATCATTCTGCAGTTTGAATTCTATGATGTCAGGATGGCCGAGTGTGGAATCTCTCCGGGATGGAGGCCCCATCTTGAGCCTTCATTCTCCTCAAGCATATATGATTATATGCAAAGATAGTTGATATGCATAAAAACGAGTATGTCTTACCCCATTCCAATGAAGTAGAATATGTGTCACATACAATCCGGATTGTGCCAAATATTATCGCATCATTATCCCATGATCATCCCATGAATCGAGCCACAGACAATCCATCACCATCCCAAGGATCAACAGAGAACTCATCCGGAGCCACGCCAAGGTTTCGTTGGAATTCCCTGGGTGCGGAGGTCTTTGGCGTTCGTGCTGGAAAAGGCGAACATGGAACTTGTTGGATGCCAACTTCTCAGAACTGAATCAGAGTTATCCATTGTTAATAATGGTTAATAACGCATACACACACACACATATATATATATATACATGATTAGTATACACATTTGTTTTTTCCTTAAAATGGGAAATCCCCAAAACAAACATAAAAAACTATAGGTTTCAATACTAAAATGGCCCAATGGCTTTGTTGAATTGGGGTAGCACCTGGCGCAAAAACGAAGCAGATTTGTTTGGTGCCATGAGTTTTGGGTCCTATTGGGAGAATGGAGTTGTTTCAATTGCGGCAAGAAAACCCTTTTCCTGTTCCGAATAGAGACCCTCAAGGCAAAATCATCCATACAAAATTATGATATATTCTGATGGCGGTGATTATGATGGCGATTGACTGTCAAGTATGCCTTTAGGGCACTGTGACGGGGTCCCTAAAATGATGGAAAGTCATCCCAATCATTATGATGGTGATTTAGTCTAGTCTTTTTTAACAGAACGGCCCCTCATGGGGGAGTGATTTTTGCTCTGAAAATGGTCAAAAATGCTGGTATTTACAGTGTTTTGTGACCAAAGTGGGCTTAAAACCGTTATTTTAGAGCAAAAAATAGAGTTCACCTCCAAAGGCTCTCATATGCTGTCATAAATCACTGGCATTTACAGACTCTTGTGGCAAGATTCAATTTTTACTAGGGTTTTAGACCCTCCAAATGCATAAAACATCGGTATTTACATTACAGTGTTTTATCATCATTTTTAATGAAAATTCACTCCCCCACGGGGTGCCGCCCTCTTTTTTAATTAGGGTCCCTAAAGGAGTGATGGAACAAAAATACAGTAAGTTATACACACGTGATTCTCAAAATTCGGATCTTATTCTGGGGACCTAACTCTCTATTCGCGAAACAAGATTTGTTTTCAGCTGTCAATCACTTCATGGCCCAGTGAACTTGCTGGAGTGATGTACCTTAACATAAAATTGCTGTCTGAAAATTGGCGAACCCCCACTTGTGATTCATTGCAGGATTAATGGAAGGACAATTGTGATCAAGTGTAAGGACCTAAATCATTATACAGTCACCGACAGAATTTTGGAAATGAAAAAAGGTTCGCGCGCCGCAGTTAGCGGAAAAGGTTGGGGACCGAAACCAAGACAAAAGATTAGCGACATTACGGACTTTCAAAAAAAAAAAATGGAAATAGCAATTTTCAGATCCTGATCCTCTAAAAAAGAAAAAACAAGTGAGACAAATGTCTACAAAAGCCTTTAATCCACGATGCAAAATTAATTTTGGAAATCTTACTTATCGGATCCTGGTCCTCCAAACTACCTGCTTTACAGCGTATTTGCATGATTTTGGGACTAAATCCAGATTCAGTTTTGGGACCCTTATCCTCCAAACCACCTGGCTTACAGCAAATTTGCATGATTTTGGGACTAAATCCAGATTCAGTTTTGGGATCCTGATCCTCCAAACATCTCTAAACCACCTTGTTTACAGTTTGTTTGCATGATCTTGGGACTAAATCTAGATTCAGCTTTCGGACCCTGATCCTCCAAACCATTTGCTTTGCAGCGTATTTGCATGATCTTGGGACTAAATCTAGATTCAGTTTTCGGATCTTGATCCTTCCAAAAAAAAGATGAAACAAATGTATACAAATGTCTACAAAAGCCCCTAATCCACGATGCAAACTTAATTTTGGAAATCTTACTTTTCGGATCCTGATCCTCCAAACTACCTAATTTTTTAATGTTTTTGCATGATTTTGGGACAACATCCAGATTCAGTTTTGGGACCCTTATCCTCCAAACCACCTGCTTTACAGCGTATTTGCATGATTTTGGGACTAAATCCAGATTCAGTTTTGGGACCCTTATCCTCCAAACCACCTGGTTTACAGCAAATTTGCATGATTTTGGGACTAAATCCAGATTCAGTTTTGGGATCCTGATCCTCCAAACATCTCTAAACCGCCTTGTTTACAGTTTATTTGCATGATCTTGGGACTAAATCTAGATTCAGCTTTCGGACCCTGATCCTCCAAACCAGTTGCTTTACAGCGTATTTGCATGATCTTGGGACTAAATCTAGATTCAGTTTTTGGATCTTGATCCTTCAAAAAAAAGGATGAAACAAATGTATACAAATGTCTACAAAAGCCTCTAATCCAATGCTACTGTAGCCATAATCATGCACTGTAGCCATGGCCAAAAGAATTATGGAAACATGTCAATAGAAAAGTTGTCACCCCTTTCAGGAAACAAATAATTATGGAAATGGTCATATGCCAAGAAACACCCTCACATGGAAAAAATATATATGGAAATTTAACTGCAGCACGTCACGCCCCTTCCAAAAAGGTTCGGTATACAAGGTATTACCGATTTTTGAGGTGTGCATTTTTATCAGTAAAAAAGAATTATGGAAAAATACGGCCCCGGCGCGCCGCAGTTGTTTGCTTGCCCATGTCGAACCTTTTTTCCACAATTCTGTCGGTGACCATAAATCATTTAGGGGTACCTGTATTTTTTTAAAAACCATTTCAGAGAAACCAACTTGTAGCAATGAACAAGCAGAGCCAACATCATGAGCAGCTGCCCGTTTCTTTCATTCCTGTGTATCCTGTGTGAGATACTTCAAAACTAATCCACCTCAATGGATATAGATTGGAAATGTGTGCTGAAACAGAAACACGCATTATGTTGAAATGGCTATGAGTCAAAACCTTGGGTCCCGAGGTACGCAAAGATAGCTGCTTAATGATGTTTATATACTAGGCTTTGACCCATCCCCAAATGTTTGCCTCAGATAGTCCCTGGAAGCAATTTGCGACAGCCGACAGGCAAAGCAGACAAGACTGGTGCGAGCCAGAGCGGTTCCTACCTTCTGCCGCATGGAAAGGTACAAACGACCAAGGACGAGGTGGCCAACGCCAGTGGTTGGGCAAAGGGGGATAGCATGATAGCTATATTTATGACACAGTTCTGTCACCAGTTATAAGTTATAACCCCATTTATAGAATGTAAAATCCCATTTATATCCAGTTAGAACAAATAGCCATGGCCACAACTGCAGCTCCAGTGCCAACGGTGGCCCCTCGGGTAGATGATGGTTGGTCTGGGTGGTAAGGGGAATCCTTCCCTTAGGCTCGCATCATGCTTGGGAATCCCTTTCTGAATTACTATCAATATCTATTGTTCAAAATGTATGGGTTTTGGGGTTTTTAATTTACATCCCCGCAGGGTTGGAAGCAGAGATGGAACCAGCGCCTAAATTGAAACGGTTTGATGCGGTAAAAGTTTGTGAGTTACGCAGAGGGCACCATAGAGTCTATAGAGGATAATGAGTATAGGTGCTTATGTGGTTGGTGGTTTGGAACATTTTGATTTTTCCAAAATATATGGGATACGTAATCCTTCCCATTGACTTTCATATTTATCAAGATGGTTAAAACCACCAACCAGTTATTACATCTGTGTTTTGCCAGCAAATTTCATGTTTACGAATTGTTATGCTCCTTACATGCCTGAAACAACGCCCGTTTTTTTCACCCCATGGGCTTCACCAGACCCGAACATACCCGAACCATCCACCCACCATTCACCATTCGCTCCACGTCGCGGAGACCAAAAAGACCGGCTGAAGAGATGGCTCGCTCTCAGAGAAAAAAGTCCCAAGTGCTGTGGGCGTTGAGCTGATGTCTTGCATGGCGGAAGCCATGTCGATATTTGTGAAACAAGGCCTTACCAGCAACCCCCATGGTCTCATATCTATCTATCTACCTATCTATCTATTTGTCTGTCTGTCTATCTATCTAATCTAATCTAATCTAACCTAATATCTAATATCTACTATCTAATATCTAATATCTAATATCTAATCTATTCTAACCTAATCTAATCTAACCTAATCTATCTATCGATCTATCGATCTATCGATCTATCTACCTATCTATCTATCTATCTATCTATCTAATCGTATTTTATCTTATCTTATCTTATCTTATTGTATTTATCTATCTGTGTATCTATTTTTCTATCTATCAACCTATCGATCTATCTATCTAATCTTGTCTAATCTTATCTTTATTATCTTATATTATCTTTTATTATCTTATAGTATCTCATCTTATCGTATCTAATTTCATCTATCTATCTGTTTTATCTATATATCTATCTACCTATTTATCCATCTACCTATCTATCTATCTATCTACCTATCTATCTACCTATCTATGTATCTACCTACCTATCTATCTACATATCTATCTACCTAATCTTTCTATCTACCTATCCTTTTATCTGCCTATCTATCTAACTATCTATCTATCTGTCTTTCTATCTGTCTACAGCACCCGACAGAATTATGGAAAAAAAAACGTTTCAATTTACAGGCGCCGCCTGTCTATGATAGAAAAGTTACGAACCTTTTTTTTTTCCATAATTATTGTTTCCATAATTATTTTTTTCCATAATTCTGTTGGTGACTGTATGTCCATCGATTCGCAATTTGAATGCATTTTAAGGGGAAATATTGAATTATAGAAAATATGTGTCTAAAGATCCGGTATATGCCCCTAAGTCTTCCATTGATATACATAATATCATGTGATGTTCGCAATTTGAATGCATTTTAAGGGGGAATATTGAATTATAGAAAATATGTGTCTAAAGATCTGGTATATGCCCCTAAAGCCTGCCATTGATATACATAATATCTGGATGTTTCCTTTTGCCAAGCCACCAATTGGGTTGATACTGCATACTTGCATTTGCATACATATTTCCATAACCCCCAAAAAAAAAACGGGTTTGAATTGTGAATCCATGACATGTCCAACAGGTGGAGCCCCAAACATTAATCATGGAAAAAATAATTATGGAAACAATAATTATGGAAAAATAATTATGGAAAAACCGGTCAATCTGCCCTAGCCCCCTGATTTCACAGGAAAAATCAATTATGGAAATAATGGCCACCTCCAAGAATTATGGAAAAAAAAAAGAGGTTCGGATCACTTCCGGGATATTTTGAAACCTTATGGGGAAAAATCCAATTATGGAAAAATCGGACGCAGGCGCCGCCTGTCTAAGTTGAACGTTGTTTTTTCCCATAATTCTGCCGGTTACCATATCTAATCTAATCTTATCTTATCTTATCTTATCTAATCTTATCTATCTATCTATCTATCCATCAATCTATACGTCTATCTTTTTACCTATCCATATATCTACCTATCTATTTGTGTACGTATCTATCTATCTATCTATCTATCTACCTATCTATCTATCTGTCTATCTACCATTATCTATCTATCTATCTATCTACCTATCTATCACCTATCTATCTATCTACCTATCTACCTATCGTCCTATCTACCTATCTACCTATCTACCTATCTATCTATCTAGCCATCTATCGACCTATATATATATATATTTGTATGTATCTCTTATATATCTTATCTATCTATCTAATCTATCTATCTAATCTATCTATTTTTTGTCCTATCCTATCCTATCCTAGCCTATCCTATCCTATCCATCTATCTATTTTTGTTTTGTCACGAAGCTGGCTATATTCTGTAAATCCCACCCCCTACACCAACAGCTCGTGGTTTTGACATGTCCTGGCAAGATCCTGGGCCATGAGTCATCAAGCTGCTGCTGCACGACTGGATTTTCAAATCCATATCCAAACATCTTACCTTTATTTATATATGTACATATATATATATATATGATGTGTATGTGCGTTTGTGTGTGCATGTATCATTGCAGCATATTTGACCTCAAAAAACATCCAAAAAGCGACATTTGCATGTAAAAGTGGTGGGCTGCCCCAGAAACTCCACGAGGCGCCTCCGAAGCCTCAAGGTGGACTGTGGCGGGAGTCCGCTGGCCCAGTTACCCTCTTTGGAAATCCCCAAGCCCTGGAGCTTTTGGAAAATCAGGGAGATTTCCCATGAAACCACCGTTTGACTACGAGAAATTTGGCATTTTTTGTTGCCACTGGGATGTTGCTTTTCTATCCTGTTGCGAGTTGATATATATATATATATGTATATAGATAGATAGATAGATATATATATATATATGATATATGACATCCTGGAGACACATGGTTTTGTTTCTTTGGGGGGCATTCCCGGGAAAAAAAACAACGCACACATTAGTAAAACTGACACATGTGAGAACGACTTAATCTCGCAAAAAAAAGGCATGACCAAAACAGAAGATTAGGAAGCGTTGATCAAAGAACGCGTCGTCCATTGAAACTGTTCAGATTTCAACCGTCAAAAACTTAGTTTATATTGCCGTACCATGGGATATATAACTGTTTCCGAACCAGTCACGCAGCTGCTCATCTTCATCGTTCCTTTCAGGCCTGGACTGGCGATGCCCAAATCCAAAGCCCCGCACGGAACCTGGATCGTTCAGAGCGTCACATGGGTCATAGGAGTAGAAACTGCCTAGAAATGTACCAGCCACAAACTGTCTTGGCCACACACAGTATGACATAGTTTCAATTTTCAACAAGTTCTACAGACACCCCAGTAGTTTGCAGGCAAACAAGTTCGACCTTTGCTAAGATCCAGAAGTAAGTGATGCAAGAACTGTTTTCGCTATGGGATCTTTGTTGAGTTGGTATTTCAGTTTTATCACCTTTTCTCATTAACATGCCTGCCCCACAGCCAAGGCCACCCATGCCCAAAGCCCCTGCAGCCCTGGAGCGGCTCCAAAAGCTCAAGGAAGACGCCGCAGCGAGTCTCCAAGAGACGCAAGGCCTTTCCAAATCCTTGGGCCCCAGAGCCAAAGTGCCAGGGCCACCAGCCCCAGGCTCCAGCCTCGGCCCTGCGGCGGCAGCTGCCGCCAAGGCGGCTGCCACCGCCAAGGCCGCGGCTGCGGCTGCGGCTGCGGCTGGGCCAGCGGCAGAAGCGACCACAGAGACCCCTGCTGCGGCAGAGCAGCCAGCTAGTGAGGCGGCCAAGGAAGCAATGGCGCCAACGTTGGGGGCTGAGCGTCGCAAGTTGCGCCTGCTGCGTGTTCAGATGCTGTGTTTCATCAGTGTTGCGCATGCATGTAGATTGGATTAGGTTGGTGTCTTTGGTGCCAAGTCTTGTTACATCGGGCCAGCTAAGGACCTATTGGACTGAAGTTCAAACTGAAGAAGGCCTGCCACCTGCAGGGGCATCAGGGGCCACATACGAGGCTGATGTTCCCAAAGCATGCTTGTGGTAGTGTTAGAGAACATGGTGGTCACCTGGCGGTTTGTTGGGTGAAAGTGCCTTTCGAGCACGGAAGCATCTGAGTTTCCCAAAACGCAAAGTTTTGCCCCATTTTGCCCCCGGGGCTCATTTTTTTCAGTGCCAGGCAGTCATCCCAATCCCAGTTTGGTGAACACCCCAGGTTTCCCCTAGCGAGGTGACACCTACTACCACAACGAAGCCACGGATGAAACCGCCTGGGAACTGCCACCTGGTGGTGTCGTACCAGGCTCAGGAGAGTGGCGCACAACTTGTCACTGAAAACGTCATTTTAGAAGGGCCCCCCAAGTTGTTCATATATATATATATATATATGTATATATATAATTATATATATAATATGTATATATATATGTATATTATATATATATCAATTATATGCGTATGATGCACATTACAATATGTATATATATATATATATATGTGTGTGTGTGTAGACATTAATGTGTGTTCAGTTGTGTCCGGTTTTTTGTTGATGCAATCCGCACAAATCCACCATGACTGACTGGGCCCGATTTGGATGTTTCCTGCTTAAACCAAGCATCCATGTATCGTAAATGTCAGCCAGGTTACAAACATCACCTGAATGGAATAGCACATTAACCTGCACTGAGATCAAGAAACCTGACGACAACCCTGCAGCTACAGATGCTGAGCAGCCAGCTGAGCCATTGGTCTTTATTGGTGCGTGGCAGGCTGGTGATTTCAGATACCCTCTGGTAAGCATACAAAAAGCTATTGAATGCTATTGAAAATGACCATTTATAGTGGATTTGATTTTCCCATTCAAAATTGTGATTTTCCATAGTTATGTTAACGTTTACCAGAGGGTATGTGGCTAAATACCAGTTTCAGACATTCATTACAACTCATGTCGATTAGGAATTTGGATGTACATGGCCATACATGGAGACACATGTGTGGTTTCCCAAGGGTTGCTGATGTGATTTTTCTCCGGAGATTGCCCACTGGATGCATAACTGCAATAACGTTAACCCTGGATTAACGCTGGTTGACTGAGAATCGATGGCCACCCAAAAAAGGTGATATATATATATATACATTTGTGTTAGAATTGGTACCACCCCCATCCGAAACCGGCCACAGAAATGGAGACGTTCAGAGGGAAAAGGCTGATCAACCAGATCAACCAATGGATTTAGGGGTACCGTATTTTCAGACAGACCCACTTTGGGGATCGTTGGGGATATATTAGACTGATAGCACACTGGTTTATAAAACAAATCAACTTAGAGGGAAAAAACATGAAAAAACATACACACCACCGCCGCCACTGCCACCGCCACTAGCAACAACAACAACAACAACAACAACAGGGTATCACAGAACATGGTAGACCATGTTTCCACTGCACGCACAGCTGGATGGTATGCCAAAAGTATTCCACTGTCCTTGCGCCCATCGGCAATCCGATAAAATAAAGCAACATCGTATGGTAATTTTGGTGGGACCCGCCTTCGTTTTCTTTGGATGGTTTGCAGTGACACATGATGTCAATGATGTTCCACATCGTCAAGCGCATTTTTTTGGAGCCCACTGCCACCTATACATCCTCAAAACCTACAATCTGTCACCACAACCCCTGCCTGACATTTTGTGGTTGCTGAGGTATGATACTCCTGCTCCAGTTCCGGACCGTCGCGGATAAGAGCTGCCACTCATGTGGTCAATGACAATGTATCCTGTTCCGAACTGGGATAGAATTATTCATGTCTATATAATTCTATATATATATATACTTAGAGTGGTTCAATGGATTTTTGTCCCAGAATTGGGTTATGTTTTTAAATTGGAACAAACATGGAAAGAAACAGTATTTGAAGGAGGAGAGCCTGTTGTTGAACTCTCCTGTTTATCTTAAAATTATTATATTATATAATATATATATATATATATATTATAACTGCTAGCTCAGTCCATTGATTTTAAGTAGCACCTGAAAAGCATGTTGCCATGCTACTCATTGCTGGGGGTAAAAGCTGGCCATTTCAGAGTTTGAAGCACGGACATGTTCCCCAGGGAAATTCGCGGAAATGTGGATGCTACTCCGTAGCTAAGTTTGACTCTCCAATGAGGCCGACTCCTGTTTATTTCCTGAAAGTTGTTTTACGAATGTCACAAGTGTCAGAAGGGTCTTGGGAGATATATTACATCACATTACATCACATCACATTTCGTACCTCACATCTCATATCCCATATCCCGCGATATATTCCCATATATCATGATGTATCATATCCTGTTCCCAGTCCTAGTGTTCTATTTTTTCTTGCCAGAAATCACACCAGGAATCCGTCCTTTCTGGATCCCCCGGCGTAGGAAGCTTTGAAGTGCCCACTCTGTGAAGATTACCTGGACGAGGCTGGCTCGAGTTCGCAAAGTTTCGGGAAGGTCCCCATTGACTGAAGAACCAGCAATTTTATGGTGGTCGAAATAGGATCTTAGCAAAATCACACAGAAATATAGGGAGTAAGTAATCAAACATAGCAAGTTGATTCCTCTACAAATGGAGGTTTGTAGCTGGGAAAAACCTTCGTATAAATGGGAGATTTTCCAGCAAGCCGAGGGTAAGTAGGACCTAAGCGCACCAAAAAAGAAGGGAATGAGAGGGAATGATGGGAATCTAAGCATATGAACTGGCTAGTGGTTTTAGATTACACCGACATCACTGTGATGTCACTCGAATTCTGGCCAGTGAGGGAAACTCTCCAAAAATGTTTTTATTTCATGTTTGTGAGTTCATTATTGACCACTATTAACCATTAATTAACAATTAACCATTATTGTAACCATTATTAACCATGAATCCTCTCTCCCTATTACTAAAAAGACACGGTGATCTATTTTTTTAAATTAGGGTGTATTTTGTGTTTTGTATTAGGGCGCCCCTAATATTCCAATGAAAACCCTGATAATAGAAATAACAAACTCGATTTGAAAATTTGATTAAATCCCTTATTATTCTTTTAAATAAGGTACTGCCAAAAACTTGATTTCGACGCTTTCTCCATAATATTCCAATGGAAACCTTAATAATACTGTAATAGTTAAAAAAACATCGATGTCAAATTTGATTAAATCCCTTATTTAAATCTATGTAAAATATTGCCAAAAACTGGATCTGGACGCTTTCCCCTAATATTCCAATGAAAACCTTAATAAAAATGAAACTTGTGAGATGGGACCCTAATAAAAACATCCAGGTGGCAATCTATTTTTATTACTAGGGGGTTGAGGGTTGAACTTGAACCCATTGTTTCACCATCCTGTTTTCCTATTGAATGTCAATTACCACAGTTAAGAATCCAATTGTACCCAACCAAAAAAGATACAGATAACCACTATTTTCTTATTGTGAAGCATATTTTTCGTGGATCTCTTCATGTCAGTTCCTGAGGCGGTTCTGGCCGTGTGCTGCGGAAGCAACTTCTGCTGGGGCACCTGGGGCACCTGGATATACAGACTTCTCATCTTTAAGAGAAATCAATGGTGTATCCAGGGGTACCCTCTGGTAAACTAACATAACTATGGAAAATCATCATTTTTAATGGGAAAATCCACTATAAATGGCCATTTTCAATAGCTATGTTAGTTTACCAGAGGGTATCCAATTTAAAGAAACGTTATCATATTAAACCAAAGGTTATATCCCAATGAAAAAACTGATTGGTGGTTTGGAACCATGGAATTTTATGATTTTCCATTCAGTTGGGAATGTCATAATCCCAACTGACGAACTCCATCATTTTTCAGAGGGCAAGGTATACCACCATATACACTAACAGTAATCCTACTGGATCATTCTTATCTCAGTAGTTCAAGTCTTAGACGTCTTTTGGTATCAATGGGGTTATCAATGGGATTATCTATCTACGTTCACCAGCTCAGAATTTATTTTTTGCAGGGTATCTGGCAGATTGGAATCACCATTTATGGGATTTGCTTATGGGATGTCAACCATCCCCAGTCATGGTAGCTTCAAATTTGGGTTGCCCATAAATGATCCGATTCGCTGTGGGGAACCAAATTTTCCCTACAGAAATTTGGGAGCAAAGGAGCTACAATCAGAATGTCCTAGCCACATTGCAGTAATGTCCGTTTCCTTTCGGTCAGTCATGGTCAGTCAATTAGGACCTGGTTGTACTGAGTCGGTGATGTTTCATTTCTTCATTTTTCGGCAAATCTATAGGGAATATATGTTAGATGTTTGGTTGGCCCTCTGGATTTGTTTCACTATGTGGCATTTGTTTCCCCTGTGGTACTATATGGCAAGATATGGCAAGTTTAAAATAAGGTGGCAATGAAGAACTGTGTTTTCCAAGTTTTTCATGGTAAAAAATATGGTAAAATATCATCAGAGTGGCGGCATGTAGTTCATCACAGGACGATGGTGGATCAGCACCCGGCCGGGATCAGTAATCCTTGGCCATAGGTGGAACAAAAACAGAATCCGAAGCTAAATTCGCGATGTTAAATCATGTTCTTTCTTTTTGGAGCGATATAAATATACTGTATATAAGCTCATGACTGTATTGTGTCCCATATTTTGTTTAGCAAGCCCATTTTAGTTGTTGAACAACAACCGGTTTTTTTTCGTAAACCATCCCAGTCACCCATCCCGTTAACACGTGTTAACACTATCACTACTGTCCTCTATTAAATATGTTTATAACTGGTTGGTGCCTTGGAACATGGCTTTTATTTTCCATTTCATATATGGGATGTCATCCTTCCCATTGACGAACTCATATTTTTCAGAGGGGTAGGTATACCACCAACCAGAATATGTTTATAATCATTGGATACTCTCCATTTTTTGTTATCATCCCACTATTGTCATTATTATCCCACTATATGACTATATATATATAAACCATGATATGTTAATCACATGATATATAACCATTACCATGATGTACATATTAGCATGATACCCACATTATTATCATATAAACCCATATGTCACTAGTGGTTTTACCGCAGGATGCCCTGATGCCATGGGTTTCCGTAGGTCATCGCTGTGTCACAGCGGCCATGGCAGAAGCACCCCGGCCCAATACCTGTCCCAAGTGCCAGACGGAGGTCGTTGGGGGCTGGGATTTTGCTGGGATTTTTTGCATGTTTTTTTTTGTGGTGTTCTTACTTACCCTCCAGTAATCAAACATGGTTTGCTGGAAAACCCACCATTTATTCATGATTTTTTCCAGGTGGACCTAGCTTCTAGCCCTATGTGGTGAAAACAGAAATGGACACCCCCAATTTTTGGAGTTGGAAGGTTAAAATCAGGGGTGGGTTATTGTTGGGTCGACCCTGCCGTTGGAAAATGCATAGGTTTCCTGCGACAAGATTATATTGATTTTATTGGCAAGCAAAACATGAAGGGGAATGAGTTGAATTTCTGGAATAACATGCCGCATCAGTATCACTATTGGGGCTTGACTTGGGTGTTTCGATTGTGGCATTGCCTCTTTGGTGGGCATATTTTGGCTGACGATGCGCACATTGTTCTGCATTTTCTTGCTATGAGCAATTTCTGCAGCAGGTGTTCATCCCGTTGATTACACGTGCTTGCTTATAGGTGATGCGATATATTGCATATGTTCTTCCATTTTGTTGGTTGTCAGTCTTGATAACCAGAGAACAAACCAACTATCAACATGGAAATTACTCTACCTTAGCACTCCAAGTAATTGTTTTTAGTTTCAATATGTTTCATTGATTTAAATGATATTCTTTGTGTTTTACGCTTTTACGGTGAACATGTTCCTCCGCCGAGTTTCTCCTGGTTCACGGGCGCGAGCCTCGCGCGGCGTTCCGACCGGCGATCCACCGCCCCGTGCGTGGCGATGGCGGGAAGGATACAGCTCGACGAAGAAGGCCTTTTACTGTAGATCATTGGGATGCAGTGTGTGTGTGTGTGGATTCCTGGATAGAAATATTTTGAAATATCTGGTCATATATTTCAAATGTATTCAAACATAGATAGATAGATAGATAGATAGATATAGACTGGATATAGATATAGATATAGATATTCAAACTAATTATTGATGTGTGTGTTAGGCATGTCTCTGCAAATCTTCAAATAGCTTATCAACAAAGAGAGAAGCTGCAAAGGTCACAGCGACACACGAGGGGTTCTTCTTTCCAATCCAAGATAAGGCCATTAGTCGGAATGGATTTCGGGAAATAAACTCCTTTATATCTTGATATCAAATAGGAAGATACAGTATGGGATAAGATTTGGGCCCAGGTCACCAAATTGTGAGTTGTTTTCAGGTGAGGTCGATCGTTTGAGCGATGGGCTACAGAAGTTGCGGAACTTCATTGAGGCGGAAGAACAGTGATGGAACGTCGGGGTGATGGTGCCACTGGTGAAAGTGTGAATAGCCTTGTTATCCAGAACATACCCCGTATACATCCCCATCCGACATCAACACCAGCCTAGATCCCTATGAGTCTTTTCGTCTTTTCCTGGTTGTAACAAGCACCCAGCTGGACTTCGTCGCACAACTCAACGAACTGGAGGGGTTATCATCCCCAATCCCAAGTGGACAACAACCATCCATTGCCGTCGGGAACGGAGGCCGAGTTTGTGAAGCAATCCCTTCATTTTGATGAGATTGTCGAAGGTTTGAAGCCTCAGGCCCAGGCACGATGCTGGGCACAGCACGGGGCACAGCACGGCACGGCCTTTTGTTTTGTCAAAGATGTTGGGTTAGTGCCGATAATTGTGAGTTTTTTTTTGTGGCAAAGACATGTACTATAGATCATGAAAGCAAGCAACAAAAACTGAGAACAAAGGATTGTTTTTAATATTTTTTTGGATTTATGACAGGATTGTGCTGTAATAGTTCGAGCCGAAGATTGATGGGGGTGCACATTCCGGGGGGGATATCATGGCCAGTCATGGCGGGGTTTCGGCCCAACAGATTCCTGGATGAGGTTACTTCATTGCTTCGCAAAATGGTTCATGACTTTTCTTGGACTCAAACATGTTCAACTAAAACAAATTATTGGATGTTACCATCCACTTTTGCGACTCATGATTATATATATATATATACACGTTTCATGATTATTCAAGAGTTGAATTTTTGATTGATATCTCATTTAAAAAAACACGTTTTCCCCATGAATTTGTTGCACCAATCAGATCGATTTCCCAGATGTTTTTCTCGCCAGGCGAAGTCGCTGAAGGGCCAAGGATTGCTCACGACCCTTGGGCCATCCACCAGCTACGTGTGGGTGTAAAACCCCTTGGGTCCTTGGGTAATAAACATACAAAAAGCTATGGAAAAAATATGGAAAACAATTAATGTATCTATATAAATGTTTCTTGATGTACATCATGGAGTTTTATGAATGGACCATTTTTTTCATAGCTAATATAGCTATGTTAGTTTATGTTAGTTTACCGGAGGGCCTTGCGGCGCATGGGAACGACTCGATGGTGATGGAGATTAGTGAAATATCAGGCACTTTGTGGCATGGATGAGTCCAAGGCAACAGCTCGCATCGAGCCTCCAGTGAACTAGCAGCTATAGTAATGTGTTGGCCCATTTATACGTAGTGGAGTTACCTACTAAAGAGCTGATTTTCCATAGTGAACTGCTAGTCTACTGGAGGGTATTTATATACATATGACCCAGGACTCCCAAGCTCCCCCCCCCCCCCCCCCCCCATGTTCCCCCCCCCCTGTGGCCTGTGGTGGTGGTATGTTGGTATGTTGGTATGTTGGTATGTATGTATGTATGTATGTCTGTATGTATGTATGTAGGTAGGTAGGTAGGTAGGTAGGCATGTATGTATGTATGTGCGTGTGTATGTAGGTACGTAGGATTATGTAGGTACGTAGGTACGTAGGTATGTAGGTATGTAGGTATGTAGGTAGGTAGGTAGATAGGTTTGTATGTCTGTCTGTGTGTGTGTTTGTATGTATGGATGGATGGATGGATGGATGCATGGATGCATGGATGCATGCATGCATGCATGCATGCATGTATGTATGTATGGTCCCGTGTCCTGTGTTCCCGAGAGCGTGAGCTTGGGGGACCATACCATTGGGGGGGGGGCCAGGGATCCGGAGTCCGGACTCATATATATATATATATAATAAATCTATTCTTCAATTTTGGTAATTATTGTCTTTTGTTGCAGGTAATTGACTGTTAACTGCTTGATACTAGTTGGTGGTTTCAGCGATGTTTTATGTGAAAACCCTAGGATGATGATCCCAATTGACAATTTTGGTATTTTTTCAAATGGATTTCAGCCATCAAGAAATCGGAAGTTATCAGATTGAGTGGCCCTTCGGAAGCACCTTCAAGGCTGGATACTAGAAGTGAAACCGCGTGTTGGATGTGTTGCTGCTAGTTTCAATCAGTTAGCAAATGGAGGACATGGTGACATCAAATAATGCTGGCATTTGTAGAACTGTGTTGTGAAAAGGGAAACTGTTAAACCAATCTATTAAAGGGAATCTGTAGATTTTGTAGGTAACACGGCCACTTCCAGCACTAGTGCATCCTGTTCCCCCTGCGGTAACGGTTGTCCTTTGCTATCCACGTATGGGATCTATACCTATGCGCTCAACATTTCAATCCGCCCTGAACCCTTTGTATGATTTGTCCATAAGATGAGGATCACCCGCCTTGAGGAAGACCTACTCCAGCGTGACCCTGGAGAGTCGCGAGTTCTGCTTCGAAGAGCACAAAGCGCCACCACCTCTGGTGCCGCCACCGCGGCAGGAAGAGGTGAAGGAAGAACGCTTCGACGTGCCTCGGAGCCGGGCCCCGGGCCCTGGGGGGACAACGGGGGACAGTGGCTGCATGGCACCCCTGCTTGGTTCATGATTCTGAGGTTACAGCAATACACTCTTTACATCTCTTTATATAGGTCTTGGGGATTATCAGAATCCGCTCGATGAATCCTTATAAGCAAGCCGTGTACTGGAGTAACAGAGGCTATTTATGGCTATTTCACGCTGCGAGATGTGCAGAGAATCATGCCTCGTCATAATAGAATGATAAATTCACATTAATTAATCAATATTTAAAAAAACATATTACCTCCATGAATGTATTTTTTTTGGGTGGGGTAAATGTATGCATGCAAAGCACCATGATGATTTGGCGGATTTGCCCCCGCCTTCCGGAAAACAAGTGTGGTAGGAACCCAGCAACCCATCAAGAGCCACGGAAATACAATTTCACTATTTCGTATGTTGCGCAGATCCTTAAACCATCGGAAGTTCCGTACTAGTCTCATCAGTGATGAAGTGGGTGTTTGATCATTCTCTCACTATGTCTTGGTTTTTTGTCCCCATGTCAAATAGCCGGTCTGTATTGTGGTTGATTGATTCTTATATATTCTTATTTGACCAAACCAGTAACCAGGTTTGCAAATGCAAGCAACTTAGTTTACCAACTGATCTCCCAGGATCATGGGCACAACAAAAATAGCTAGACCGGTGGAATCAGTTGGACGAGATAAACCTGCCAAGTTTTGGGACGAACATGGGAACTTGCGGAAAAGAAGCACATGAGTAAACCTACTCAACAGAGACATTGAAGGGACAAGAATTCGGCCCCCCTTTAGAGTCTTTAGAGGCTCATAGGATATATGGTTGATGATGGTTGTATGTGGGGGTTTGTATGAGTTTGGAGTGTTGGCACAATTTGCAGCTTTTTCCCTGGGTGCTGAGGAAACACCAGCCAGAACACCCAGGGGCCAGGAGAGGGTTTTAGGGCGGGCAAAAAGGGGGGAAAGGTGCTTCGAAGGGTCCACTTGAACATTTGGCTATACCACAACTGCCCCGAGTTTGTTGGTTTAGAAACATTTACAAACCGCACTAGAGATATGGTTTTGCCATAAACCCTGGTGAATGAAAGAAATCAAATTACTTTGCCAGCTGTGGTTCTGTTTGGGTCATTCCTAGTAACTGGTTCGGAACCATCGTTTAAAAACTCATCAATGATTATTTCGCACCAACATTCTAGTAGTTATGGGAACCGTTTTTCACTTGGATCGCTAAACCCCATGAACTCCCATTACTATAAATATCATTATGTAAATCACGGTTCAACCCCATGAATAGCTATTTTTCATGTCACCAACCATGGAAATCCCATAAGGATTCAGCTAATACCCCATAGGATCATATAGGATCCATGTATGCTATATATTATATATATATGGTAACATTTACCATCAATATACCCCATTTATGTTAGCATATATACCAGCACCATGGATCCTTTGGGTACCAGGAAATCTCAAAAAATCCCCACAATCTCAGTCTAAACTTCCCATCCCAGGAGGCTTCCCATCAGACCCGCTTATCGGGCCACTCGGATCGTCTCGGAAAAAAGTCACCATTGGGATCGGTGGGCCAAAGATGTAGCAACCCAAAAAAAATCGATCTTCTCATCAGTTTGCTCCAATCCTAAGCAATCCATAGCAAGGGGGTTCCCATTCAATCATTGATCAGGACATGAAAAGTTATGAAGAGGCCATATATGTGGCCAATTGAGCTTAGACTATTCAACTCCCACGACGTGAAATATGGGGATGCCTCAAGTTACGCATGAAATTCCCATATGACTAGGGGAACAAACATCCAGCAATACCAGCTATGACTTAGGGTACCATCCGGGAACCAGGGTTTTGACCCATAACCATATATATATATAAATATAAATATATATTTATATAAATATAAATATATATTTGTATATAAATATTTTGAAATATTTCAATATATACATATTTCCAAAAAAAAAGCGGTTTTTAGTTTTGCCTTGTCTTGGAGCCCCCCGGAGAATCCCTGCATAAGAGGTGGCAGTGTGGGATCGGGTGTTGGTTTCACCAACCCGTGACCTCTCGGGAAGACCCAGGCAAGCGCATGCGAACGTCGCAAACTAGCGGGCAAACCAGCTCACATGCGCCTTGTCATATAGGAGATGTGGGAAGCTTAACCTGGTACTTGCGAGACCATGCACTGACTTAGATCTTGCAACATTTGTTTCTATGGAACTTGGGTTCCATATGGCTTCCAATACCATAGAAGGTACTGTGACCAGTGCCCTTCCTAGCACAATAAATCCCAGTGCAATCCCCGCAGCGAGACGATTCCCCGCAGTTCCATGGCCCGATTGATTATGGAAGGCAACAATCACCAACTGGCTGGTGGTTTCAAACATTTTTTTATTTTCCATTTCATATATGGGATGTCATCTTTCCCATTGACGAACTCATATTTTTCAGAACGGTTGAAACCACCAACCAGCCAACAATCCGTAACAATGCTGTCATTTGAGGATGGGTCGGCCCCAGAAAGTCTTTGGACCAGGGGAATGGTATCCACAAAAAAGCGGCTCCATCCAATTGACCAGCATGATATGTATATATATATATTATAATATGATATTGATATAGATAAATTTAAACAAAAACGATTATATATATATATATATATATCAAGGCAGGCAGGACGGTAACCGCCTCGTGTGTGCACGGGATGCACTTTCATTCATCCTCATCATCATCATCATCATCACCATCATCATCATCGTCATCATTATCATCATGTTCATCAACACCTTCATGGTCGACATGGTCATCAACATCATCATAATCATCATCATCACCAGCAGCATCAGCATCATCATGATCATCATCATCATCATCATCATCATCATCATCATCATCATCATCATCATCATGATCATCAAAAAAAAAATCATCAACACCGTCATGGTCGACATTTTCATCAACATCATCATCATAATCATCATCATCATCATTATCATCATCATCATCAGCAGCAGCATCAGCATCATCATTATCATCATCATTATCATCATCATCATCACCATCATCATCATCATGATCATCAACACCGTCATGGTCGACATGGTCATAAACATCATCATCGCCATCATCATCATCATCAACAGCAGCATCAGCATCATCATCATCATCATCATCATCATCATCATCATGATCATCAACACCGTCATGGTCGACATGGTCATCATTGAAAGTGGCAATCCACAATCTTCCATTTTTTCGAGCTAGCTCAAAACATGTAGCTGCCTCAATTTTATCAGGGGTATGTCTTTGACAGTCACCTTGGGCTTTTTCAGAGGTACCATATCTAGTACTAAACTATTCAGTGGGGACAGAACCTGGCAATTTAAAGGATTGAAGTTTCTGCGAGCTCGCTCAACTGCAACGAGCTGGCTCAGCGACATCGCTCTAGCTCAAACACATCGCTCTAGCTCAGAGACATCGAGCTAGCTCAATGGCATCGAGCTGGCTCAATTTTTTCAACGAAAAAAAAAACTCGAAAACATTGAGCCAGCTACGTCACGTTGAGCTGGCGAACGAATGTGAGAGCATCAAAACGAATACTTACTATGTATTGGCCGGGTTGATGACGGGACATCGAGCTGGCTCAAGGGCATGTAGCTGGCTCAATTTTTTCAATGTGTTTTTTTTTCGCTTTTTTTTTTGGTCGAAAAAATTGAGCCAGCTACGAGGCGCTGAGGCAGCTACGAGGCGCTGAGCCGGCTACGAGGCGCTGAGCCAGCAACGAAGCATTGAGCCAGCTACGTGTCACTGAGCCAGCAAGGTACCTTTGAGCTAGCAAGGAGGCAGTGAGCCAGCAAGGTAGCTTTGAGCTTCATCATATATATATATATACCTATGCAATCCCAACCATATAATATACTAAACCTAGGGCAAAACATTTTTTTTGAGGGAGACACGTACCTTTGAGCTGGAGCGGGAATGTGAAAAGTAACATTCGACATCAACATCATCATAATCACCATCATCATCATCATCATCATCATGATCATCATCATCATCATAATCATCATCATCAGCATCATCATCATCACCATCATCATCATCATCATCATCATCATGTTCATGATCATGATCATCATGATCATCATCGTCACCATTATGACCATCTACACCGTCATGGTTGACATGGTCATCAGCATCATCATAATCATCATCAACATCATCATGGTCATGATCATGATCATCACCATCATCAACAACATCATCATCATCATGATCATCATCATCATCACCATCATCAATATCACCATCATGACCATCATGATCACCAACACCGTCATGATGGACATGGTCATCAACATCATGGTCACCATTGACATTATCAGCATTATTAGCAGCATTGTCATCATCAAAACCATGAACACCACCAGATTCATCATCATTATCATCATCGACATCATCATGAGAATAACGAGCAGCATGAACTTAACCAGCATCATGATCACCGCGTTCATCGACATCAATGTGGTCACCGACATCAAGATGATGATCAATATATTGCTAATCCTTACCAGAGTAGAAAAGGGAGAACAAAAAGGAAATACTGCTATTTTAATCGTGCGCAATTTCCGGAGTGCTTCATTTACAGTGATGTCCTTGGATTTCAGCTGTGCTGTGTTTTCATGTCGGTCGTTTTGCACGTTTGATACATATATATATATATTATATATATATTATATATATATTATATATATTATATATATATATATTTGTAGCGAATTGTAGCGACGGTTGATATATTGGTTTTAGATACCGTGGCGATAGCCTCACGTTAGGTTATACATAGAACGGCGCGACCGCGACTAGATTTGTAGATGTTGAGCGAGCGTAGTGATCCGTGTGTTTCCATGGGAGGGTTTAGGGTGGGAACTTTACTTACATAGCTAGCACGCATTCGCGACCCGTTGCGACTGTGTGTTTGTAAGTAAAAGCGTCTGTGTGTAAAAGTTTCTGTGTGTAAAAGCTTCTGTGTGTAAAAGCTTCTGTGTGTAAAAGCTTCTGTGTGTAACAGCTTCTGTGTGTAACAGTTTCTGTGTGTAAAAGCTTCTGTGTGCAACAGCTTCTGGGTGTAAAAGTGTCTGTGTGTAAAAGCTTCTGTGTGTAAAAGCTTGCTGTGTGTTAAAGCTTCTGTGTGTAAAAGCGTTTGTGTGTAAAAGCTTCTTTGTGTAAAAGCTTCTGTGTGTAAAAGCTTCTGTGTGTGTGTAACATCTTCTGTGTGTAACAGTTTCTGTGTGTAAAAGCTTCTGCGTGTAACAGCATCTGGGTGTAGAAGCATCTGTGTGTAAAAGCGTCTGTGTGTAACAGCTTTTTTGTGTAACGGCTTCTGTGTGTAATGTTTGTAAAAGCTTGCTGTGTGTAACAGCTTCTGTGTGTAAAAGCGTCTATGTAAAGGCTTGCTAAGTGTAACAGCTTCTGTGCCTAACAGCTTCTGTGACATCTGTGTGTAAAAGCTTCTGTGTGTAAAGGCTTCTGTGTGTAACAGATACTTTTCTTGTTCCCCTGTTCCCTGCCTGTTCCCTCCCTGTTCCCCTGTTCTCCTGTTCCCCCCTGTTCCCGTAATTTATAAACCTAAAGGGTTGTTTCTCTTCTATGGCCTTCCCCTTGCTCCCCCCTGTTCCCCTGTTCCCCTGTTCCCCCCCTGCTCCCCTAATTTATAAACCTAAAGGGTTGTTTCTCTTCTATTGCTTTCCCCTTGCTCCCCCCTATTCCCCTGTTCCCCCCCTGCTCCCCTAATTTATAAACCTAAAGGGTTGTTTCTCTTCTATGGCCTTCCCCTTGCTCCCCCCTGTTCCCCTGTTCTCCCCCGTTCCACCCCTGTTCCCCTAATTTATAAACCTAAAGGTCCGAGTCTCATATATGGTCTCCTGTGCGCAGGTGGGTCTGTATCCTGGGCATTTGAGTCTCGTTTCCTGTGCGCAGGTGAGTCTGGGATCCAGTGCGCAGGTGAGTCACTTTCATGTGCACCGGTGAGTCCTCTACCCTATGGGGGGTATGGGTGGTCGCACACAATCGCACACACGATGCAAGTTGGCACACGTTCGAGAAAACTGGATGGTGTGAACTGTCAGACTTGCAAAACCACGCTGCATTTCAGCCATTCACACCAGCTGGTATCCTTATGGGCATCCCAGAAATGAATAGGATTCTATCCTTCAAGATAGTTCTTTTCTGTAGCATCTCTGCAGACGGAGAGGTGAAATCCTTCAAACATAATTGTACATGACCTACAATGGCTGCTATAAACGATAGGGACACCTACAGGCCCACAGGGTCTTGAAAGAGTGGCCAAAAACGTGGCTGTCCTTGTTCCATTTTGGATTGTTCTCTACATATCTCTGATATAACATATATAACCTGACTTATCATCATCAATTCTCAGAATTCCAAGAAAACATATCCAGATCACATCCATCATATCCAGAGGTTGCTGAATCTCTTCAGTTTCCCACCTCGGCGCCACGGACACGGCACAGACTGAGGATGTTGAAATCAATCCGACTTATCCAGATTCCAAGAGGCACTGGTGGTGGGACCTTTCGTGGAGGTGTATAGCTGCATCAGGTTCAACTGTTGGCATAGCATCCGTTATTTGTTTTTTAGTTGGCTATAGATGGCCCACTCAGTTCGACGATTTACATCGATTTACCCATTCAATAATGGTGATTCTCCATACTTATGTGAAATTACCAGGTGCAACCTGCCCTAACGACCAGTTAGATTTTTGGGTAGCATAGTTTGGAACTTACAATGACTGACTTACCCATAATACGTTAGAATTCGAGACCTTGGTGTCCATTTGATGATGTCAGCTTCAGGCGGAGGCCACGGTCTCTGGGTGAAATCAACGATGGCCTTAAAAACGGTGTATTGGTTGTTCGAATGCATCATTTATACGGATTTTTTGCCCAGATAGCGGCTTATTCCCCACCTGCCAGGTAGGGTCTTTAGATTTTATCAGAGTTACTTCCTCCTTCACCTCCGTTTCCTCCTCCTCCTCGCCCTCCTCCTCGTCCTGCGAGCTCCAGATCGCACCCTGCCGGACCTCAACCGCGAGCTCCAGATGTCAGCGGGCACTGCCCACTGAGATCTGGCGCTCGCGGTTGAGGTCCGGCAGTGCCCATGTCAGGGAGAATGCCAGATAGAATGCCGGAATAGAATGTCAGATAGAATGCCAGACAGAATGCCAGAATGAATTACTTGCCAGATAGAATGCCGGAATAGAATGTCAGATAGAGACAGAATGCCAGAATAGATGCCAGAAAGAATGCCAGAATGAAAGCCAGATAGAATGGCAGAATAGAAAGTCGGAATAGATGGCAAATAGAATCCCACAATAGAATGTCAGAATAGATGCCAAATAGAATGCCAGAAAAGAAAGACAAAACAGAATGTCAGATAGACTGCCAGAATAGAATGTCAGAAAATATATGCCATATATATTTCCAGATGAGATGTAAGAATCTATGAGAAAAATGTCACAGTGGGGATCGCTCGAAGTAAAGTAATTTGCTTTTTTCCTTTATAACTTATCACTATAACGCTAAATCGTTCTCACATCCATGGCTTCCTCACCAGAGGTCGTCCATCGAGACGGAGGATACCTTCGTCCGGAGCACCTTGAAGAAATCCATTAATCGCGCGGAGGCTGCGCAGGTGCCCGTGGGGTTTCCGAAATGGGGCACTTGTACCCCTAAATCATCCAAGTCATTAGGCCACTTTAGGATTAAAAGCCATGGCTTTGGGAGTTCCTCATTTTTTGAAACTTCCATACATATACACATACATACACATACATACACATACATACACACACATACACATACACATACATACATATACATACATACATGCATACATGCAAACATACATACATACAGACACACATACATACATACATACATACATACATACATACATACAGATACATACAGATACATACAGATACATACAGATACATACACATACATGCATATACATACATATACATACATATACATACATATACCTACATATACATACATATGCATACATATGCATACATATGCATACATGTACATACACATACATACACATACATACACATACATACATATACATACATACATATACATACATACATACATATACATACATACATATACATACACATACACATACACACATACACACATACACACATACACACATACACACATACATACATCCATCCATACATACATACATACATGCATGCATACATACATACATACACACATACATACATCCATCCATACATACATACATACATGCATGCATACATACATACACACATACATACATACATACATACATACATACATACATACACACACATACATACATACATACATACATACATATGCATACTACTACTGTATGCATGCGCAGGTGTGCATACATAATATATATGTATATACCTAGATAGGTGTTGCGTACCAAAAAAAAGTGCCGGATTCCCAAATGGTGTTTTTTTGACGTAACCCGGAAATTTTGAAGCAGGACATCCAAAAATGACGTTGCCAAAGGTCAATGGTTGTGAGGGCTGTGGAACTATGGCTCACCATGCATACGCTTGACTGACCCAGAGGTGGTCCCAATACCCTGAACAGTACAAAACTATACAAAACTCCTCTTCTCCATGGACTGTCCATGAACAGCAAAAATGTGGGAAATGAATTCTGTCATGGTTCCGGGAAATTACGCCGTAATGTTGGGAAATTACGCCGCAATGTGGGGAAACTACGCCGTAATGCTTGGGAACTACGACGGCAACTTTTGCTGATGTTTATTAAACAAAAAACGAGCCCAGGTTCCAAGACATCGCACCAATTTAAGTGCGCATCTTTGCCTTTGAGCCCCAACGTGGTCCACACGTACCAATGAAAATAACGTAGCCCAAAAAATGATTACGATGTCGCTCGTGGAATTGCGCCGTAGCGTGGAAAAAATTGCCTTTTGGCATAAAAGTGCCGCAATCGAATTTCTAGGTGTATGTATATATATGTATATATATTCAACTGCGAATGGTCCCTCAGAAACAGTAGCAGGTGAAGCTCAAAGGTTCTCGGGGATATGGCTAGCAGCTATCCAAACAGATACGGCCCAGCAGTATCTAGCTCAGCTCTACAGCCCATTTTCCTTGGACAAGAACGACTACGATGGAAGCAGGTTCTGCCTTCATGAGTACAAGTGGTTTCACTTGCATCCCCTGGTCCCCCTCGTGATTTCTATTTCACAAAAAGAAAAACAAACAACAAAACCAACACACACCAACCGCTCATTCCACTGAATTGTTTTTGGTTTCTTTGCTTGTGTGCTGCGGCTGCTGCTCAAGTGCTTCAAACCCTGGCTGCTTTCTCTTCCGGGAAGATCTCATACATTCATATATTTAAATACATATATAATAGTTGTATAATAATGTATAATATATTTGTTTGTGTGCGTATGTGCTGATAAGATAGTGATTCCAGTGGTGGCTCCTTTTGGGGGAGATACACCCAATATAGGGAAGGGTGGAGATACAGGACCGGGATGGGACATTTCACAGGACACCTCCACATAATTATTGGTAAAAACCATGGAATTTCCGATGAAGATTTGGAATATTTTCCTGAATCCATCCCGATGATGTCCATTGTTGATACCTTCCATGCTATTCCATCACATCCGATGGTTGGATTTTATACCCAATTATTCATGGTTAATCATCTTAATTAAATCCACGTCAGTGTCTGCATGATTTCACCATTTTGCGTAGTGAAACCACCTATAAGCTGGATTAATGATTGGAAAACTATTTTTACATGTTCTGTTGCATATCTTCACTACCTTGTAGACATGCAATTTCTTGATTATATCAGCCCACTAAATCCCCATTATATTCCCATTGTATCCTCATTGTATGGTTGATTTAAATTGATGTAAGGTCAATCTTCTATTATAATCCAGTTCACCCAGATACCTTGCAGTTAAACTACTCGTACCTATACAGTAAATCCAAGGAATTTCTCCTCCACAAACTAAATCCCATTCAACCGCCACGTTTGCTGGTGAAATACCTAGCTAAGCTAACTAAATCCCAATGAGCGCTCATTACACGACCATTTTACCTGTAGATCCTCAAGCCCTTGGCGATTGATTCCCTTCGCTTCTTTGGCCCATCCGTCGAACTGCCGTGGCCAGTCCGTGGTGGAGAACTCCGTGGAGGGCGTCAGGAAATTGTCTCGTGGCATTCAGCGCACCGGCACCGTGGAGATCGATATCGACGCGTGCCGCGGCGAGGTAACGAAGTTGACCGGCGACCACTCCGGGGGCATTCCAAAGCCATTTCATTTTGGGGATTTTCCATGAAACCATGCAGCTTCAATGGGTACCCCGTTGATGGAAACCGTTTTCGGCTGTTTTTGTTTTTATTCTAAACAAACATGGATGTGGAAAACCCATTGGGAAACCCATGATCTATAATGATCTTTAAATGGTGGGTTTTCCACAAACGCTTACAGGAGGTAAATGAAGAAAGCATATGGGGCTTGCAATTTTGCTAGGGAATATTCATAGAGATATCTTAGACACATCCAGTAGTTAGGGTTGGATTTTAGTAGGATATCACCAGGAGACAATGAGATTTAATGGGATATAAAGATATGGGACATAACCTACCCGGCAGTGGTTTGGAGCAAGGGGTATCCAACCACATGACGGGGAACCAAGGATCTACTAAAATGAGAACAACATGGGGGGAGAGAGTGAGCTACCAAGAGTTTCCCAACTACATGATCGGTTCATAAATCATCGCAGGAATCCCAGGGATTCACTTTTCCCCTGGGTTAAAACCTGTGGATCATCACCGCTGCGACTGAAACCTTTCCCAGGCCCATGCTCCAACAGACCCATTGATTTCAGCAACAAAATTAGCATTCCCCAAAAAAAACGGTGTTTCTGTTTACCAACAAAATTGGAGGGAAGATGAGATAGGACGGACATTTTTGGCATATTTCAACTGCCAAGCACTCAGGGACGGGAGGTGATCCCCGAAAACTGGGGAAGCTGTGAGAACGGTTGCCGCTTCGGGATTTTCTTCAATCGATTTGTGAGAAAATGGGACATGTTCACCACACCCCCAGTATATATCCATAAATACATATATATATATATATATTATATATATGATTTGTATATACATATATGTGAACATATCTTTTTTTTTGAAATGCCTAACCTCCCTTCCCAAATAACAAAACCTATGGGTAGCTTGATTTTAGTTATTTGGTGGTATTTCGAAAAAGGGTGAGCAGATTTCCCTTTCATCGTATATTTAAAACATCATGGTTTATAATAAAACTCACCTGTTCGATTTCAAAACCAATCAAATTCAATTTTAAATCCAGACATTGGATATCCAAATTGTCCCCTAATATGTATTCCCGTTAATTGAAAGAAAACAGAACAACATGTTTGATTTTAAAAACCCGACCCAATAAGAAACACCTCAGGATTAATTAGTGTTTATTATGAGAGGGTTAAACCCTCAAATCATACCCTAATATTTAAACTGATTTCAAAAGGGAATCAATTAAGAATCAAATTTACCAACATGAAATGTCGCGAAACGAACAATTTGGGGTGGTGTTTGTTTTTTTGACGAGGTTTAGTAAAAAGGAATAGTTTTCTGTACATATATAAATATGTATTTATATATGTACAATAATCAGCTCTCAAAAAAATGCAGTGCATCTAAGATTGGCCAAGAGTCATGTTGCCGGTACTTCACCAGCAGAACTCGTTGTCGTGGCAAATCCCACCAGTTGCAATCATACAGCGATCCATCTTCGGAAAGTCACACAAATTGTCAGTGAGGCCCGCGCTGTAATAAATTGCTTTATAATCTTCGATGTAGATCTAGAATCTAGATTTTAACTATCTACCATAGACCCAGTCCTTAGCTTAGTTATAGCTCATCTTCTCCAACCTAAACCAACTATCAGTCCACCTCCTTACTGAAAAATGCCAAGGTTTTCCCTATATTTTCGTTGGTCACATGTCACCTGAGGATTTCGCCCTGTCGCTCCTTCTGCTATCGAGTGGTAACCCACTGGGCCTTCACCAATTGCGGCCTGACCTGGCGCCAAAGTTGGGGGTTGGATTGCTGTTCCAACAATCTGGGAATTGCTGGGTCAACTTGGGTTAGATACTCAATGTTCAAAATACCAATAGTACCGCACAAGGCGGCGGCGGAAGTTTCAGAAATAGGAAACGCATAGGAGGTTGGTTGTTGTGAATCACGG